CCCGGGGACAGTCTATGGGATATCTAACAATCCGGGATAGCAGCGGGAAGCAGTGGGAAACAGCGCTGGAATAAGGGAATTTCCCACAAAAAATGGGAAGGTTGACAGCTGTGGCCATAATCCATATCTATCCTGCAGCTTGACGCATTTCCCCCTCAAACCAGGCTCCATCCAAACTGAAAACATAAGTCACAGTCACTTAGCAGTTAAGTTGAGGTGTGTACATTTAAGACAGCTGTTGCACATGTGCAGATGACAACTTCTGGTTGGTGGTTTGCAGGCCCAAGGAAACACATCAGCTAATGCGCATCCAGTGACGACATCCCCACCTCCTCTCTGGTGCACACAGCAAGGTAAAATGCAACTTGAAGCGTACTAGAAGGAAACAAACTCTCTGCATGTTTAACTGCTAAAATGTACACAGCCATACTGTATACTGTTTATGAATCCCATTGCCTTTATTTGTGTTTTCTGTGCAATTACAGGCCCTCTCCTTTGTTTTTGTTTGATAAAGACACCAAACAACATTGCAGAGCTGTTGCAAGATGCTCTCCAGCTCAGCAATATTGAGTACTGTAACCCTGGACTATATCTGCATCTACAGTGCAATTTTTAATTTGTAAAAAATTAAAAAATATATATATTCATTGTCATTCACAGCCTTCATTTGCCGAAGATACTAAATTGTTCAGGGTCGTTAAAACAAAAATAGACCCCCACAAACCGAGTGAAAGGGAAGTAAAATGACAAACACAATTAAATGTAAACAAGTGTAAAATGATGCATGTTGGGGCAAAAAGAAATCTTAATTTCACATATACGCACATGGAGTCTGAACTGACAGGGGCTGAGTGAATAGCTAGATGCCGCCTGTGATTACTAAACCTTGGATCTATGCAAAGCATGTGACAACTGCGGGCAAGGGGTGTTAGGTGTTGGCAGACCCTCTGCTAGCCCTCACTTGGCTTCTCAAACGTGGCTCCCACAGAAAACTAGTTGCTACCAAAGTCCTATAGCCATGGCGTAGATCCTCAGGAGTTGAGGATCTGATGAGTAGTCAGATCGGAGACAATGAAGAGCCTTATCTTAGCCTCCATAGGCTTTCTTCAATAGCAGAATATAATTAAATCTCCATTGTCTTCACATCTCCATTATCACCCCATTCTTAACTAGATGGGTGGCATAATTTATTATTTATTATTATTATTATTATTATTATTATTATTATTACTCCTGCACTGCTGTGAGAAGCATGGCTCTGGAAAATACCCACCCCAAGCCTGTGCAGTTGATGTGGGGGTGAGCAAGAATGGGACTATATTGGGATTTGGGAGGAGGATAAGGTAAAGGTAAAGGGGCCCCTGACCATTAGGTCCAGTCGCGGATGACTCTGGGGTTGAGGCGCTCATCTCGCTTTATTGGCCGAGGGAGCCTCCGGGTCATGTGGCCAGCATGACTAAGCTGCTTCTGGCAAACCAGAGCAGCGCACGGAATCGCCGTTTACCTTCCTGCCGGAACGGTAACTATTTATCTACTTGCACTTTGACGTGCTTTCGAACTGCTAGGTTGGCAGGAGCAGGGACCAAACAATGGGAGCTCACCCCTTTGGGGGATTTGAACCGCCGACCTTCTGATCGGCAAGTCCTAGGCTCTGTGGTTTAACCCACAGCGCCACCCGCGTCCCTTGGGAGGAGGATAATATGGAATAAATCCAATGGTCTATTCCCCCGCCCCGACTTTTCGGAATTGACTCAGTAATATTTATCTTTCTTTTTAAACCACAGACTGTTAACAATGTATGAGCTGTCCAAAAGTAAACAATCTTTTGCCTTTTCTTTTGGCTAAATACCCTGGATTCTTGTTTGGTGCACATTCTATGCTGACACACTGTTTCCTTCCTGACAAGAAGGCACGCACGTGGGTAGGCTGCTTACCTCACTAATCTGTTGGTTTCCATACAGCAAGTACAAATCAAGTACTTTCAATCTCAGAAGAGAAAGCATCAAACTAAATGGAATCAGGGCTGCTATGGGTTTTCACTGCACAAATCTGGAATGGTTACGTAGTCATTAAGCTTTCCTGGGAGAAACCTAAAAGTTGCTTTTGGTTGTTCAAACTAGAACTCACATAAAGATGCCCTGTAAGGGTTAAGGGGAATAAGAAAGTGGGGAAGCACATTTGGTGCCTTAAATGTCTGTTTTGTCCTATTGTAGAAAAAAAATGAGATATGAACTCCAAGATAATCAACTAGCCTTCCTCACACAATGTCCAATACTGTACTTCATATATATCCCCTTTTATGTATTGGGAAGAGTTTTGAGGTTGGGCAGAAAATCCAGATTCAAATCCCTGCCCATTGAGAACTGGGTAGCAAACATATACTACAACTCCCATCACCCCTGATCTTTGGCCATGCTGGTTGGGACTGATGGGAATAGTAGTCTATAACATCTGGAGGGCACCATGTTCCTACCTCCAAATTACATTATTTCATAGATTATACGGCAGTCTGGACAGAACGTTTGATCAGTGTTTGCTGTGACAGACATTAAAAATGCCTAGAAGAGATGTCTATCTCTAAACTAAGGGACTCTTAGAATGTGCCCACTTAAATATGTCTCCCTGCCCCATTGTGCATTTATCGCTGCAAACACGGATGAACTAGGACTGCCCCCCAAGCATGAAAAGATTCTGAGTGGCCTACTTCACAAGCTTGTTGTAAGAAGATGAACCCTACATGTGCTGCTCTGGGCTCCTTGGGGAATTTATAATATAGCAACTTGTCAAATCAAAGAGAAATAATTTGTTGGTCTGCATGTAACGTATTACAAAAGTGATATAGCTGTAACTAGAAAAGCAAGTAATGTGTTTCTTAGTTCAGCTGACACTGTGCTAGTTCAGACCAATAAAAAATTAGAAACAGGTTTAGTACACTTGAACCAGCATGATTCTGTTTCACAAGGAAAACTTTTCATGATACAGTAGTGATTTTCATATGTGAAAAGTGACTAATATTACTTTCTCTTAATCTTAGGCTAATAGTTGAGTATGCAATTCAAAAAAAAATTGTAATTTGTACTACAGTTTGGAACACAGAGGGGAAAGTGGGAAAAGAACAGAAGAAAGTATTGCATTGATTTTGGATTAGCTGATACTAAATAATGGAAAAACTATCTACAGTATATCTATATCTTGACGCAAGTAGTACAGGCATTAGTGATTTCAAGACTGTATGACTATGTGGGGCTTCCCTTGCGCTTGCTCTTGAAACTGCAGTCGGTGCAGAATGCTGCCGCATGGTTACTGGCACATCTAACACCTCTGCTCAGAGATCTACGTTGCGTGCCAATTTGCTACTGGGTCAAGTTCAAGCTGTTACTATTCTGATATACAACCCTTAAAAGACCTGCAAGCTTATTTGCAGGATCGCCAAGCCCCATATGTGCCCACCTGACTGCTTCAAGTGGCACTGTTACGGGTGCCATACAATATGGGTCCCGCACCTGTAAGAAATCAACATCTTAGCATGGCAACGGCTTCACTTTGGAACTCCCTGCCTATTGACTACACTTTGAAACTCCCTGCCTTCTCCTTTACTCTTTTCAGCACCTGCTTAAAACATTTTTGTTTATATGCAAGCTTATCCACACACGCAGAATGCCTTTTAATCTCTTTTCAGCTTACAGTTGATTTTAATTCTTTCTTTGAATTACCAACCTCAGAGTCTGGATGTCTGGTTGCTCCCACAACCAGCACTGCTTGCGACCCATCAGAAGCAACTTGTCTGTATATCACTGAGTGGGGGCCCTCCACATTTTTCGGGGGGACCTGTCTCTTCCAGAGTCTCTGGAATGCTGGTGGGAGTTGGGAGTCCACCGACCAGGGCCAATGTGGTACCTGAGGCGAGCCACAAAATGGTGTCTCCCCTTCCTCGCTGGGGGAGAAGAGGTGAGCAAAGATCTACATCAGGGACATGGCTGACAATAAAGCGCCATATTGGGATTCTGCCACCTGAGGCAGTCACCCACCCTCATGGGTGGGCTGGCCAAGCCAACCATATATGAGAAAGCCAGCAGTGATGAGTTCTTCTTCTTTGGCAATCACTCGTAGCCGAGTAATATTATCTTCCATAAACACAGTTTTAACAGTGAGTCCGTGACAGTGGAGGCCAATTCTGGACCCACACATCCTTCCACAGTGGGGACACTGGTTTCCGGGCAGCGGGTTGATCACGGTGTGGATTTGCCAAGCGTGCCTTCCTCCTAGCACATTTCTCCCTTGCGTCCTGAGTTTGAGTGTCTTCAAAGCCCATGACACCTTTGGTAAAGCCTGTTCTCCAACTGGAGCGCTCGCAGGTCAGTGTTTCCCAGTTGTTGGTGTTTACACTACATTTTTTTAGTTTTGCCTTGAGACAGTCTTTAAAACTCTTTTGCTGACCACCAGCATTACGCTTTCCATTTTAAAGTTCAGAATAGAGTGGTACCTCGGGTTAAGTACTTAATTCGTTCCGGAGGTCTGTTCTTAACCTGAAACTGTTCTTAACCTGAAGCACCACTTTAGCTAATGGGGCCTCCTGCTGCCGCCACATGATTTCTGTTCTCATCCTGAAGCAAAGTTCTTAACCTGAGGTACTATTTTTTGGGTTAGCAGAGTCTGTAACCTGAAGTGTATGTAACCTGAAGCATATGTAACCCGAGGTACCACTGTAGCTGCTTTGGAAGAGGATAATCGGGCATCTGCACATGACCAGTCCAACGAAGTTGATGTTGCAACAGCAACCCAGGCCACTGCCCGAGTCATATTTCCCTGGGAGTAAGTGCTTTTTGGACTGGCTGGGACTCAGACATATAGATATTATTAGGCTTGCGCCGTGAGAAGGGGAAGAGACCGACAGCCTCCCCTCTACCTCACGACGCGCCCATCACCTCACACAACCTGGGTGAGAGTCTGAGGGCAAAGAGCCACGTGACTCCCCTCGGCTGCCGGACGTGTGAGGCGTAAGCGACGTGAACCGAGAGCCGAGGAGGAAGGACAAGGAGTCGGGCTTCACGCGCCCTGCCTCCAAATACGCGAGGGCGGGGCAGGGGGCGCGTGAGCTTCGCCCGGGAAGCAGCGGGGGCGGGTTTAGAACCCGGTGCCTCGGAAAGTTATTGGGGCGCGCGGAAGAGCCTCGCTTCCCCATTGGGCGAGGTCCGGGGAATTTCGAGGAGGAGGCGGGGCCGGGGGGTTTCCAGTCAATAGGGCGGTTGCCGGAATGGGGTTGTGTCGGGAGGCGTGGCGCGCGCGAGTGAGTGGCAGAGCCGGGACAGGGAGCGAAGGTACGGAGCGAGCGTGTGAGGGCTTCGGTGGGTTCTCGTGAGGGTGCCGTGGCAGAAAGGGAGACGACGCGCGAGTCCCCACCGTGAGGGGGCAAAGCGCCCGAGGCTGAAGGGAAGGAAGGAAGGAAGTTGGGGGACTGTGACTGTGTGTGTGAAGAAAAGTGAATATGACTAAGGTGGGGGGGAGGGAAAGTTTGGTGACGCGGGGTGGGGGGGTGGGAGAAGGGGGAGGTGAGGGGTTTATTATTATTTTCTTTTAAAATATGTACAAATCACTTTTCTTAACGACCATTCATCTGCATTTATAAAGTATCCGAACTGGTACACTGACCTGTTCCAAATGGTTCACACTTAATATCGAGCTCTGCTAGGGTACTATGTGAGGTAAAACTGAAGGAAAATATAATTATTATCCCCCCCCCCAAAAAAAACCCCAACAACTGCTGTGTGTTTCTGAACCTAAGGGGGTTGTCTCCTCTCCCCTGCTCTGCTGAATGGCTTTTTCTTGGTTTGTGGAGCCTATCCCTACTACGCCTTATAAGCCAAACACCTAAAAATACAAAGTTCTAAACTTAGGTACTGTGGGATATACCGTAATTCCAAATAAATAGAACAGGAACCTGGAACACAGTAAACTGAACTGAGACGCTTTGGCACGTGTATTCCTGGATGTACTTTGTGTGTGTAGGTGCAAGGAGGATGTGGTGGGTGCATACGTCAGTTAAGAGTTTTGCAAGTGTGTTTTACCTCTGCTTGTTTTGTGATCAGCTGCTATAAAGCATGGTTAGATCACGTCCACACCATTCCCAGTCTTATACCACTTTAGCATACTTTCCCTGGGGAAACCCAGCCAGATGGGCAGGGTATAAATAATTTGTTGCTGTTGTTGTTGTTATCATCATCATCATCATCATCATCCCCAAAACATGCTGAGAACTGTAGTTTGTTAAAGCTGCTTAGAGTTGTAGCTTTGTGTGTAGAGTTGTCTACTCCTCACAACTTTCAGCATCCTTAACAAACTATAGTTCCCAGTTCTTTGGGGGAAACCATGACTGCCGAAAGCGGTATAATACTGCTTTAAATGTATGGTGTGGATGTGGCCTATGACTATAGATTTAATTACGGTATCCACATTGTCTCTGAACTTCCTGGTGGATAGGCAGTGCCACTCTGACCTGTGGTATCACTTTGCTCTGTGGCCAGTCATAGTTATGGGAAGGGGTGTGAAATGCTGTGCTAAGAGGAGGCTTTCTTTGCTATTCAACTTGTTTCCTTTCTCCTTCAAAGAATCTGAGCTCATGTGTGGACAAGCCAGCATCCATTGTTGACATCTGCTCTGCCCAACCCATTGGTTGGCCGCCCTGAGCCCGGCTTCGGCTGGGGAGGACGGGATATAAATAAAATTTATTATTATTATTATTATTAAAGAAGCCAGTCTGGTGTTCTGAACTATGTTGGTCAGCTGGGTCTAGCTGCCGTGTTAATTTCCCACAATGCTCCTGATGTAGCATCCAGGGCTACATTAAAATGGCAGTTAGGCACAGCCAGAGGCATACCTAGACTCCCTTGTGTTTTTGGAAGGAGTTGTACCTTTGGTCCATGCCGACGACTGGATTTCTCTGCCAAGGCACCCAGCGGAGGCTGCACGCCTCACCTGGCTGTGCAGAGAAGTTGCCTGGGGAGCTTGCAGATGGGTGGACGGGCTCCTAGCCACTCCATGCCAGAGTAGAGTGATTCAGTTTTTGCACCCTCTTGGTGGTGGCCAATCTGACCAGCTCCTAGGGACGACCCTGGATGCAGTTGCTGCTGCACACTGTTGCCTAGCGCTATCAGGTAAAGCTGAGGGGGCAGGCACTGATGGAGCACAGGACTCATCTGATATCACTTTGCTATATGGTAATGAGAACTGCTCTAGGTTTACGGTAACTTCAGACGTCCCCTACGATGGGGCTCTTGAATAAATATCCTCTGGATCCAGACTGCACTTCCATTTTACTAAATGTTGCAAAGCCTTCCCGTTCTTCCTTGAATGTGGCATTGTCCTAATTTATTACCTACTGTCTCTGTTCTAGTGACAATTCTATCTCTTTTAAAGAGCATTGAGGCCTTATTTATGAGACCCAGAGTAATGCAATGGGGGAGGTATTTATCTGACATATCAGACAGTGAACACAGGCCAAGGATCTGTCTGTGATCACTTGTGATGATCATGTCTTCCTGAACACTTTGGTGCTGTAATGTGTAAAGAAGACTTTTTAGAGCTTTCCTCCATAGAAGTGTGATTACTTGGAGGACAGAATTGAATTAAACTAGAGATGACTTGTATAATAAGTACACATGGGCAAAGAATTCCTGCATTGCAGGGAGTTGGACTAGATAACCCTCCTGGTCCCTTCCAACTCTACAATTCCATGATTCTATGAGTCTATGGTTACCCTGGCTTGGCTTTCCCCACCTTTTAAAAACAGTTGTTTGAGACCCGGTTTGCTGAATAAATATTTGTACATGAACTAAACAGAAGTTTAGAGATGGCTACTTGAGATACCATTTTGTGTACAGTCTAGCCTAAGTGCCACAACAGCATCAAATCTCTAATCCTACCTACCCTGGCTCTGTGCCAGCATCACTGACAGTAGAGAGCTCTAAATGTCTGCATAGCACATGCTGTTCAGGTTAGTGCCTGAACCCATTGACCCCATGTTAGCAGTTCCATACAAACAAATCTGATTTGGGGATTTAGGCAGTGCTTAATTTTGAAAATGAAGTTGCTTTTTTTAAACACACACACACACACACACACACACACACACTTTCCCTCAAAATCTCAGATGTATGGAACATTTGTTCCTCTGTACATTTATTATTATTTCCTCATGTTTATATCCTACCCTTCATGGAGCTCCTCTCATTCCTGGATGGGGGTGCCCTCTTTATTTGCAGAGCTAGGTTCAGCTGAGAAAAAGCGACCAGCCTGAGGTCACCCAGTGAACTTCGCAGCTCAAGCTAGGATTTTCAGTCCCCAAATCAAGTATATGCCAATGTCACTGTCTTCTTTATCATGGTTTCATCTTCATGGTTGAGCCTTGGCAAGTCTAGTTAAGTCTTGGAGTTAGGTCGCTTGCCCCTGCAAAAAAATGCAGTAAGAGAACAATGCCTTATTAATACTTTAAAAGTCCATTCCCTGATTTCTTCCTGCTCACTAATCACTCCTTGCTTAGTTCAGATCTGTGCTGTTTAATTTTCCTACCTAGTTTGAGCCAAGACTTAACTATATCTACACTGTAGTTAGGATGGATCACAGCCTTGTGTACCATTCTGGCAGAAGTGGCATGGGAGAATCATATCACTCAAGGAAATACAGTCGTACCTTGGATCCTGAATGCCTTGCGAGTCGAACGTTTTGGCTCCCGAATGCCACAAACCTGGAAGTGAGTGTTCCAGTTTGTGAATGTTCTTTGGAACCCGAATGGCCAGTGCAACTTCTGTAGCTTCCGATTGGCTGCAGGAGCTTCCTGCAGCCAATCGGAAGCTGCGCCTTGGTTTCCAAACATTTTGGAAGTCGAACGGACTTCCAGAACGGATTCCGTTTGACTTCCAAGGTACCACTGTATATAAATAGAGCCTCTTGCAGCATCTTCATATAGGAATCTGGACTTCTGCACTCCATTTTTTGTCCAGCCCTGTGTTTCCCAAACACCTGTTTGCCAGGTAATGGAACTGCAGAAACTGTTGACATAGGGGAGGCAGGAGGCTGTGTAGCAGTTTACTATTTGCCCATTCTCTCCCATGATTGCTACAGCCAAGTACTTTCCCCTCAAGTCAAATTTTTGGGTTGAGCCTCTTTTGGTTTGAGCCTCTGAACAGTGGATGTGAAAGAGTAGGCCCACTCTTTTAATTCTTTTGCTTTATTTCATTTTCCTGTGGAGTACTTGATTTATATATTTGTACAAAACATATTTTCATCATGTGCTTGCTGTACTTCTCATTCTGTGGGTTGTCTAAATAATAAAAGTTCTGAAAACTAGCTTAGCCTAGTGAGAGCCGCCTCGTTGCTCCACTATTAACTTGTTTGGTGGCCTTGGAAGGTTTCATTGCTTCTGCTTAAACATTCCTCATAGAGTTTTCAGGAAGATGAATAACTAATTATTTTACATACATTAGAAGTAGTGGGTACTTCAGTAAAAAGAAAATAAATCCCAGCTTTAAAATTTTATGTAGTTTCTGTACTTAGATAGAAAACCAACTATTATTAATGCATTGGCCACAGTCTAGCAGACTTTCTCCCCCATGCTTTTCAACATCTACATGCAGCTGCTGGGAGAGATCATCATGGGGTTTGGGCTGGGTGTTCATCAGTATGCGGATGATACCCAGCTCTACCTCTCTTTCAAATCGGAACCAGTGAAGGCGGTGAAGGTCCTGTGTGAGTGTCTGGAGGCGGTTGGAGGATGGATGGCGGCTAACAGATTGAGGTTGAATCCTGACAAGACAGAAGTACTGTTTTGGGGGGACAGGAGACGGGCGGATGCGGAGGACTCCCTGGTCCTGAATGGGGTAACTGTGCTCCTGAAGGACCAGGTGCGCAGCCTGGGAGTCATTTTGGACTCACAGCTGTCCATGGAGGCGCAGGTTAATTCTGTGTCCAGGGCGGCTGTCTACCAGCTCCACCTGGTACGCAGGCTGAGACCCTACCTGCCTGCGGACTGTCTTGCCAGAGTGGTGCATGCTCTAGTTATCTCCCGCTTGGACTACTGCAATGCGCTCTATGTGGGGCCCTATGTGACCCGGAAACTGCAATTAATCCAGAATGTGGCAGCTAGACTGGTGACTGGGAGTGGCCGCCGGGACCACATAACACCGGTCCTGAGAGATCTGCATTGGCTCCCAGTACATTTCCGAGCACAATTCAAAGTGTTGGTGCTGACCTTTAAAGCCCTAAACGGCCTCGGTCCTGTATACCTGAAAGAGCGTCTCCACCCCCACACTGAGATCCAGCGCCAAGGGCCTTCTGGCGGTTCCCTCATTGCGAGAAGTGAGGTTACAGGAAACCAGACAGAGGGCCTTCTCGGTAGTGGCGCCCGCCCTGTGGAATGCCCTCCCTTCAGATGTGAAGGAAATGAGCAGCTATCTTCTCTTTAAAAGACATCTGAAGGCAGCCCTGTTTAGGGAAGTTTTTAATATTTAATGCTGTATTGTTTTTAACACTTGATTGGAAGCTGCCCAGAGTGGCTGGGGAAACTCAGCCAGATGGGCGGGGTATAAATAAATTATTATTATTATTATTATTATTACATGCAAAGACTTGCACATGCACAGCAGGTCTAACTTTTCCCAATAGCAACCTTTCCCAAGACACATTACATGCTGCTCTCAACAGGGGAGAGTCCAGTTGTGCCTGGGTCCAGCTTGGGAGCTTCTCGCAGACTTCTAGTTGGCCACTGTGGAAACAGGAGGTTGCACTAGATGGACCACTGGCCTGATCCGGCAGTCCCTTCTTATGTTCTTAACTCTTCCCTCTTTGTAATTCCTATGTTTAAAAATAAAGGGGGGGAGGCTATTGCTTGTAGAAGCAAGGCACATGCCATGCTTTATGCCTGGTTCTGGTCATATTGCTTCTAGGCTGGTCAGTTCTCCCTTACTGTACGCCAGTGTTCTGATAATTATACCCAGAAAATATTTTGACAGGTTTCATACATTCATGTGCTTTATGAATGTTGGTTTGCTTCATTGGTTAAGAACATGAGCTCTTAGCTAGACGTCTGTAGTACTAATGTCATCTTAGTCCTGCTGCTGTTTCTCAAGGTGTATGGAGACTTGTATAACATTGACAGTAAGTGCACTGTGGAAGCAAGCAGACCACAATAAGCACACATACAACCTTCTTCCCTGGGTCAAGAGAAACCTGTTCTGCCTCTAGCAGAAACTAGATTTGCACAGCATCAATTGGCCAGCTCTGCTGTTATTCACAAATTCACATTCCCCCCTCCCTTCTCGGAGCAGGGATTTGAGGGCCGTTGTGTTAGTCGCAATGAAGCTGTTTAAAAAGCTTTTTTTAGGTAAAAAACATAAAATACTGAACAAAAATTAAAACAGATAAACATAGAAGGTATTTGAAAACAAAGCGGACAGTTTTTCTGAAGCATGGGGTTTTTACTTTTTACTTTGTTGTACCACCGTGAACGGTGGTTTTTATTGATGTATTTTTATTTTGTTCCGTTTTATTTTGGTTTGGGGTTGGATATTGAGTGGGGTGGGGATTGGTTTTGTTTGGTATAATTGTTTTTGGTTTGGTTTGTTTTTCTATTTTGTAAATGGAGGTTGGTATGAGGCTTGGGATTGCTACCGTGGTGGGGGCAGATGTTATAGGCGAAGGGGATCGAGATATGAATATGCTCGTACCCCTTTCAATCTGCGCCCCATCCCTAGGGACGAGGGTAGGGTGAGCAAGGATTACTCACCTCCGTCACTGGTGTTGTGCAATGCCAGGTCTATAGGCAACAAAACCGCCACCCTGCGAGATTTCTTCACCTCGCAGGGGGTTGACCTGGCTTGTGTGACGGAGACCTGGGTGCACGAAGGGGAAACTGTTACCTTACGAGAGATGGCGCCCCCGGGTTTCTCCGTCCTCCACCAGTCGCGGACTGTGGGCCGGGGGGGAGGGGTGGCATTATTAATCCGGGAAGATTGTTCTTTCAGGGCTCTACCATCGCCATCGATCCCCGGCATTGAATGTGTTGGCCTAGTGTGGGGCTCCGAGGTGAGCTTGGCTGTCTGGCTGGTGTACTGGCCACCTAGAGCACCAGCAGCCACCCTGTCAGGCCTGCTGGAGGTGGTGGCCGGCTGGGCCCTGGAGTCCCCTAACCTATTGGTATTGGGGGACTTCAACGTCCATGCTGATGCCACTCCCTCCTCACAGGCTCTGGACCTGGTGTCTTCCATGGCAACACTAGGGCTCTCCCAGTTTGTTTCGGGTCCCACACATCAAGCAGGCCACACGCTGGATCTGATCTTTGGTGTCGGTATAGATGTGATCATGTCTCCTTCGATGAAGGTGCCATGGTCTGATCACTTCGCTCTGAAAGCCAGGATTGATTTTCCACCCCCACCCTGCATAGGTGGCGAGCCAATTTGGGCTCGCCCGCAGAGGCTGATGGACCCTGATAGATTCCGTCAGGCCTTGCAGGACCTTGCTCCCCCTGGCGACTCATTGACTGAGCTTGTTGAGGGCTGGAATATCCAGCTCCTAGCAGCCATCGATGAGATTGCACCTAGGCGCCCTCTGCAACCCCGCAGAAACCGGGCTCCCTGGTTTACCGAGGAGCTTCGGAAAATGAAGCGGGACCTCAGACAGCTAGAGCGAGTATGGTGGGGTGCCCGTGACGGAGCCTCAAGAACATCTTATAGGGTTTTTATGAAAACCTACGAGATGGCAGTGAAGGCCGCTAAGAAGTCCAACTTCTCGGCCTCCATTGCCTCCGCTAGCTCTCGCCCGGCGCAATTATTTAGTATAATTAGGTCTTTAACGTCCCTTGAAGGACAGCCAAATGTAAAGAACAATTTGACACACAGCTGTGAGGCATTTGCGAGTTTTTTTGCGGAGAAGGTCCTGTTGCTCCGCCATGACCTCCCTGCCAATTTGGATACAATAAAGGAACTGGAGGCCCCTCGACTGTCCTCGGGTCCAGTATTGGACCACTTTGACCGGATATCCCCAGCCGATGTGGACAGACTCCTCCGAGCTGGAAAGCCCACCACCTGTCCTCTTGACCCGTGCCCGTCTTGGCTGATTAAAGCGTGTCCAGACGAGGTGTGCCCCCCCCGGTGATATCATCAATTTGTCCCTTGGCACCGGGATATTCCCAGGGGAACTGAAGGAGGCAGTGGTGCGCCCGCTCTTAAAGAAAACATCATTAGATCCCTTAGATCTTTCCAATTACCGCCCGGTTTCGAATCTTCCATTCCTGGGTAAGGTGATTGAGAGAGCGGTTGCTGAACAGCTTGGTAGGTTTCTGGATGAAACATCGGCTCTGGATCCATTCCAGTCCAGCTTCCGCGCTGGTCATGGGACTGAGACGGCTCTGGTCGCCCTAACAGATGATCTCCGCAGGCAGCTGGATCGAGGTGGGTCGGGGCTGCTGATTCTTCTAGACCTGTCAGCAGCCTTCGACATGGTCAATCACGAACTCCTGGACCACCGCCTTGCCGACGTGGGGATCCAGGGCACAGTCCTTCAATGGTTGCGCTCGTTTCTCTCTGGTCGGGGACAGAGGGTGGCGCTTGGGGGGGAATTGTCATCGCGCCACTCCTTGGTGTGTGGAGTGCCTCAGGGTGCGATTCTTTCCCTGATGCTTTTAACATCTTTATGCGCCTCGCCCAGCTTGTCCGGAGTTTTGGGCTGGGTTGCCATCAGTATGCCGATGACACCCAACTCTATCTGTTGATGGATGGCCATCCTGACTCGGCCCCAGACACACTGACCAGATGTCTGGAGGCTGTGGCTGGATGGTTACGTGGGAGCCGGTTGAAGTTAAATCCTTCGAAGACAGAGGTCCTCTGGCTGGGACGGGACGATATGGGATTGAGGGGGCAACTCCCATCTCTTGCGGGGGTGCAATTAGTGCCAGCATCGTCCGTTAAGAGTTTGGGTGTAATCTTCAATACCTCCCTCTCTCTATGGAGGCGCAGATTACAGCTATAACAAAGGCGGCATTTTTTCATCTCCGCCAAGCTAAGCAGTTGGCTCCTTATCTCTCTCGCCCTGACCTAGCCACTGTGATCCACGCGACGGTCACCTCCAGACTGGATTATTGTAACTCGCTCTACGTGGGGCTGCCCTTGAGACTGATCCAGAAACTCCAGCGGGTGCAGAATGCCGCGGCGAGACTCCTTATGGGGTCTTCGCTGCGTGATCACATTCATCCGGTACTATACCAACTGCACTGGCTCCCGGTGGAGTACAGGATCAGGTTTAAGGTGCTGGTTTTAACCTTTAAAGCCCTATACGGCCTAGGCCCCTCGTACCTACGGGACTGCCTCTCCTGGTATGTCCCACAGAGGAACTTACGGTCTGCAAATAAAAACATCTTGAAGATCCCAGGCCACAGAGAGGTTAGGCTGGCCTCAACTAGAGCCAGGGCTTTCTTGGCCACAGCTCCAATCTGGTGGAACGCTCTGTCACAAGAGACTAGGGCCCTGCAGGACCTGATATCTTTCCGCAAGGCCTGCAAGACAGAGCTGTTCCACCAGGCCTTTGGTCAGGGCGCAGCCTGACCCCCTCCTCTGGCAATCTGCACAGAATTTTGCTTAATGGTTGCCACCAATTTGATTTTAATTAATTTTTATAATGAAATGTTTTTAGAACGTTGGATTATTTTGATTGTTGTTAGCCGCCCTGAGCCCAGCTTCGGCTGGGGAGAGCGGGATATAAATAAAATTTATTATTATTATTATTATTATTATTAGGGTGGGGAACAGTGTTGGATCCAGAAGCTTTTATATGTGTTTTTACGGGGTGGAAGGTGCAGAGCTGGCATTGCAGCAGAAAGCCCACACCCATTCCTGTTTCAAGGCATTTTTGCCTTGGACTTAGTCCCCATCTGTAAATATTATGGAGATAACCTAATATCCTTATTAGGTTGTAAGAATCAGAGATTACTGTATGTGGAGCATAGTGAGAAGAGTGTTATTTAAATAATAAGTATTATCAGATTTCTCCAGTTGGGAGTTGGGTGCTGTCATAAAGTCATATCTGAAAGAATAATAGCATTTTAGGGTGTTCAAGGTGCTTAGTGAACTTCTTGTAATTTTACAAAAAAAACCTGTGAGGTGTTATTGCATAACACAGGTGGGGTGGGGGCCTGAGGCTGAGAGAAGAACTTGCCTAAACCCTTTGTAAGGGTAGCCAACATCGTGCCCTCCAGATGTTGTTGGACTCCCCTCCCCATCAGTCTCAGCCAGTGTGGCCAGTGGTCAAGAATTATGGGAGTTGTAGTCTACCAACACCTGCCTGAAGGGGGCCATGTTGGGTACTCCACCCTAGTGAGTTCATGGCGAAAAATAGGGATTTTCTGATTCGTAACCTAGTCTATGATGCACCAGCTCTGAAATACACACAATTCCTGTAGCTCAAGATACCCTACAGGATTTTAAAAGGTTTTAGGCCTTGTAACAGGCAGGCAGGGTGAGTTTTTCTTCCTCTTTTAAAGCAGGGTGGAGTAGGTATGAGCCTTAGGTGCTAAGTAATGGGCAGAGGAGATAGATGGCAGTTGACTATGTGTCCTTTCATGCTGCTGCTTGGGATGTGTGTATAAAGGGCAAGGCATCTCTGTGGTTTGTTTGGTATGTCTCTGGTGAAATGAGAGGGTGGAGTTTCTGTAGAAGATTTTGTGAGCAGAGAGTACTCTGCTTATTATGGGTAAGGAAAGCAGCATCCTTTTCCTTCTCTCTGGATTCCCTTTCTCATCTTTCTAGGCTGTATCAAAGATCCTATAGAATGAAGCCCAAATTTCAGAGAAATGAGTTTTTTTGGATAGAGATGTTCCCAGGGTTTGCTTTGTTCTGTGGCGTTCCTCCCACGCTATATATCGACTAGTGACTCATCTTCCTTTACAGGATCGGTTGCAACAGCAACTTGTTCGGGGAAATAAAAACAAAAAACCACTTCATTTTCTACTGAAAGAGACTTGTTTTAGCATTCAGCTTTATTTTGGAGCGTCTTCAAAATTGCGGGAAATTTGCCACCCACAGAACAGACAGGGTTGCCACTAAAATTCAGCGTGTATGTCAGCTTGGCCTCTGGTCTTCAATTTCAGGGCTAAAGTTTCAGGACAGCTCAGGCACTTAAAATTATATGTTGGCACCTCAGAATCTTGACACTTTTTACTAGCTGTGTATAGGCCTGTCTCTTCGGAATGTGAACTAGAGTAAACAAGGACAGCAAGAAATAGAATGCATTCTGGTTTGGAAAGAAAAATGGAAAAAACAAACACCAAACCTGCTTCTACATTTTAGCTGCTTCCTCTCTGTCCTACCCCCAGTTTTCTGCAAACTGATGGAATTATTGCTGTCTGCCAGTTAAAGTTACAGAACTTTAATGGAAAGAGTTCGAGCATTATTTCTCATTTGAGGGTGGCCCTTGTGTTTTAATTGGGTGGAGATCAAGAGCTGGAGGCTCCAGCTGCTTAACCAGAGGCAAGAGAAATTTATGGAAAGGATGGCAGCTATTATCATGACTTGCTGGAAGTCCACTTCGGAGAGGGACTCCTCTCCCTGTGGCCATCCTGTAAGGTAGACTAGAGCAATATGATCTTCATCCATGTTGAAATTTTCAATTTTCCCCTGGCTATAAAACAGGGGAAGCACCTGCAGCTTCCATTCCAGTAAGCACCTGCAGCTTCTGAAGGTCCTGGAGCAGCAGAAGGTCCTCTGCATCCACCTGGCATCCACGGACAGTCCGCTGCATAAGTCTGTTTATAATAATAATACATTTTATTTATACCCCGCCCTCCCCAGCCAAGGCCAGGCTCAGGGCGGCTAACAACCAATAATAAAAACAAGTTGAATGATTACAACTTAAAATCAAGATTAAAATACAACATTAAAACATCAAAACATTAAAATGCAGCCTCATCACAGGAGGAGAAAGGCAAAAAGAAAGAGGGGGAGGGAATCAATTTGACTCCAAGCCAAAGGCCAGGCGGAACAACTCTGTCTTACAGGCCCTGCCGAAAGAAATCAGATCCTGCAGGGGGCCCTGGTCTCATGAGGCAGAGCGTTCCACCAGGCTGGAGCCAGTGTTGAAAAAACCCTGGCTCTGGTTGAGGCTAATCTAACTTCCTTAGGGCCTGGGACCTCTAAGGTGTTGCTATTTATGGACCTTAAGGTCCTCCATGGGGCATACCGGGAGAGTTTAATGTATTCCTGGGTCACTGTCCTTTCTCTGCAGGGATGGGGATCTTATTCCTCTCCAGATGCTGTGGACTCTAACTCCCACCATCCCCATCCCCTCTCTTGACATTAGCCATGCTAACTGGGTCTGATAGGAGTTGGGAGTCTGACAGCACCTGGAAGGCCACAGGTTCCCCATTCCTGCAGTTTTATGTATCCATTTGTGGCTCATAAAATGTGATGGGGGTCTGTGCAAATTGTCCAAGCCCATTTCTAATCAGTGTATGACATAGCATTCACTCTGCCAGTCTATGCTCTGTTGGGACTCTTTGAACTGTGGGACTTGGCTCTCAGTATCAGTGTAATTCAGCGCTTTGTTTCTGTCTAAAACCCCTGGAAAGCCACCACTGTGGAACAAGGTAGATTATATTAGATTAGGTGGACTATTGGTCTGAGTCTGTGTAAGGCAGTGTTTATATGCTCGTATTGGTAACTCAATACAGTTGTACCTCAGGTTAAGTACTTAATTCGTTCTGGAGGTTTGTACTTAACCTGAAACTGTTCTTAACTTGAAGCACCACTTTAGCTAATGGGGCCGCCTCCTGCTGCTGCGCCGCCGGAGCACAATTTCTGTTCTCATCCTGAAGCAAAGTGCTTAACCTGAAGCACTATTTCTGGATTAACAGAGTCTGTAACCTGAAGCGTATGTAACCCGAGGTACCACTGTACTGTGGAATTTGAGTCATTGTCATTCTATTGTGTTTTATTGTGGGTTGGGGGGGAAAACATTTTGATTATCAATATTTTCCTATTTCAGGTGTACTTATTAAAATGTCAATGAGCAGGATATTATCAGCAGGCTTGGGAACTGTCTGTCCTTGTAAGAATGGAGAGAGGAATTATTTGTCTGAAATATAAATGGTGCGATAAAGAGAGAACAAAAGTCCAACCAGATAAGACAGGGCAAAGACTGTTGTAGGTTTTTAAAAAATCTACTTTGATGTATAATTCCAACCTGGAGTTGCTTTATGACATACAGTGACAGAGAATAGAAGCTGGACAAACCTGGCTTGGGAATTCAGTATCTCTGGATGTTTTGGGTCAATTTGAGAATACTGGCCAGGTTATCAGTTGAAAATACGTACCTGATAGTTGGGAAACCATGTCTTTTGGAATAATACAAGCTGTGCCATGTTCATTTTGAGCTTGAAATTTGTGTGTATTGATCATTATGGGATATGTAGCTTACCAGAGTTAACATTTGTTAACCCTGGAGTATTAGTTATGGTCAGGGGAAAAAAATCATAAATTATTTGACCTGAGAAACAGCAACGGTGCTGTTCCTTGTTAAAAATAAATAAATCCATTAATGATTTCCATGTACAGAAAGTTTTCTGCTTATACAGTGGTTGATATCTGGAAGGCTTCCAGAGCTAAATAAAAATATGGTAAAAGGTTAGTCCCTCATTTCAGTAGCAAAAAACAGAAAAAGTTTTCAAGAAGTGAGAAATAGACACACACACACACTACGTTACTGATCTTTCTCTGTTTTGTATGCAGATTTATATATTTCTGTGTTGTTCATGTTCAGTGAGAAAGGACCAATTGCAGGGGTGGGGAACCTCCAGCCCATGGGCCAGTGTTGGTTTGCCAGGTGGTCCAATTTGGCCTGTGAGGCCATTTCCCCAAACTTCAACTGGCTGATGTTATCTGATGGGTGGGGAAGGGAGATTTCATGTTGCCTGGTGTTTCTTTGCCAGCCGCATTAAATGTGCAGACCTCACTTCCTCCCTGCAAATCAACTAAGATATGGACAGGACTGCTCACCTATCAGTCACCTGATGTCATGATGACATCAGATGATTAGCAGGTGGATGACTGTGCCCATCTGTCTAAGTTGACCTGCAGGGTAAGGGAAGAGAAAATCTGGCCTGCTGGGCCAAAAATATGCCCTACTCTTGCCCTGTTGCAAGAAGGCAGCATTGTTTTTATGGCATCTGTCAACTGGGTGAGGTGATCCATTTGCCTGGATTGCTGTCTGGAGAATACAGTGGTCCCCGACAATACAAAAGCTGGTCATCCTTGGTTCTGAACTTATGGTCTTGTCTCATAAAGATAATTTAAGATTTAATCCATCAAGTAATGTGTTTTGAGAAGTTCCACTTTCTCTGATTGTGGTTTTTGGTGTCCTGGTTTTATAACCACATAGGATAGTAAGTGATAGAAAAAGTAGCTGAAATGATTAATACCATAGGTGTTGTGTTGGCTGAGTTTTTAGAAGTGAGATGTTTGACTAAAGTGGCTGTCTCTCGGGGATAAGATCAAAGGAGGGAACTATCCAAAGAAATTGGATGGCTTCACACAAGGAAGAGCTCGTGTTTTTGAGCTTTCCATACTTGTTTTCTTTGACTTGCATATGAACTCAAATTTAACACTTTTTGAGAGACTGTAAACCCGTTGACTTAATACATGATTATAAGAGTTCATGACTTCAGTTGTTTATTTGCAGTGTTGTTCAAACCAGTAGCATACTGCCTGTTTCAGCAAACACTGAAACTTGTTGATATCACAAATGAGCACAGGTAGGAGAGGGGCTAGATGCAAATGCTTTGCATGCGGATGGTCCCAGATGGTTCCAGGTTCAACCCCCATAAATTCCAGTTTAAAATACATCAGGTAGCAGGTGCTGGGAAAGACTCCATGCCTGAGGTCCCGGAGAGCCTGGTGTCCATCAGAATAGTCGAAAACCCCTCTGACCTGGTATAAGCAGTTACTTACGTTCTTATCTACAAAACATTCAAATTTAACCAATGCTTAAACTCATCATGTAGTGTACATTCCTTGACCTTCTTTGAACAAGTTCTGAATCTAGAACTAAAACAACAACAAAAGAAACCACTGCTGTCATTCTTTGCTCTTAGATAGGCTTTCATTAGTATTTGTCTGAATTTACTGTGATGTTGCTGCTGTTTTTAAAGCCAATTTACACTCTGCTTTTCTTTGAATTTTAGTGCAGCTTTGGTGTTACCTGCTTGATATCAGTTGTCAAGCTGTCGTAGGGAATTCTCAAGCTCCTTGTTAGCTTAGGAGAGGGGTGGGAAACCTGTGGCCTTCCAAATGTTGTTGGACACTAACAGTAATATCGGCCCCAGCCAGCATTGGCTCCAGCCAGCATAGCCTATGGTCCGGGATGTTGGAAGTTGTATTCCAGCAACATCTGGAGCGCCACAGGTTCTCCAAACCTGGCTTAGAAGTCTCATAAGATAGGAGATGTGGGGACCATTACTCTAATCCAGTGAGGGTGATGAACATCCAGGAGTGCAGTTTTTATCCTTGGCTTCATTCTCTTTTGCCAGATTGCTATATCCATCACCTGAGGCTGGGTGTTCAGTGCCCGTTGTTGGGTTGCAATTCTGTATACAGTGGCTATCAGGATTCCTTTGTGACTATGTAAGCCACTGCACTGAAGATGAAAGCATGGATGGATACCTTGCTTTTAAGCAAGTGCCCTGAAGGTAAAAGGGCTGATGGGCGCAGCCCACTAACCTTCCACAATTTTGAGCTAATATGTTGGAAGCCCTCGGCCTTGTGAGGTTTAGAGCAGCTGGCTCCCTTTGTCTCCCCTGTCTTCATCCCTAGGGTAAGTGTGACTGGTGCCAGTGCCCTTCTTCCCCAGCCAAAACTGTCAATGTTGTCAGACGCTACCATTGTTCTGGTGCATGCACACCTTAATCTGTTGCTGCACTTGAGGATCTTTTGATCAGGGTTTTTGTGTTCCAGTGATATCCCACAGAAATGAGAGAATGCACTATTTAGATGAATGAATGCATAGTACCCTTCATAAGCCTCTAATGGTAAGTGTAATACAGAAACCCTAATTAAATAAATGCCTAATCTTTATTTCTTTGTTCTAGAGCTTGCCCACCTTGAATAACAACACTAGCTCAGATTGGAAGCTGCCAAGCGACTCACTGCGTCTCTTCTCCAAAAAATTTCAAATGGACATAGGTAAGAAGCTTGTTGTTTATGTTTGTTCTTTTTTTATTACAGTAGACTCATACAGTATTGTTGTAGTTTCTAAAACACTTCTAGGTCCGTCCCCCCCCCCCCATTTCTTCTTTCTTTAACGTTGCAGCCTCAATTTTTTTGTTCTGCTTTGGGCTTTTTCATATAACTCTAAAAGAATTGTGTAAACTGCACCCATGTAATCTTCCTTAATCTAGGCAGAGGAATACGAAGGAATGCTTGTGTGATTTGGCTGTAGCCTTTTTGGTATTGATGGATCGAAGTGATATTTAGGGCATGTGTTCTTTGGCTTCAAACTGGTATAAGAAAATGAATGTCATATAAACAGATAGGTTGTATTTTTTTGAATAACATGTTTGTGTTTTATTCGTCTATGTGCCTTTCCATTGATTGTCTCTGAGGCAGCTCACATAAGGACAATTTATAAGCATCAAATGCTCTCTGTCTTATATCCCTTTGAGACTGTTTACTAGTTAGCTCTCATGGTTTGTGTTCAGTATTTATTTTTCAATTTTACATAAGCAACTCATGGATCTGGGAATTAAAATAAAGCACTTCCCATTGCCCCTTAGCAGTCAGCTGTAAGGCCCAAGGATTTGTAAGCTTTCTGTCACAATTTTATTCCACCCTTCTTTCAAGGAACTCTCAAGAATATGGGATTATTTGGTTGTTTTCAGGTTAAGTGGAAACATATAGGATTCATTACTGAGTGAGAATTGAATTTGGGATTCCTATTTTCAACCCATTGCTTTTATCAATGTGACATCAGTTGAGGCTGTGACATACAAGTCTCTTGTGCCTAGAAACCAGGCAAGCCTCCCTGGAGGGAAAATCCACAACTGTGACACCACAGCCCCCGAAAAGCCCTCTCTTGGCTCAGTTCCCGCCTCATCTCATCTGATAGGGGTTTCTGGGAGAGGGCCTCAGATAGGTTGATGTGGATGAAAACAGTCCCTTGGATCCCAAACTGTGTAGGGCTTTAAAGGCTGGCACAAACACTTTGAAGGGTGCTCAGAAATGGGTTGGATGCCAGTGAAGCTTTATTTTGGTTATATAACTTCCCAATGATTAAAGTCTATTGGGTGCATTCTGAACTACCGTATTTTTCCGTGTATAAGACTAGGTTTCCCCCCTAAAAAATAATGTCAAAAATTAGGGGGTGTCTTATACACAGATACATCTCCCCTCATTTTCTTAAATCTGAGTCCCCCAAAATAGGGGGTGTCTTATACATTGGGGCATCTTATAGACGGAAAAATATGGTAACTTAAGCTTTTGAGCAGCCTTCAAGGGTAGGCATACATACAATGCATTGCAGCCGTCTGTTCTGTTAATTTGTTAATTATTGGTGAATAATAATAATAATAATAATTTATTATTTATACCCCGCCCATCTGGCTGAGTTTCCCCAGCCACTCTGGGCGGCTCCCAATCAACAGTACAGCGTTACATATTAAAAACTTCCCTGAACAGGGCTGCCTTCAGATGTCTTCTGAATGTCAGGTAATTGTTTATCTCTTTGACATCTGATGGGAGGGCGTTCCACAGGGCGGGCGCCACTACCGAGAAGGCCCTCTGTCTGGTGCCCTGTAGCCTCACTTCTCACAATGAGGGAACCGCCAGAAGGCCCTCGGCACTGGATCTCAGTGTCCGGGCTGAACGATGGGGGTGGAGACGCTCCTTCAGGATATGAACAACTGTGTCCAGCCATCTCTGTGGAGGAGGGATGACAGCTGGCATATCAGGCTGAACTGGTGAAATGGTGCTTTGTGCCATTGATGCCATTTGTGTTTCTGGCAGCAAAACTAGATTAAGGAGTAACTTCCAACTGAGGAGCTGATGCTTTTGGTTTGGGGGTTACAGTTCCATTCAGAACAGTTTGAACACCATCTTCCTTATAGAACTCATAATTACAAATTTCACTGGGCAGTTTGCACCACTGTCTTAGTTGTCCTATTAATAATGGTGTAGGTCTGTTGGCTGTCACAAAAAAGCAGCACCCTCAAGTTATTCCATGTGCAGAATCTTCACATTCTAGACATTTTATTGGTATGTTTCTGCACCTTATCTGTCTGCATATTGGCTAGTATTGCTCCTTTCCTGGCACTCATTCATCCTGGGACTATAAATGCACAAACCTTTTTTATCTGTTAAGAACTAAAAATAGCATACTTGTAGTTTGGACTGTAATTATGCTGTAATTTTTCAATTGCTCGCCTGGGATAAGATTTATTTTTATAGTATATAATCTGTCTTCCTTTAATTAAAAAAAAAAGTTCACAATGTTGCACTCATTTCACTGCTGGTAGTAGAATACAATCGCTGAATAGGCCTTGAACCCAAATCATTTTTTTGCTGTGTGTAACATAGCCTTGGACAAAGCCCTTCATGTGTCTCTTTGGACCGCCCCCCGCCCCATGCTTATGTGTCAGTCTTAGGAGTTTCTAGTTATATAACAGTAATTCTCAGTGTTTGGATTGTTTGTCAATGAGTCCTTGGATGCTAACAAATACTAGCAAACTTTTCACTTGTCTTTCCCACAACTGCAAAAGCTTATTTTAGTACCTGCAATCTTTCCTTCCCCAAAGTTACACATGGGTACAGTGGTACCTCGGGTTAAGAAGTTAATCCATTCCAGAGGTCTGTTCTTAACCCGAAACTGTTCTTAACCTGAAGCACCACTTTAGCTAATGGGGCCTCCTGCTGCCTCTGCACGATTTTGGTTCTCATCCTGAAGCAAAGTTCTTAACCTGAGGTAATATTTCTAGGTTAGCCGAATCTAACCTGAAGCGTCTGTAACCTGAAGCGTATGCAACCCGAGGTACCACTGTAATGGATTTCAATTGCTTTTAAAGGGGCAGGCAAATTTTCTCCAGATTGTGTTATCAGAAGAGGCAATGAAGGGCACACAGGTTGCAAATAATGGCTTTTGGATTTGAATGTCACCCACCCCTTTTAGGTACAGGTTTTATAGCTGATAATATAGAAAGAAATATTATTACGTAAACAAACTTTAACATTACTTTTCAAAGAGGAAAGTGAAAAAGCATACTAATAGAAGCTGGCAGAGCGATCCCATGCAAACCTGAATAAAAAAATTGTGCTGGGATTGCATGCTGCTTTACAAAAGACACAGTGCACAGAAGTCATAAACTTGCATGTGTAATTTTGGGGGGGATGTGTGTGTGAATACTATACTAGAATTTACGTTTCACGCAAGGCAAGTTTGTCAAATTCCCACGCAGATTCTGCTGCAAAATCAATTTCTCTTCAAATATCCCGTTCATCATCCTCTGCTCCCCCCCCCCACTGAATTAAAAATGAACAGGGTTCACATCACAGTACCCTTCAGATGGGGAGAGGGCGGGGGATCCTTGCTATGAGATGAGATGGCCAGCAGGTGGTGTGTCTATTTGTTTTTACTTGCTTAAACCAATAAGCATTTGGCAGCCTTAGGGTTGACGCCATGGTTCACTGCATGTAAGAGTCCTCCTGGACTTGCATTGCTGCCCCTTAGCTGCTGGTATCCAGTAGCATGCTGCCTGCAAGTCCATGCAGGCATCAGGCATCATTAGTAGCCCTCTTCCATGAATTTTGCTCTTTTAAAGATATCTGCATTAGTGGCTATCACTCCATGCATTATGGACTGTGTTGTTTCTTGTGTGATTATCAATAGTCTATTTGCATGAAAAGCCAACTATATGGCCCCTTAAGATTTTCTGGGCATTCTTTCAGATTTCTGTGCACCACTATAAGATCTTATTTGCAGTCTACATTGAGATGAAAATATGTTTGAAGAAATATGAGGCTAAGGCCCAAACTACATGTTACATATAGTTGTGTGTAAGTTAAAAATAATAACTAATAGCAGTAATGGAAAACAGCTGAAGGGGAAAGAGTGGAGAATGCAGCCGAAGCAGAAAGAGTTAACTTAGTTAAGTACACCCTCATACTTGCTGGTACTCTGCTCAACACTGCAGCCTCCAGCAGCCACTTTTGGTTAAAAAAACAAATAACAAGGGGGGGAGGAACTGTGTTCATTTTAAACGCCACCACCACACTTTCCAATAAACCTTTGCAGTAGCAGATAGGATAATTGAGCAGTTTAGACCCCAGTGTGTTGCATATACCGAACAAGCATAGTGCCAAGAAAATACATGCAGAGCCAAATAGCTTAAGCTGACTTGTTCAATGAGCCAAACCACATGCTACAGGGGAAAGCAAAAAGAAAAGCAAAATCCCTTCAAGGTCCCTAACCTATCTGACCTTGGGGAAAGTAAGTCTTTCTTGATTGGATATGGCAGTCATTCAGACCCCAGAGGAAGGAAGGAAAAACATTTAAAACTCACGCAAAGGGGAAACTCCAGTGTTCCACAACTAAGGCCATATCCTGTAAGGCTATTGATCAGAAGTAATCAGCCGTGTATGATCATGGCCAGATGAGCCGAAAGAATATGCAGATATACACTTGACAATCTATTGGAGCCTGGTGGTGGTGGTTGTTACTTTTATGCTTTTGAGTTTCTCAGGATTTGAACAGGAATCTCTAGTACTGTAATGCCGTTTACAGCTTGGGAACTTTGGAGATGATTAGTAACAGTTTTAGTAGTAAAGATGTAGCCCATTGAGTCTCTTAGCTTGATACTATTTGCATTACTGAAGCTAAAGACGAGGAGATGAATAAGTAAACTAACTTCTCATGTTGGTAAGTGATTAAGCATAAAAAGGAAAACAAATTATATTGCAAAATGAACTTGTTCAAACTGGTTTTAGCGTGGCATGCAATTTTCAGTGAGTGACTAATGCATTTTGTAAGGATTTGTTCAATCTTTTGCAAAACGTTGACAGCTTATATGAAGCTAAATAGATGTTTGTAGAGGGCCTGGGGTACATCTATACTGGATCAGGCACACAGGAGGGTTGGTGGGTTCTAGCCATTGTCTTGTGAGAGCTACAATCCAGTGCACACTTACCTGAAAGTAAACCCCACTGAACTCTGTGGAATTTAATTCTGAGTAAGCACAGTTGGGATCTGCACACTTCTTGAAGGGTGGGTTGGCAAAAGCATATAGAAACTCGTTATGGTGAATGAAGTCACATGCTTTTCAGGCATTAGGGCTGAAAGGACTTCCTTACTATGTTTGGAAGTTATGTATGTGTGTATAATATAGTTTTTCAGAACTTTTTCAGAATTCTGGTCAACTTACCACTGATAAACTGCAAAATATGCAGGTGCTTTGGGTGCATTTATTCATGAAGAGTGGCAGCCCTCTTTTTACTGAGTGGAGGAATAAAACTCCTGGGATTCTTTTCTCCTTGGAAGGCATTGAGTATAATATAATCAGTTTAACTTCCTCAGAGTTATCGGTACTGCTAGAAAAGGAGCTTGCAATTGGAAGCGGGTGCATTCTGGCTGTGCCTGTGAGTCATGTGACTGCAGGGTCTAAATTGTCAGTTCACTAGTTGGATCAACCAGTCACTCGCTGAAGGCACAGACCCTGGGAGCTAGGATCTCCTCTAGCCTAGGTGCTGTGAGCAAACAAGTACTACAGGTAAATATTCTGTATCATTTTTGCCTTGCTGATTTAATATTTAGATTAGTTTCCTGCCTTTCTAAATGCTTTAAAGTTTAGCAAAAACTCAGCTGACTTTTCTTGTTAGTGTGCTCAGGTTTTTGGTCTCTGGCAAAAAGCAGTAATCCTTATAAGACATTTTTAAAAGTAAAGCACCACTAATCATTTGTAATTTAATAGCTTTAGCAATTAATTTTACCCTTTCTCTCCATATGGATGTTAATTAACTTGTCTTTTTGAAAATCCTTGATATAATAATTAGGTATAAACACTTCTCTTTTTTTAAAAAAAGGGGAAAAAACCTCTGCTTCTTTTGATCAGGCAGGACAACTTGTTTCTGTAAAATGAACTGTAGGATGATAAATCTCTTGTCAGCAAAGATGTGCAGTATCCTGAGAGCTGTGATAAAGCACAAAGTTTTTAACACTTTAGTTAGCTTGTTATGGTCTTTTCTGAGTTGATTTTCTAGGGGAAAGTAAACCTTTTGTGTAGTTAAATTAAGAAGTCAGCTCTTTACTACCAATTTGAAGTAATTTTTAAGGCTTTTCGAAGCAAGAAAATGTTACTTGCATGTCATGCCAGATCCAGTTTATGTGAGCCCAGTATGAGGGGGAATGCTGAAAGTGAGCTGACGCTCTTCTAAGAAATTCCCAACAGATGTGAAGCACTTGCCTTTATAAGTAGGTCAGAAATCTTATGCATGTGTTTTGGGAGAGTGGCTGGATTTTGCAGGTTCTGAGCCAACAGTATACAGAATTACACGTGTCTTCAGCTGTGAGTGTTCTGCTGGCTTCAGTGAGGATTCCCCCCCTTTCCCCAAATATTGTCCATTAGAGGGCAAGGCTTTTGGATGCACTGTTTCCCCAAATATTGTCCATTAGAGGGCAAGGCTTTTGGACGCACTGTTTTAACACTTCTAAAAGAGTGTTTCTCACACACTTAATTCAATAGAACTTACTAATGGGAATCTTGTATATTAGAATAGGCAAATCAGATTTTATTATGACAATTTCAGTATTTATGCATTGTTAAAACTGATCTGTGCATAATAATTTAAAGCTTGTAATGATGGCTTTTTTGCAGGAAGTTTGGAGCTATGTGCATAGTCTAAACATAAAGCTGTAGATGATACATGTGAATGATAAAATGTTTTGAATAAAGAAAGTAATTCCACTGCAGAGCTTGGATAACTCAGTTGGTTGAGATTAAGACTCTTAATCTCAGGGTTGTAGGTTTGAGCCCCACATTGGGCAAAATATTCCTGCATTTCAGGGGGTTGGACTAGATGGCCCTCCTGGTCCCTTCCAACTCAATGACAACATACATCGATGACTGTCCCTGTAGTATTCTATATTGCACTTTAGAGGTTGCCTTTAAGTCTGAAATAGTATCGAGCACAACTATCAAAGCTTTATGTTCATAGGCATAATTACGGTAAAGTTTGCTGCTGGACAAGAGGAGAGCTGGAGGTTTGGTTTAGATGGACACCAGTTGGATTTGTTATACAGTTCCTAGATTTCCAGTGCACTTTATAAACAGTAATATTTTTTATTAATGCTGCTGTACACAATGCTATTCACAAATCCGGCTTTGTATAGAACTAATTCCTCTCCTAGAGGACTTGCAATCTAAAGGCCTTTTCACACATGATGACTTTTCTGTGCATATACAGTGGTACCTCAGGTTACATACGCTTCAGGTTACATACGCTTCAGGTTACGGACTCCGCTAACCCAGAAATAGTGCTTCAGGTTAAGAACTTTGCTTCAGGATGAGAACAGAAATTGTGCTATGGCGGTGCGGCAGCAGCAGGAGGCCCCATTAGCTAAAGTGGTGCTTCAGGTTAAGAACAGTTTCAGGTTAAGTACGGACCTCCGGAACGAATTAAGTTCTTAACCCGAGGTACCACTGTATCATGTTAGCATTGTGGGATGGGAACATGTATGTGTGACAAATACATGTATACCTGTTTTGCTCTAAAAGTGTGTGTGGGGGGGGGAAACAGTTTTTGATTGAATTTTCCAAGGATTGCTGAGAGAGTTAATCAGCAGCAGACAGCTTAGAGGGTGAGGTGCTGTCATGATTCAGGAAAAAATTGCAGAAGTGATATGTGTGTGCGTGTGGAGTGGTATGGATGATGTGATTGCACTGATGGCTTGGATAGAACAGAAGAGACTGTTCCAGGTGCAGCAAGAATAACAATAGAAGATACAAAGGTGAAAATGAGTAGGCAACTCAGGTGGCTATTGGGTAAGGGGCTGAGAGCCTTGAATGTTAGATACAGTGGTACCTCTGGTTACGTACTTAATTCGTTCTGGAGGTCCATTCTTAACCTGAAACTGTTCTTAACCTGAAGCACCACTTTAGCTAATGGGGCCTCCCACTGCTGCCACACTGCCGCAGCATGATTTCTCTTCTCATCCTGAAGCAAAGTTCTTAACCCGAGGTACTATTTCTGGGTTAGCGGAGTCTGTAACCTGAAGCGTATGTAACCCGTGGTACCACTGTACAACACACAAAAACAAACACACAACAACCTTTCAACCTGAAGCAGATGCAGAAAGTAAAGGGTGTCATTCAACAAATAAGGGATACCATGAAAGCAGTAAGAGACAAAAATAGAATTATCCTTCCCCTCCCTTGGATAGTAGGCCAGGTTGTTAACAAATCCTTTCTAATGGCTCAAATCCTCTTGGAGATCCCACTACTCAGGGAAAGGAACCCTATCTCCATGCCTTGCAGGACACTGTGCTTACCCAGCCAAGATTTACATGTGTAGCTGACTTGCCTAAGTCATACACTTTAAGCGCTTGTCTGGAGACAGACAAGAGTTGAAAATCGTTTGATGATGGCTTTGTTTTCCATAATGTACAGTACACTACTTTTTTGTCGCACTGCCATGGCTTAGACAGACAGGGTTTACAGTATATGCTTTGAAATCATGCAAAACCCTGACTATCAGGGTAGAGTTGATTGGAGCAGCCTGCCTTTAAATCCTATCTGAAGAGTTTGGAGATGTGACACTTTTTAAGATGAAAAGGGATGCCATGAGTTAGCTGAAACATTCCACTTTCCATAGTGTGCCTCCCTATAGCCCATCATCTCTCAAAGTCAGTTTCCTTCCCAGCTGCGCTGTGATACTGGAATGGAGCCTTGCTGGGAGAAAAGTTCCTTGAAGGGATGAGCTGGGTAAACTAAGTTATGGGACCATGGAACAGTTCAACTACTCTTACATAAATATTCATTTTCCTCTTAAAGTTGGACCTCCACTACAATAGAGTGGAGTGTGTGTTTGTGTGTGTATGTGCATGCACGCACGCGCGCACGCACACACACACACATGGGGCTACTGCCTCTGCTCACGAAGCCCACCAATGAACCAACCACTCTTTCCCCACACCTGACCAAATCCCCCTCCCTTTATACCTCATCCACCCCCTCAGTTATTCCCTCATAGCTCACCCAAACCTTGAGAGCCAGTGTGGTGTAGTGGTTAAGAGCGGTAGTCTCGTAATCTGGGGAACCGGGTTCGCGTCTCCGCTCCTCCACATGCAGCTGCTGGGTGACCTTGGGCCAGTCACACTTCTTTGAAGTCTCTCAGCCCCACTCACCTCACAGAGTGTTTGTTGTGGGGGAGGAAGGGAAAGGAGAATGTTAGCCGCTTTGAGACTTCTTAAAGGGAGTGAAAGGCGGGATATCAAATCCAAACTCCTCTTCTTCTTCTTCCCCTCCCCTCATAGCTCACCCAAACCCGCTCCCCTCACAGCTTGTCTTGGAGTCACTTCAGAGAGTGATTTGGCCTGTTGGTGGTCTTGTGAACTGCAGCATGACTACAGTCTTGCAGTTTTATTAAATAGGTGTGTGTGTGTGTGTGTGTGTGTGTGTGTGTGTGAAGTCCTGAATTTAACAAATGGGTCTGCCACTGTCCATTTGAGCCTTGGAGGCAAACACAGGATACGGGTTCCACAGTGAGCATTGATCTCTCTTTCAAATGGTTGAGTGCTCTCTGAAACACTCTCTAGTCTTACATTTTCCACTGTTTAGTCAGTGGTCCCTGATGAAATGTTTCTGTGCCGTTTTCTGGCCCCTCCCCCTCAACCATTTCCCGTCCTTCACTGCCTTTTCCCATTCTGAGCATGCATGAATTTGTTAAAAAAATAAATCACAGGAGATGAACAAGATTAGATATCACAAGCCTCTAATAATCATGTTTCACAATGGGCAATATGCAGGCTTGTGCTTTTGAGGGTGGGAGGAGCAGTTTCCATTGGGAGCCTTTTTAACAATAGAGGTCTTATTCAAGACTAATATTCAGCTATTCCAAAATTCTGTTAGAGGTCTTATGTAAAAGCTCTGTATTTATTTATTAACGCACACAGTCCTGAGTTAGTTTCCAAGGTAGTTTCACCACATATGTTGAAAGATCATGCAAGATGAGCTCCTGAAATTCCAGCATTCCTTCAGCATGCAGCAATAGGTGGAAATGGTCATGCTCATATCGTTTAGACTGACAGAAACGAAATGACTAGGTTGTGGTCTGATGAGAAGCAAAAAACAGTAAGGGTATGATGATTGACACCACCCACCAAAACATTTACTGTGCACATGACAAACTGCTCACCCCAAAAATGTGCTAACAAGCTTTCACACCAGTGGTGATTGTTGGAGTATAACAAGTTGTTTTTCCTTAATGCATTTTCCTTGATAAGAGGAAATCCAGATTAAATGTAGCAAAAGAAGTATGAGCAGGCATTTTGATGGCAGCAGTGGCCTATGGGAGGTACAGAAAGCTTGTGTGCATGAGCAGTATGCCTCTGTTTGGAAGGACCAGTTATCAAATTTCCCTAGCAGATTTCCCATCAGTTCTGTTAGAAACCCTTTCCCCGAGAATTCCTGCAGATACGGTGCTCTATAAGTGAGACAGGTGAATTTCACTTATGCATTCAGCTTCAAGGTTTGTCTCAAAATATGGATATAGCAAAATGAACAATAAAAGATTTCAACAGTCGTGTCAATATTCAACCTGTGAGGAATTATATTGGTGCTGTACTCTCCCAGAAACTGCTGCTTTGTTCACTATAATATATAAGAGACTAGCAGTAAACTTGACTAAAATTAATCACCAACATCCAGCAGTTTGTTGATTTCCCCAAATACCCTTTTCAGCCTTGATCTTCCATTCCAGCGTAGCAATAAATTATTTGACTATTTTATTTAGGAATTCAAATAATCACAGCTTGTGTGTTGAGTGAAGAGGAGTGGGGGAAACCCTCAATGCAATGTCTGTCTGCAGGTCCACTGCATGAACCAGCACGTTTAGAGACTCATCTCACTTTCATACTGTTGACTGAGAGACAGGCAATGTGCATGCAGTAAATATAACAGCCCTCATAAACTGTGAATCTGTATTTAGAACTGTTGGAATGAATTGACGGTCTTGGCACTGCCATGCTACATGGTCTTGCTGTCAATTTATGGAGCCTTTTCCTCGTTTTACAGGCCTTGGCATCCACTTTCTTGTTACTTTTATTTATAACAGAAGATCTTTCATGTTGTGCCTTGAGCAGGAGGGGGATAAAAGCATTGCATCATTACCTACTTTGGAAATGGCTTTTAAATATGTTTTTAATGACCTGGTTCTATCTGTACCTGTTGGTTTTACTGGGAGTGCTTCCTTTCCCTTCTAACTTGTTTGCCTAGAGATAAGCTATAATGTTTGATGCAGCCATTTGAAACCAATCAAACTTAAATATTCTGCCGCTTTTCTGTCCCAATTGCCTGTGAAGTTTTGCTCCCCAAAGGTTTTGTGTATGCCTTCTGTGACACAGCTGTTCTTTTCCCTCCCAATTGTGTAACAAGACCACATTCTTCATCTGGATTGATTTACCAACAACTTACAACTTCTTGGTTTCACTAGACATGAATTGAGACCAGTGGGAATGACTTGCTTTTCAACTCTTTTTGTATTGTGTGCTAAAAGGTAAAAAATGTATTAAGATTTAACCAACCTTGTTAGCTCTACACCATAGCATCACTGCAGCCCAGGGAAGCTATAGGAACAACATGAACATAATAAACATAATAAACTCCTGAACCCTGGATGTCAAAGAAGATGGAAACTCTTTAAATATGAGGGGTAACTGGGAACCAAAGTCTCTGAAATAAGGAATCCATTGAGAACCACCACAGTTTTTGCTGAGAAAAGGAATTTTATTTCAAAGAGAACTAGAACTATTTTTCTTCAGATGGAGTTATCTTCCAGAGAATTAGCATGCCTGTTTCTCTTGTTGCATGAAGGCTAGTGGGAAACGTTATCTGAAATAATAACATCTTATATAAGCAATAATAGGCTCTAAGAGTAGAAAAGTACAAGATTCAAGGTTCAGTACCTAGCTCTGTAGTATAAATAAAATCTCCTGCAGATACAAATAGTCTTAGTTTTGTAGGTCCACCCTCTTCCTTTCAGCTGTACCTATTTAGCACCGATCTTCTCCCATCTTTGGCTATGCATCATCTTCAGAAAATCATATAGAATGCCTCTATGCATCTTGAGTCTGTCCCATGTACTAAAGAGGAGGGCTTTACTCCAGGGCATATAGTGGGGTTCGTATATAGGCTGCAGCCCTGTCACATCTCTATTTAGAAATTAAACTCTGTCCACATCTTTCACAGTGTTCTGAGAGTGTGGTTTTTAAATATTTTAATTTTAAAGCTAATACTTAAGGTTGTTGTCATTCTGTAGCTAACTGTTGTACAGACCTCTGTACTTGTTCAGTTTCACCGCTACTGGCATTCCTTGTTACAAAGATCTCTGGGAAGGATCTAAACCAGAGACTTTGAATAAGTGCTTTTCATCAAAAGAAAAAATGCCAGAGTAGATGGGGAAATGGTCTGACTCAGAAGAAGCAGCATCTTGTCCCTGTAGAAAGTTTTAGGTTGAAGAAGGAGGTTCATGGTTGTGAGCACTATAATGGTTTTGAGTAGCAATTGGAGATGGTTGCCACCATTTTCAGAACAATCGAAATGTGTGTGGTGGGGTAGAATTGTGAAGGGTGTTGAGTGGAGCATCTGTGCACATGTAGTTAGAGGCAGCTGAAAAGGTTCAGGAAAACTGAGAAAACTTGACCACTGGGTTGCCAGAGGTGTGATTAACATGCTCTATATTAATTTGAAAATATATTTCTTACAAAGTATGTTAAAAGTTTATGTGCATGGGGTAGTTCCAGAATGCAAAGTAGTGGGTGCAAACAAATTATTTAATGCAAATCTCTTATATGCTAGTTGGCAGCTTACAAAATATCTAGGAATCGGTTGCGCCTCTACTTATATTATTGTCTGAATAGATTGCATTGATGACTAGTTCAGAGAAAATATTTTCACATGAATACAGCCTCACAAATTGCTTCAAGAGTCTGTTCTGTGATTGCAAAATGTTATTTCACAAGAACTATAGCTGTCATTGAGGCTAAGCATAACTCTCTTAGGCTACAGCTTTGTGGGCAATAATATACTATATAGCCAAGCTGAAGAAACTCGCCTAAGAGAATTTTCCTAAGAGAATTTAGTTATTCAAAAGTGCTTATGACCTTCTTGATATTAGCTTTTAAGTGTGAATATTCATTGGGTCGCTCCTCCCTCCTTATCCCTTACTTCCTTTGTCAATTATGTCGCAATTGTTTAATTATTTGGTTTAATAGGATGGATCAAAATAGCATTGGTATTGGATAAATTGCCACACCTATTTTTCTGTGTTCACACAGAGGCAAGCGTTCTGAATTGTGTGTATGGGTTTTTGTTTGTTTCTTATACTGTATAAGTTAACATGCCTGGAATAGTGGATACTAGTTTTCATAGGAACATGTGAATTTGCCATATATCGAGCCTGACCGTTGGTCCATCTTAGACCTGGGTGATCTATCGAAACATTGTCCAAAACCTGTTTGTAGGCCAGATCATGATAACGATTTCATGATTTTTGATCTGGAAATGTATCTCGAATCACGGCTCACTCCACTGGCAGCTGCCAGCACCATGCATTTCATTCCTGGGTGTTGCCTCAGTTTGCGCCCTGCAAGGTCACACGATGCTTGCCCACATACTGTGTGTGCACAACAGGAGCTGAGAACCCTGCTTTGTAGCTGCCTGGCTGTTGCAGGGCCAATGGAGGGGGCAGATTACAACTAGGGCTGGGTGATGTATCTCAGCTGCTTCTTCCTCTCCACCTTATTTCCTCCTTTCTCCTTATTTCACACCTTGTGATATATCAGTATATCACGATATTTAGCTGGTGATATATCATGATGAAAACCAGATATCGCCCAGCCCTAGCATCTAGTTTGATGTTGTCTATACTGAATAGCAGTGGTTATCAAATATTTCATCCCATCCTTACCTGCAGATGCTGGGACTTGAGCATATGCTCTGCCAACGAGCTACAGCCCTTCATCTTAGTCTAAGCTTCCATGAAATTCTAAAGGAAGCCTTAGAGCTGAATTAAGTATAGGTACTACTTCTAGCCATGCTACAGTCATGCTGAATGGGGTGAGAGGTTGACGATGTGGACTATGCTTTCTACTATATATAGCTGAATGGTAATCCCAGCTGTAGCTGGTATTTGTGGTCTCTGCCCATCTTGGATTTGTTAAGGAGTAGAGAAGATGTGATTGTAAGTGCCGGCTTTAATTGTGTCCTCTGTTTGCTGTATTAAGCTGGAATCCAATACGGTGGTGCTACTTGCCATGGTGCAGTGCCATGGCGGTACAGTTAACAGTATCATGGTATCAATATGGAAATCATGTTGACTAAGCGAAAAGCTGTGCTTTTGTGGGCAGAGGCAGGAAGCAGTTTCTAGAAATAATGGTTCCAGATAAGAAGTGGAAACCAAATCTATTTCTTGCTATTTCTATGCAACAGTAATTGGAACTCCTTATTACCGCATTTGTATTGGGCTTCTAAAACATTTACATGGGTGACTTACTTTAATGGCTAGAGCCGGTCTTGTTTAATGTCAACATAATGACATGGAAAACACACATTAGTGATAAACAGGTTTTATTCTGAAAATAGATGTGCAAATTTAAATATCTTCCTCCTTAAAAACAAACAAAAGAACCTCAGCTCTTTGGAAGAAAATATATTTGCCATTAGATTTTGAGGGAGAAGGGGCAATAGCACAACTCTGCTTAGCCTAAAGCAGGGGTCTGCAACCCGCGGCTCCGGAGCCGCATGTGGCTCTTTTACACCTTTGCCGTGGCTCCGGGGCGGATACTAGCGAGGGGAGGAGGCGCATTGTGCGCCCCGACACTCCCCACTGTGGCAGGAGCTGTACTGGCTGTGACGTCGCATGGGGGCGGTGCGTGCGTTAGTCACGCACGGTCCCGACGTCACCTTTCCGCCCGCCCGCCCGCCCGCTACATTGTAAGGGGCATGTACGCTGGTCACTGCATTGAAAGGGGGCATGTACGCTGGTCACTGTTTTGAAGGGGAGTGAAGAACACACACACACAAAAAGGTAACTTGTTAATTTAACGTTTATTTCTATGAGGAGGAGTAATTCTGAGGGGTCAAACAAAGAAATAATAAAAAAGTGACAAAAAAGTTATTTTTATAATGATGAGTTTTGCGGCTCCCAGTTTTTTTTCTTCGGAAACAGGTCCAAGTGGCTCTTTTTGTCTTAAAGGTTGCAGACCCCTGGCCTAAAGGAAACCAGTCTCTCTCTGTCTCTCTCTCTCTCTCTCTCTCTCTCCCACCCACCCACCCACCCACCTACCACTTCCAATGCATTAAGAGTGTGTGGAGGGATGGACCTCAGTGTAAAAAACTATGTACTTTACAGTACAACAGAACTTGTCCAGTTCCTGATGTGTGCTGGTGGCTTTCTTGGAACATTCATCCTTTCAGTGCCTAACTCAGGGTTCTGCGTAGCTGTGTACTGGGTTAAGTGTATGTGTTAGCTGGCTTATTGGATAAAACCCATTAGGAATAAAATACTTAGATAAAGCAGCCTCCACGGGTGCAATGTCGTCAGGCCTGTTTTATTAAATAAATGGATGCAATCTTAAATGTACATAGCACAGGCCCAGAGCAAACACAACACTGGTAAGGAAAGACACCAGCACAGAGCGTGCAGGAGGTCTGAGGTGAAGCATGGTAATGAGGGGAGGGGGATGACATAGAGATTAGGAGCAGATGACCTGAATGAGGAACTTGTGTGCCTGGTTTCTGAGTTTCAACATTTTTGTGTGTGCTTTCATACTTTTCTTTGCAGCCACAGGGCCTGGAACTGTCCCCTTTCCCTCTTTGATAAATTGAAAGCTGGCTTTCTATTGCCAAATCTCAAACTTGCATGGTAAATCACAGGTGAAGCGTTAACTCCCAAGATGCTTCCCAGGGTGCCAGTTGACTAGGCAAGTGATGATTACAGTAAGTTTGTGTGGGTACCTGTGGTCTCAGCCATCCTCCTTCCTTTCTCATTGTGTGAACTGATGCAATCTTGGTAGCCTTTCTCGGTGGAATGAGATGTTTGTTTATGAACATTTTATTTTTTCTGCTTTATATGTGCACTGTGATCACCTACTACTAAACTACTAACTGAATCAGAAATGTAACAACCAGCAAACTTCCTAATCACATTTCTTGAATTAGTAACACATGCCTATCAGTGTGTATGTATCTGTATCATTATCTAGGCTCAGAAACTAAAAATAGACTGTTACTTTGCACCATGTATACCTTGGAACTAAAGACAGAATGGAAGGCAGTACTACATGTCTGTGTTTTTAGCAGGACATAGTATTCCCAGTAGCTACGCTGCTTTCTGTACTTGGCAGCTTTGCTAAATTCTTCATTTAATATATAGTTACTACTATGCAGTGTCTCTAGGCCAGCTTCACTACATTCTGTAAGTAGAAACTCTTTAGTGATATTACAAACCAACAAAGTAAAATGTAGAGTTGATTCCCCCCCCAAGCCGCCATCTGGAAACATCCTATGTAGATATTGTATATCAAAGTTTTCTACTCTTGTTTACTACCCTGCATAAAGATGCTTACGTGGAAGCCTTCCCTCCCCTCTGCATAAGCAAGGCTTTTGTGCTCTCTTTTCTTGAAAGTGTGTACAAAACCATAACTACAAGACAAAATCCAGGAGAATGCACATTTTTCACCTGAGATGTTGATGATGAAAAGTGGAAGCTGTGGCCAGTAATCTTTGGATAGTGTTGTTTTCCCTTGTGCAATACAGCTGTTTTCAAAAAAAAAAAGGTGAATTAATGTCTGTTCATGACAACAGACGTATGATGAGCAGTGGCAAATACCGGGTCAAAGATATGTCCAGCAATACATGTTGGATCTAGTGATGTACTGAGATATTCATAGAGGCTCTGAAGTCCTGAGGTGGCCCATTTGAGGCAGCCACAGCATAAATGTTGACGTCCCCCAATACTTCTCTAGCACTACATCTGAGGCTACATCCACCAGCACAGTTAAGGAAGTTGTAATTCAGATGGGTGAAATGTACACTTTAAACATCCCCGTTCTGCCTCTCTGTCCCAACACGACAAATAAACCCAGAAAGAGTGTGGATTGATCTTCTGGTGAGGGAGATTAAATTTTTTTAATGGATGATAGTTACCTTCCCTGCCCTGGTCCTTCTTACCTGGACTGGTGCTACACAGGTGGCCTTATGCTAACCTTGGTTAGCACAGGGCCACCTAGCCCATCGGCCCCCTCATCTGTTATCAGCTTGTGGATAATAGATGTTCTATTCTGGTTAAACCTGGCATTTAGCAGCAGCACCAAACTAGAGAGTCGTCAAACCAACACCCCCAGATTCTGAGATTAAGTGGCTGAAACAAAAGAAGCAAGGACTGATGTTACAAGCCCCACCATACCTTTACCCACCTCCGTACCCCCCCCAGCCTGCTATCAAAGGGATTATAGCCTGATTCCCCTCATCCCCCTGTCCTTGACCCAGGCACATAATTCCCTTAAACCACCTCTGATCACAGTGATAGAACACAGACAAAGTAGACAGACATAACCATCTCAACCAGAAACCACTCTAACACATGGGGTGTTGCATACCGATTTTGGAAGTGGTGGATCAAGTGTGCGCTCTTCAGAATTTTGGTACATCAGAATCCTCAAGCATACCTAATACAGGTATATAGTGAACATGACTTCTGGGATTTTTGCCTTGGGCAGATAGATAATTACTCAGAGTTTACCAGAAGGCACTAGTTATCTGCTTGACCTTTGGCACGATGCAGGTCATATCTTCTATAATCATTCCAGCATCAAAGGCTTTCAAGAGTGCTGAAGTAAACACCACGGTGGCAGAGTCCACCAGTCCCTTTAAGAGGATTGAGTTGCATGATCCTGGCAGAGTCCCTGTTAAATAGCACCCTGTAATGTAAGTTTTGGATTTATTGGTTGTGCAGTTGAAACTCAGCATTCCACAATGATTTGCAGTTTTAGCTAGCTAGTAAGCAAGAGGTTACAACTGCAGCTGGGGTTGGTTGATGGCAATGATGGAAGAATCCAGTGAATGATGCAACGTCCCTTAAACGAAGGAATATGCATGCTGCGGTTCTGAAAGAGCCACGAACAAGCCGTCCACTTGTAACCTTGGCTGAATAACTCTGGCCTATCGTGCAGAGCTGATGTAAGACATACTGAGATATTAATGTGAGGTGATGGGAACACTTAAAAGTGCAGTATAGTTTTGAAGTTACAGTCATACCTCAGGTTGAAGTAGCTTCAGGTTAAGCATTTTCGGATTGCGCTCCACGGTGAGCCGGAAGTAACGGAGCGCTTTACTTCCGGGTTTCACCGCTCGCGCATGTGCAGATGCTCAAAATGACGTCACGCGCATGCGCGGAAGCGGTGAATCGCAACCCGCACCCGTGCGGACGCAGGTTACATTCGCTTCAGAATGCGAACGGGGCTCCGGAACGGATCCCATTTGCATCCAGAGGTACCACTGTATTTTGTAATTATCCCATTCATGCTACTGAGTGAAATGGCAAGAGCACAAATCTAAGCCTCATGCATTCTTCCTGTGCGGGGCATGGAAAGGTGGGGCTTGGTTCAATGGGTCTCTGCAGGTAAGCAGTGCCTGCAAAGCACCTTGCACAGCACTTTTCAAATGCCCAGCAGTCACAACTGATTCTTGCTGCTTGCGAAACCCTGTGCTTGGTGCTTTCCTTTATTTATTTATTTATTTATTTAAATTTTCATTTGATTTTTTTTGTTGAGCTTGGTGTTTTCCAAGTGCCAAGCCCAGAGCTTTCAAAGCCACTGCCCAAGGATCTTTGCAAGCTTCCTCTGGAAACGGGCATTTGGCGGGGAGTGAGAGACAATCTTGGAAGCAGATTAAATTACAAGCACTTTGAATACAAACTGCTTCTCTGTAGAAGGGGAAATGCTCCAGTTTTAGGATTTTTTATATTTTAGTACCTGGGATTCAGTGCCACAAGGCAGGATGACATTTTCTTAGATAGCTTGGAGAAGTTAGTATTAGTTGGAATTGCTTTAGATGTCCCTAGTGTAATAGCTGCAACATGAAAACAGTGTGATATTAAGCAAAGAGAAAGCCAACTGGAATAAAGATCCCCAATGTAACAAAATTATTATACAGTGTGCATTTCAAACCTTTCAGTCTTACAAGTCAAACAAAAAATTGCCCTGCCTTGCCTCTGCACATGCACATTCCACCCTAAAATTTCTGTAATCCCAAGCACTACAGCATAATAGGAGCCAGTATGAACCGTGGTGCTAGTATAAAAGTAATATTCAGGATCTTGTAGCTAGAACCTGCTCAACAAGACACAGTTAAGACTGAATAAACAGTTCCACTTTTTCGTAATGTTAAATTGAATGCCACACAAACTGACTCTTGGGATTCTCATAAACCTATAATTTGACTGCAATGGACAGCTTGAAACAGTTTGCTCTCAAATTAGGACTGTAAAAGAACTACTTATAGTGACACTGCTTCTGTTGATTTGTTTAACTCTCCCAAACAAGTAGTGCCGCTGTGGTCCTCAACAGTTTTTTGAAATAGGTGTAAAACATTTTTAGCAAACCTGAACCACTTCATATTCCATGGACTCTGGAACAATTATGGGGTCAGTAGTCGTAGTGTTTAATCTCTCTCTCTCTCTCTCTCTCTCTCTCTCTCTCCCCTAACCCACAGGGTCTGATTTACCCCTGTTAAAGTGAATGAGAAACTGAAATGATCAAATGCCTAAGCTAACTGAGGTCAATTCTATCCTAAGCCACTTCTCAAAATAAAATAGAGAAAATAACATAGCATTTTAATTGTATCATAAATTATATTTGTGTTTGTTTATACCACTTAAAGAGAACTGGAATAGATTTCTGTCTTCATTGTTTTTTAAAGAAAAGGTACATTCCTGTGTACAAAAATAAATAAATTAATTATAAAGCACTGCAGTGGTCTGTTGCACTTCTGTAGTAAATTTAATTAATTTGTGTGCAAAAGGAACAGCAATTTTAGGTATTCTTCATTTTAGTTATTGACTAGAATTATGAAACATACCTTCAAATTAACCACAGAGAGGGGTGCACAAAGGAAAAATGGAAAGAAGGACTTCCTCCTCTCAGGGCAATTTCCAACAATGAACATTATCTGTCATTGAATTGTTATGTCCAATTGGTTATTGTTTGTTTTGTTGAACCTGCTCTAGACACTAATGTGCAAACAAAATACTGGAAGTAGACATTAAATGCTGGTGCATTATCCCATTGTTCCTTTTTAAAGCATGAAAAGCGACTTCTGGAGGGGCAGCTAGGCATAACTCACTTATCCCAGAGCCCAGACTGCATATATTAATGTTGGAGAAAATGTGTTATTTCTTGTGGAAAAATCTGTGATTGCTTTTGTAAACAGCATGTGGTTACATGAGACTCATGAGCACATGAGCTGACGATCAGTACTCCCTTATTCCTCCCATTGACTGCCACCACCAGCGCCACCCACTTTTAATATATTTTTAGATCTTTGTGTTTCCAAATTTTAAAAGTGCCATTGAGGAAATGCTCTTCATGGCTGTGTTTAGAGCTGCTATGTTTTGCAGCTTTCTCACAGCTTCCTACAGTGCTGTCTTCCCTCTCCCTCTCTGCTGAAGCAGCAGGCAGCTTACTAATATGTTAGGAGAGGCCGCAGGACAGTTGCCCCTCTTCAACAAGGCTGCTGCCTTACCTCATAATGTGGAAGCTTGGTATCAAGCCATGGCGGACTGATGGAAGTAGAAGAAGGGCCATAGCTCATTGGCACACCCTGTGCCTTGCATGCAAAGGATCACAGGTTCAATCCTTCCTCAGCATCTCAAGCAAGGGGATAGGAATTGTCCCCTTCATGAAAACCTGGAACCGCTGTCTGTCTGTCTGTAGAAACAACAACCACTAAGCTAGATGGGACGCGGGTGGCGCTGTGGGTTAAACCACAGAGCCTAGGACTTGCCAATCAGAAGGTCAGCGGTTCGAATCCCCGCAACAGGGTAAGCTCCCGTTGCTCAGTCCCTGCTCCTGCCCACTTAGCAGTTCAAAAGCACTTCAAGTGCAAGTAGATAAATAGGTACTGCTCCGTCAGGAAGGTAAACGGCGTTTCCGTGCGCTGCTCTGGTTCGCCAGAAGCGGCTTAGTCATGCCGGCCACATGACCCGGAAGCTATCTGTGGACAAACGCCAGCTCCCTCGGCCAGTAAAGCAAGATGAGCGCCGCAACCCCAGAGTCGTCCGCGACTGGACCTAATGGTCAGGGGTCCCTTTACCTTTACTAATGTAGATGGACCAGTTGCCTGCCTCAGTATAAGACAGTTTCTGGTATTTCTAAATACTGCCCAAAATACTTCAGTGTGACATTAACAGTGGGTGCTCAGTACTTCTACAAAAAATGCAGCACAACAAATTAGTATTGGTAATTGTGTGGGGAACATCTCAAGCTGCATAGGCAAATTTACCTGTTGATTTTCAGTGGAGGGAAGAAAGGAAGAATGGGTGAAGGAACGTATTAATGGAGAGTCCGGAGTCCAGAAAGCAATTTACAAATAGTTCATAAGTGGTGTTGCTATAAAACAACTGTACATTTACTGCACTAGTTTGCTGTTTCATTGCAGCCCAGTTGTCACACTGAAAGCTGTTTAATAAGCCTTTCACACGACAGCTGTGTTTAAGTTAATAAGCTTCACAGTACAGGAAAAATTCAGAAGTGGCGGGAAAGTGATATAAGTTTGTGTCTATTCTTCTTGTTGTTGTTATTTTTACTGAGACTGAAAATTGAGAAAAGCTAATAACCTGAAGGAAGGTCCTGAATACTTTGGAACCAGGTTATTGGAAGGAATACCGTCTCCCACTTGAACCTGTCTGTGTTGTGCGTGTCATCGGGGACCTTGTTTCATTTCTCATTGACTTCAGAGGCTCATCTGATGGGAATGTGGGACAGACATTTTAAATTGTGGAGTCCATATTATGTCACTTCCTCCCCTGGGAGGCCTGATAGACTCCTTTCTTAATGCCTTTTTGATGAGGTGTAAAAGAGAAAGGCCAGGCCTTAATGAATCACAGCAATTAATAAAAAGCGGACCAAAGCAAGAAACATTTTTAAAGTATTTTTCTTAAAAATTGCCAGGGATGGGCAACATGTATGTCTTGGGGTGTGGAGCCACCACCCGAAGAACCCTGTTTCTGTTACCTATCAACCTAATATATATAAGCAGGGCTTCGGTAGCTGATTCTAAGGCATGAGCAGGCTCATTCAGGTGGTCCTTCAGATAACATGGTCCCTAACCATGTAGAGTTTTAAGGGTCAAAACCAATGCTATAAATCAGGCCCAGGAACAAAGCAAAGGGGACTTGCCTGTGCACACATACTGAGCTAGATGGGCCATTGATCTGAGTCAGTATAAAACAGTTTCCTATGTTCCTGTGAAATGCGTAATGTTGATTCCGGTGTATAACTTGACAATGTATGGTTTTTAAAAAGAAAAAGAAAGCATTTCAATTAAGGACCAAAAGAACCAGGCCTTTCCAATGAGTAAAATATTTGTTTCCTGACTAGCTGATAATTTTTGCAGGATTGCTACGTCAAATACATATTTATTTAGTCATCAAAAGGGAAATGAATTGTGGATGCTACAATGAAAGGGGACAATTAATTCCCATGCAGCCATAGTAGGTGCCTGTTTGGGAAACCATATGAAAGCTGTATTAGTCATGGCTTAGTGATATTGTCATAATTGTGTGCTGGGAAAATCCATATGCCTTTTGGTCTTTAGCATTAATATATGTATCATAGTGAAGTATCATGCCATCCTGATTGCAATGCTTATAATTAGCCCATGGTATTTATCTAAGTTGCATCTAGACAGAAATTATAATTACTGGCTGAGACTATCCCTCCTCCTGCTTGGCCTTGCTGCCTTAGCTATTAAGGACAGTTTCCAAACGACTGGAAACGTGCAATGATAAACATAACAACAACTGTAGGCTTCAGATCCTACTTAACATGGGGTATGAATAAGCAAAAACACACACCATCCAACAGTGTGTGGAAGATATAAAACTCCAAGCAGATCTACCCAGGTCTCTGAAAATTTTAATCAGTGAAACTAGAAGACATCTCCCAGATGCCATCATAGCTGTCGACTTTTCCCATTTCTTGCGAAGAATCCTATTCGGAATAAGGGAATTTCCCTTAAAAAAAGGGAAACGTTGCCAGCTATGGATGCCATATATAACCAACCTTGAAATTCCAAAACAGTGAAGGGCTTTCACTGCTGCCAGGCCATCCCTTCAGCCATCCAGGAAGGCTGCTTTCGGAAGACACCTAATGCCCATGCGGCTCTGGGCAACTGGAAACAACAGAACATGTCTTTTTTCACTGCCAATACTATACAGATACAGTGGTACCTCGGGATGCGAACGGGATCCATTTTGGAGCCCCGTTCGCATCCTGAACAGAACATAAGATGCGACAGTGTGTCTGTGCATGCGCAGATCGTGTTTCGTTGCTTCCACGAGCTCCGTTACTTCTGGGTTGCCGCGGAGCGTAACCCGAAAATACTTATCCTGAAGCATATTTATCGTTATAGAAACCTATTAGCAGTGTGTGTGTGTGTGTGTGTGTGTTGGCATGCAGCTAACCCATTTGTTTGCTCCAAGTGTACGTATCATTCCACTCCCATCACTCCTTTAAAGATTTTCATGGAAGATGCTCTTGTTACCTAGGGTGGGGTTTTGGAGGCGGCCCATGAGCTTCTCCAGTTTTAATGCAAGGATTATAAACTATCTAAAATGCTTGTTCGTAAGATATTTCAGTAAGAGACTTGAACCCACAACCCTAAGATTTAGAGTCTTACTCTCAACCAGATTCACCTATTACAGGAAAAGAAGCAGCAGGCCCTATAGTAAAATCATTTGAAGGCTTTGTAGATAGCTTTGACCTTGGTTGTGAAAACCTTCCCGTTATCTTTAATGCAATCTGTTTTGACCATGATAGAGAACAAAATTTTACCAGGACCAGTATGGCCCAAGGGAAGGGTAAGTGACCTGGAGGTGCTAGAACCAGAACCAGAACTACCGTAGTTTTTGCTCTATAACACGCACCCGACCATAACACGCACATAGTTTTTAGAGGAGGAAAACAAGAAAAAAAATATTCTAAACGAAACAGCGGATGTATGATTTTTGTGGTTCATGCTGTGGCCACAGACATGTGATCTGACGGTGAGTTTGGGGTAGCCCAATGCAAAAATCCTGAGGATCCATGTAGATCCATGCTTTGGAACGACGTTTTTGCACCACTGTGGCCCCAGGCAACAGTGGGTGCGTGATTTTTTTGGTGCAAGCTGTAGCCATGGACATGCTATGTGATCTGATGGTGAATTTGGGATGACCCAGTGCAAAAATCCTGAGGATCCATGTGGATCCGTGCTTGTAACCAGGCTCTCTGTCCCTCTCTTCTCCCCACTCAGTGGCTCTTCTCCCGCTTTGCTGTTTCAAAGCGAGCCACGGAGGAGGGAAGGAAGGGGAACCATGGATCCTCTGCTCACGACTGCAGCAGATCCCCCGCCATCCATAGGCATTCGCTCCATAACACGCACAGACATTTCCCCTTACTTTCTAGGAGGAAAAAAGTGAGTGTTATGGAGCAAAAAATACGGTACTTATTAAAAGAAGTTGATTAATTGTGCCCTTCCTGGAAGAAGAGAATAGTTGTGTTGTGAGAGTTGGACCTTTTAAAAAAAAACCTCCTTAAGCCAAAGCAACATGCATAAGGTGGTTTACAAAGAGTGCCTTCTGATGTTATCTGAAGTACATTTCTACTACATAAGTTCCCCTTCTGTTACTTTAAAGCATTGCCAGTCAAATGCAGAAGTCAACTGTGGTCCAATTTATGGCATTTTGGGGAATGTCTGATTGTTCAGGGAATGTCTGATTACTGGACTCACCACAAGTGAGGCCCTGGTTCCTGAAATTTTTAAGGACAGTGTACTAATGATCTGAAAGGCTCCTACTTTAATGTAGTTCATATCAGCACCAATTAATCAAAGTTTCTGTGGTGCTCTACATTGACCCAGCTCCTGGGTAGTGTGTTGACCCTAGAATGGCAGGGCTGGAATTTGAGAACTTAGGCCAATAACTTTGGTTTTCTTGCATCCAGTGAACCAGCTCAAAGTCCGTTAATGGTTGCCAGGCTTTGCAAGTGCTAGCTTCAAAAGCAAATTTAAATATATCTGGTGGTGGTTGAGGAAACATTGTGCTCAGTGGGACCTGAAGGTTACACCCTGTGTATTTAAACATTACTTGGTATCATATTGCCCAGTAACTGAGAGAAAATGTTCCTTAATTCCAAAATGAGATAGGGCTTTGATTTTGTGGAGCTGAAAGAGCTCAACAATTGAGAACAGATGCCCCAATTCCTGATGGAGGCAGTTTGTTTTGCAGTGTGTCTTTTGCAGAAAGATAGTTTCCATACATTTAATCATATCTTTCAGAAAAAAAGATATTTTTTTCCTGTTCAGATTTACAACATTTATTTGGTGTGACCTTTGTGCTATCCTTAAAAAGTAATCATTGAATGTTTGTCCTAGGTCAGAGGTATGATGGATCCAACTGAAATATGCTTAGATTAGTAGTAGCCATCTTGCCTCTCTTTTATCAGGCTTCTTGGTTGTCTGTCGACACAAATTGATAGCATGGTCAGGAGGGATTAAAGTGAGTTGAATTGATACATAGTAGTATGTATGTTGTACTGAAAAATAGAGCAGATTTCTAGAATCTAGATGAAGAATAAGCAGGTGCTTTTTAGTGCCATTGAAAGATGGTGCTTTCCTTTGACTAACCTGCAAAACAAAAAAGGGGAGAGAGTACTCATGAGAGATGGTCAGTACACAATGCATTAAGTCCTTTGTTATAATACTTGTTTGAATTTTGTGCTGCTTTTGGAAAGTATTATCATCAAGATGCAGGTAGAAGAATGAAGACTACTCTGTCTTATCAGTGGGTTGCAATAAAGATTTTAACTAAAATTTGCAAAAACATGGGTCCTGAAAGGTCTTCAGATTCCTAGATGCCAGTGTTTTAAATATTTGGGATGAACTTGGTGATAGTGAGTCTTGAGTGTATGTGTAGACGCAATATGCACACACACAAGCACATGCATGCACACCACATATGTACAGCACATACACAAATACAAACAGCTACAGGATGTTGCCTGAACATTGTCAAAACCTGCTAGCGTATTACCTTGCTGTAGCTTGGCAGCCATGGATATTGTGAGAAACCTAAGTCAAATTCAGAGCAGGCTAAAGTAGTAGCATGGGTGAAATGCCATACATTTTCTACCTTGCCTACAAATCTTGATTAATTAGCATTTGGGATTCTTTAGTTGTGGTCCTTGCATTGCAGGGAATTGCACTAGATGACCACTGGGGTTCCTTCCAACTCTACAATTTTATGATTTTGTGGTTATGTAAGGTAAAATCGGGAAAACCCCTTAAATGCCAGCCTTTACAGAGGCGTGCTGTACTGTTTCCTTATCATTACAAAAATCCTATTTAAAAATATTTATCAGATGAATCGTGATTCTGAGAGATGCTTCAATTCATTGGCATGAGTTTTCTTTTTAGCTGTTAAGTAGCAGTGATCTGAAATGGGAAAGTCTTTCTTCCCTTGCCCCCATAGCAAAGACCCCCATGTGTAAATGCAGTTTCTTCTTGAAAATTCTTCTAAATTATGTGGTATGGTGCTGGGAATAATGTACCATGTGGTTAGCATTATCTCTAAGTTCCTGAGAAGCTGTACTGAAATGACACCTTCTGTTTAATGAATCCCATTGGGTGTGGTGGATTGTTTGCAGAGTGCCACGCCTCACTTTTTAATGTATGTTGCTTACGTCAATAGATGAGAGTTGAAAGCTAGAGTAAGTTTCCAAACTCAAAGCAGAGTGTGAGATTTCCAAACTGCCTTGACAGCCGTTGGATATTAAATCAAACTTAAATATTTTTGGGTTGCAGGTGGCTCAATGTCGCAGTTTCAGAACTCGTGGGAATTATACCAGCAGAGTATACAAAATGACCTGGATATTGGTAAAGTATATCACTCCTTTTCAAACTGTTTATTCGATTTTAATAAGTTTGTCTCTTTCCCTCGGTCAGCGAAAGGAGAATTGTGTGTTATTAAAATTATGTCATCTTGGCTTTTAAAAAAATCTGAAGAAAACAAAATAAAAAATAATGTGCTCCTTGAGGCTTGTCTGAACTATCCACTTCTCACATGCATTTTGTCTTGTTTCTCTGCAGATTATGTTGGGTTGGTATCTGATTAAAAAGTAGTGGCATTTCAGATGGGACTAGCTATTTGTTGAAGTAGAAGTGTGCAAGCTTTCAAGTTACATTAATGCTTTTCTAGCAAAGAGACTGACCTAAGGATCAGCATGTCTTCAGTCTTGCCTCTGCTACGAATTCAGGCCACATCCACACCATACATTTAAAGTCCCAAATGATTTCCTCCTAAGAATTATCGGAACTATAGTTTGTTAAGGGTGCTGGGAATTGTAGCTCTCTGAGCGGTCAACTACAGATCCCAGGATTCTTTGGGGAAAGCAGTGCACTTTAAATGGTGTGGTGACCTCTATCTGCTATGAACTGGCATCCCTTTCTTTCTTTCCCTGTCTCTCTTTTGGCATTGGCCCTTCATCTGCAAAATGCAGACAACAACATTGACATGCCTTAACATTTGTTTTGTTATAATCCTAACTGCAGTACTGTAATCAGAATGCTTTGAATACCCTCTGATGTGCTATATAAAAAGTAAACGTTGTTAACATGTGTATCCTTGTTAGGAAGACTGGTGAATCTTGAAGAGGTTCCCCATTCCCCACCTTGCTATTCTGCAGAATATCTGTGGAGGATGGGGGGAGGTAATTAAAGTTTATCTTAGTTTGGGGGGCAGCTGAGGCGACAGGTTTGGGGATGGGGGAATTGGATTTTGTCCTGATTTATTAAATCATGGCTGCTGTTGGGATGGGTTTGGCTACAAATCTAAATACATAGTGTAGTGTTGGTTTCTTATGCAAGTATTTAGTCACATCTCAAACAGGCACGTATGAACACCTATCAGTGAGTAGAGTATTCAAAGTTATTGTTCAGACTCCAAAATCAAGTTACCTATTTGATCATTTAAATAACTGGAAATTTGCAGCTGATCAGTTTACAGTGTGTGCTGAAAAACTTACAAATTGGGCTGCTGCCCGTTTGAAATGATTAATTGTCTATATTGGTAACCAGCTTTGCTCTTTCTAGTAGAGCATGAATTCACCTTTCATCTTCCAGATGTATTTCTACACTAGCAATTTACCGGTTCAGTAAGACACCAAATGGATATGCTCCTTTTGTAGATTTTGTTGGCTCCTTTTGTATTTGCTGCCAATATTTAATCAACCCTTAATCAACCCTGAGGAGATAAAACAAAAATATGAGATATTAGCAAAAGCTAATAACAATTTGGAATATTAATCTGCCATCCTGGGTTATATGACTGGCATGGCTTCCACAAGGAACCTATTGCAGTACACCAGAAAAGCCATTTAACATTTTGAGGTGATATTTGAGCTGTTTTATAGCCTTTGTTGGGACACGGGTGGCGCTGTGGGTTAAACCACAAAGCCTAGGACTTGCCGATCAGAAGGTCGGCGGTTTGAATCCATGCGACGGGGTGAGCTCCCGTTGCTTGGTCCCTGCTCCTGCTAACCTAGCAGTTCGAAAGGACGTCAAGTGCAAGTAGATAAATAGGTACCGCTCTGGCGGGAAGGTAAATGGCATTTCCGTGCGCTGCTCTGGTTCACCAGAAGTGGCTTAGTCATGCTGGCCACATGACCCGGAAGCTGTACGCCGGCTCCCTCGGCCAAAAAACCGAGATGAGCGCCGCAACTCCAGAGTTGGTCACGACTGGACCTAATGGTCAAGGGTCCCTTTACCTTTACCTTTATAGCCTTTGTTGGGCTAGTTTCAGTTATCTGAATGAAAAAATATATAGCCAGCTCAAAGAGCTGTGCCCCTTTAAGGCTTTAATATCTTATGTTCCATTTATTAAGTAAAATGACTGTAGCAGTCTGTTTTGTTTCTACCCAGCTAACAAAGCATTATCTGACAATCCCATTTTGGTTCCAAAATATAATTGTTTCTCTGTCAGTAGTGAAAGCAAACAAGTGATAAATATCATGTTTTAGAAAGTCCCCCTCTTAGCCACCAGCACGGTAACTAAGCAACACTCCTTCCTGCTATCTGAGCATTGTTAAATTTATGAAAGAGGAAAGATAACTTTATTGAATGTTAACGTGCTGTTTCAGATATTAAGTCTAAGTTTTAAATGAAAATAGTGACATTCAAAGGTCAACAGCCCATCATTGATTAGTACAAACTTAGACATGCAGTTAACATAGTAACTAATAAGTGCACTTCCTATTTGGGCAGACTGTCAATGTTTGCCTTACTTGCAAAGGAGTCAGGTTAGGTCTGTAGTCAAGAATAAATCTGAATTTCCATTTAAAGTGGAAAAGGGAACTGTTGATTCAGTAAGTTCATCCATTTCTTCTTCTTTTAAAAACAGTTTTCAATTACTCTTAGCCAGACCCAATCAGCAGAATACTGAATGTAATAGAGGAAGAATAATAGGTTTAAGAGTAAGAATGTGAAGCCCCTGAAATGCATGTCATGGGATAAAGGGTTGTTGCAACTAGAGTCTTCTTGCTCAAACTACATGTGATTGTAGCAAACCCATTGTTTAAAACTGGGTCTGCCCCAACCATGTACAAAGTGGAAGGTGGAAAACCATTTTTAGATCAAAAGAAATTCACTGAAACCTCAGGGCTTATCTCCTTACAGTCAGAGTCTGTCACCCAGGTGTTTTTCTCCATAGTACCTGAACTGAAAAGCACAAAGTGAGAGTTTAGCTCTTCTCACTGGCTCTTAACATTCGGAATCCTCCATACATTTTATGTGTGATTGGGGCAGATCTGTTTCTGATCAAACAATTCTGCCAGGGTCACATCATCATTGGAATTCCATCCTTGCATATAGGTACATTTTACCAGCTGAGCATGCCATCCACAAGAGCCTGCTGGATCAGGCCAATGCCTATCTAGCCCAACATCCTTTTCTCACAGCCACCAGCCATATGCCTGTGGGAAGCCTGCAAGCACATCATCTTTGCTCTCACAAAAGCAAAGAATTTTAATTATACCTGCTGACAGTGACTATGTCAGATAATGCTATAAATTTAGTTTCTCTGCATAAAACATAACTGACTAAGCATGCAACATTACCCTGTAAACATAAAACATTAGAAAGTAAATGGGAAATTTAAAATACAAGTTTCATCAAGTCTTGATTCATGCTTAGACATCAGCTGCCAACTTGCTTCTTGACCTCTGATGTGTAGTCCTCACATTTCTCATATGTATACACCCTGCCTGCTGCCTCTGTGACTTGTTTCACATACCTTTCTAAAGTCTGAGCATGGCAGGGTCACTGTGGAACTTGCATAGTCTCGTCAATGAACTTCTTTACTTCTACTGTAGTAAGTTTACATGTCAAAGGAGGTTCATCTACCCTGTCAGACCAGTCCATCAGCTCCACCAGGGACAAACCACTGGGGTTGATGGAAGCTGTCTTCCTCAGACGTCGTCATCTCTGCCCCTAAAGTCCGCTGATCTTTTAGACACCAGCTCTCTTCTCTTCACTGTCATCTGATGATAAGAGTGCCGGGATTATCATTTCGCTGAATGCATACCATGCTGAGTGCAGGATGGTTGGCAAAACAGCATCCTTGTTTTGCAGTCTTCTTTGGCAGCCTAACTCACCACAGCTGAAACAAGGTGTGATGTGAGCCTTCCACCCAAGCGTGTTTTACTTTGATGTTCAATCCCCCCAAAATCCTGGATTTCACTGCAACCTGTGTTATCTGTAACACAGTGGTCTAGGTGAAGATGAGAAAATGAAACCATCTTAGCTGTTGATTGTTCTGGAGGGGATGTTTATCAATGACATGTACCGTATATTGTGAATTAAGGATTTTGCTATATTCCAATTGAGTATTCGTAAGCAGATCAGAAAATGGAGTGGGGATTCTTACTAGCTTCTGCAGAGTCTTTGCTACATAGATTATGATATTTGATTATGATTACCACGTAGATTATAGCTGAAAAGACTGTTGTATTGAGGTTTATAAACTCTGCACTTTTCTCTGTCACAGAAATGGAGACCATGGCACCTTGCTCAGCATTTCCGGATCCAGCCAGCGACTTTGACAGGAACATTCCACGTATCTGTGGTGTTTGTGGAGACAAAGCTACTGGCTTTCATTTTAATGCTATGACCTGCGAAGGCTGCAAAGGATTTTTTAGGTATGTGACTCCTGGCATTTGACGTAAATTATTCATAAGAGATTTTGACCTCTGCCCTCAAGAAAACCCAGCTTTACTTGGGCCAGCAGTTTACTTTGAGCACAAAAGCAGATCAGCAAAAGAGGTTTCCTCTACAGTCAAACCTCGGATCCCGAATGCTGAAAACCCAGAAGTAAATGCTCCAGTTTTCTAACGTTTTTCGGAAGCCAAATGTCTGACGCAGCTTCTGCTTGAGCGCAGGAAGCTCCTGCAACCAATTGGAAGCCACGCCTCGGTTGTCGAACATTTCAGAAGCCTCTAACCCCACCCACCACTGACATGTCCTTGGAAGGTTGCTCAGGAGGAAGTGGGGCCCTCTTGCTGCACTAACCCCTGCTCTAAACTACTGTCTCTGTCTATACAGACTTTAGATGTAATTAATAACTTGACTTTGGAGAAATGACATGGTGTTTATTATATTTAAATGAGAGTTTATCTTATTACAATTTTACTTTAAAACATTTTGGAATGTCACTGTGTGGGAATTCCCCTGCTGCTTGAGAATGGCTCCTTTTGCAAACCCAGGATAGGAACATCCCTTACTTAAGCAGCAGTTTGGATTCCAATTATCAGCTCTTGCTTAGGGCATACAGAAATTTGCTGTTCTTCTGGTTCATGGAACTGCGCATACTCATGCACCATCTGAGTTTCGCTACCCCTGCTATATGGACAAGCAGGGTGTTTATGAATACTGAGCACAATACTGGCATAGAGAAAGCCAGAGGGCAGCTGTCTCCCACTTTCCTCTTAAACCACATTAAGAAGGAGCCAGTATTCCATCTGCAGTAGCCCAAACAATTCCAAGAACTATCAGCAGTTTAGCATATCTCACAAATGAAGTGTCAATCTTTCATAAAGCAAATTACTGTATGGTGACGTGGGACGTTTTCCTGGGAACTCTTGGTTAAAAGCAGATGACTAATAACAGATGTAATTAACAGCTATTATGTGACTAATTAGAGGAAAACTCACATGTACTAAATGCTATAGTGGGACAGTAACGCAGGTATAGGATTTGTGTGGACATAAGGTAAACTTCAGGTCCGCAAGGACCATATCTTCCCAACATAACTCCTTTATTTCAGCATCTCTATGGTAAACTAGACACATCCACTCTTGCTAGATTGTTGGAGATGGGATGTTTTGCATACCATCCGCCTTGCAGCCAGTTTTCCAGTTGGGCTAAAGTGCACCCTGGCTAACTAGAACAACAAGATTTTCTTCAATTACTGTTGCTTAAATGAGCAGCTCACCTTTCACAGGTATATTTCCACATACAAGGTTAGTGCCTTCAGCTAATCAGTCATGCGCTGTGTGCCCTGGACAAGATAAACGTCAGTGCATGCCATTTGTCAACTTTGAAGGACACGTGCATGGAACATCTATTCCAAGGATCACTGTTAAGAAACCTTAGAAGGTAATGAGTGAAGCCTGGTGAGCTGTGTACCACATTCCCAGTGAAATGTTAAGAAAATCTGAAACATTTTCAGAATTTGTCAGAAAATCTTATACTCAAATATCTGGCCAAGGAGGATCTTCTCCTTTCCTGGAAACCAGGTTTATAAGACAATGCTTTCCAAATTTCTGATATCTGAGGGATGCCTTTTTTGGATTAAAATTTGAGGCACCCCTCTCTTAAACCCCAAAAGGTTGGAAGAAGGCAGACCTGGAGCAAAGACTCTGAAAGAGATACAGTGGAAGTTTTCCTCTGATGGCAGGCCATTTTGCATTGAGTGCAACTGGACAATTCATTCTCTACCAATGCAGTCAAGCAGGAGAATGATCTGCCTTCGGAGGAGGCTGATTAGAAGGAGCTAGGATGGGAAATTCACAGCACAATGATGTCACGCCATGCATTGTGTTACGCTTGATGTTACGAGGAAGAGAGCAGAAAGAGACATGGAGCAGCTGCTGCTCCGTATCTCTTGGAACATCTAGTTCTGGCCCATTAAATGTGGCACAATAGTTGAGGTAAGTTGCCAAGGAAGCTGGAGTTTCCATGACTTCAGACCAGCAGCGCTTGATCTTTTTCTGAAAACGTGCTGAAGGCAAATGCCAGTTGCTCTGCTTGACACAGTGGTGGCTGCAGGGACGCCAATGGCATGAATGATGCACGGGGTTAAGCCTGAAAATCCCTGCAGCATTATCTGACCTTGGAGGTGAATGGAAAAGGTCACATAGGGGAAACTTGCACTAGGCTATTTTGTTTCAAAGCAACAATAATGACATCTTGAGACCAAACCAGGATGTTAGAAATGAGATGTCTGTCGCATAACTACTTCCCCCTCTGGACATTTTCCTCTCCTGAGCATGATTCAAAGAGTTTGCCTTTCACCCTTTCTGTGAAGGCCTTCTTAAAGAAATGTGCATGTCTCGTTAGGGAACACTTGAGTAACTGCATTTTAAACCTGAAACAACAAAGTTCTCAACTGCTTCACAAACACTGGCTGATCAAAATAGAATATAGTCCACTTGGTCCTTCATGGCAAATCTCTCGAGATGTTTTGCAAAACTAAAGTTGGGGAAGCCATTTGGTATTGGCCTTTCAGTGGTTTCTCTTCTATTGGGAAATATTATCTTCAGACACTTTAGAGTGCATTGCCTTCCCGGTGTCCTCTGACACCTCTTGAAGTTTGTTCGTATTGGATTGGTTGTTACGGGTCTGATATCTATGATGAAATTTTAAATACTGATAAGAATTGTGGAAACTAGACTAGATAATTAATACCTTTGCAATGTACTGAATATGAAATACTGGGTGTCATTTCTTCATTTTATATGTAGCATTGCTGATTTGTTTATTCATATCAGTCGGGGTGTGTGTGTGTTTCTTTACGGGGTCCTGGGACATTTCCAGATGGGCTGTTGGTCCACAGAAAAAAAATACGGTTGTCCTGCACTATGTGGTGTAATTATCTCATGCAGGATAACAACCAAATGCTGACAATGTCATATAGCCACCCTGCTAACATATAGCATGTAATGAGAGAGGTGGTAGCATTGAGGGAAGTTTCTCTTTTTCTCCTGAACCTAAATAAGAGTGAGGACTTTCCTTCACACTGTGCTAACTCTCAAGGCATGTGCAGTTGGTGTCTTGGTGCAGTCAGCAAGCCCGCAGTTCCTGCCAGTGAAGAAGCAGGAGAAGTCAGGTCTCTTGCTTGCCCGGACGGAAGCAGGCTCACTTCTTCTGCCCAGCCTTGCACTTGCAGGGCTGCTCCAGCAGAATGTTGCACAACAAGTGGCACCTGAAGGTGGTGCTGCCTGTCTTCTGGGTGTGCAAGAAGACAATCAGCTTGTTGGCAGTGATGTGGAAGTTCACATGGTGCCGCAGGTTGGCTTCTAAGAAGTTCAGATGTGGCATGAAGCGCTGTGAGCTGTTGTCCTCTGCCTGGTAAGGGTCTCTTCCCAAGCCGGCTTGGCACACCAGCAGGGTGGACAGGGCAGCCTCAGCCAGGCATTGCTGCAGCTGGCACTCATCGCCCAGGCACATGTCCTGCAGCACCAGCCCCTGAAAGGCAACAGCAGCACCAGCTCCCCAGTGCCAGCACTCCTCCATGGCTGGGGCAGGCACATTGCCACTGCCCAGTGGCCCCAGTCACCACCCGACCAGTGTCATTGCTGTTGTTCTCCTTGCAACTGCCACCTCCGTGACAGTGTGCATTGAAGAAGGACTCCCTCCACCTTTTTCTGCCCTGGAGCTATAATTTTGGCTCTTTCTTGCATCATTAGAGTTTGTTATTCCGTCTTTAATTTATCCTTCCCTTCCCCAAGGTTCAGAGTCCTCTTTCTAAGCAGGTGTGGGTTCTCTTCCAATTTGGCAGTGGAAGATGCCAGATATCTTGCTTAGTGCATGAGAGATTCAAGCAAAATATAGTTGACCGTTGAGCAACTTTAATGAACTTCCTGATTGGCAAAGTAGAGAGTGTATAAGGTCTATCTGGTGGCTGGGGAGAAGAGGGTGTGACTTTAAGTAAGACCTCTCAAGTTAGGAGCAGGTGCAACCAAATGGTTGATTGGAGAGGACTCCGATTCCTGGAAAATAAGGCAACTCAGATTCCTGGAAAATAAGGTAACTTCTGGCCAAAGACAGGACCAGTAGATGTGCAGCAGAGACACTTCTATTTGTGGGTTATTCTAATGAGAAGCATGGGGATCTGTTCTGAGGCATTCTGCACTAGATAGTTGTATGTGTTAGGAAACAGTTTTACTTCATAAGAAAAACTTACCCTCTTGGTGGCAGAATTTTTTATTTTTATTTTTGTATTCCTAGTCCTTTAGGGCAGATTTTCAATCTTAAATCTCAAAGTAATTTTTTATTTATTTAGATTTCATTAGTTTCGACATATTCTGTTTTGGTTTAGGTTCAGTTGGGGTTTGGGGTTGTTGTTGTTTTGCTTTTGGGCAGTGATTATTGTTAACTACCAGGGTTATTTGCTAATATGAGCTGATTCACATTTATACAATATGAAGAATATGCTAACAATAAGTAGAACAGCAAAACATGGAGCAAAAATGCGTGTTTCTAAATATGCAGTGAACATAAGCTAAACAGTTGTGGCCACTTTCAGCTCCCTGGTGCATGGCTACTATATTACTACAAACATGCATTTCTGCTTTATACTTTACAACGTATGCTGCTCCAAACCCTGGGCTTGTGTGTAGCACCCCTGCAATGTAAAGTGTGATTCAGCTCTTAACAGGTCAAGATTAAAATAAGGAACTTCCACATTCAATTGCCCTTGCCCCTGCTGTTAGTATTGGAGCAGTCTTAGGGTATTGATCCTTTTCAGCAGTCCTTTGGAAGTATAGCAAGCTGCTTCTCATTTTCCTCGTTAGTAACTCATGTGTCGCTCAAAAGCTAGTATACTGTTCACTTTACCAAAATATCTTGTGATGGAATATCTCACTACCGATCTTATAACACTGTGGATCAGTGAGATGGGCAGCTTACGTCCTGCATCTGCCTGTTGGCTTATGCCATGTTAAGCATACCAAGCTCACTCTTGTAAGTACAGTATTTCATCATTTGCTTACGTAACTGCATGAAGAGTACATTCTATGGAAGGCAAAGGAGTCCCTTCAAAGATACTTCCCCCACTCGTTAAAAAACAGACCAAGAAAAATCTGCAAAGGCAAAATGCATTTAACACCTAGCTAGTTTTTAAACCAGTCCACCCAGTCTAGTCAGCCTTTTTAAATGTTATACCCAATTACATTTATTTACATAAACAGAAATGTGCAACTAGGGGAAAGGTAGAGATGTCAAAAGCTTCCTAACAGCAACAACAGCGAAGGACATTTGCTTTCAATTGCCTTGTATAAGGAGAGAGACTTACTTTTCTCAATGACTTCATAAAACAGTGAAGAAAAGGAGATTGCCATTCTTCCAAGATTACATGGTGGCATTGTTTGTACAGCATACTAAGCTATGGTTTTGTCTGAACATATAGGCTCCAAGAGAGGAAATTATGGCCGTTTTGCTTGTCCCTGGTCATCTTGTTGCTGTGTCGAGCTGAGACATAGTTTGCCTTCATGTGTCATCTGAGCCTTTCCTTGTGGTTTAGCTTCCCCAGAAAAACCATGAGCCATAAACCAAATGGCAAACCTTGGTTATAGTTCATGGTTAGTCTGGAGAGAGGGAAACCACGAGCCAGATTCAGACAGCACAGTAAGCCAAACTATAACTTAGCTCAGGACAGCGCAGAAACAAAACAATCGGGGAGGAGGTAGCAAAGAAGCTACAATCCAGGAGCTAACGTATTTGGGCTACAGCAGTATGGGAAAGCTCCTGATTCCTGCTCCTTTGATACTGCCTCTTGTCATTTTCTGAATTTCTTTGTCCAGTAGACCATTGAGATAATATCCAAGCTGTTTGCTTTATCAGGGTCTCACGAGTCTTTTAAGTAAAGAAAAACACTAGGCAATTCAGGCTTCTCTTCTGAGTCTATATGTGTCACCTTTGCAGACTGTTGTGTATCTATGCTCCTACCACATTCTTTGTCAACTTCGTGTATCTGTTATTGATTTTTGCCAATGGAAACTCATGGAGCAAACCAGTTACTCTTTTCTGGAAATTCTTTCATTTTGCTGCTTTGGGCTATTTTTCCTCAGATTTATAAAGTAATCAGAAATGCTTGAAAATTGTCAAATGCTACATCTTTGTTTTTGAGTTGAATTCTGGGTTTGTTCGTTTGTTTGTTTGTTTGTTTCTTCTATTCAGTTCCTAAATAGTTCTCCAACTTTAGATGGCTCTATTTGAGCCATTCAGACTGTGGTTAATGTTTTCCTGTTTATGGTACAAGTTGCATCTGTTGGACAAGAAACTGTGTTTTTCTGTTTGTGTTCCTTAAAATATTAAGTTCTTTTTAGAAAGAAAATCATGAAGACGTGCAGATGGTTACTGTTTTCAAAGTATAGTAACAGGGCAGATTTTTAAATAAAATAACCAGATTTCTTAGAAACAGAACAGTAGCTATGTAGGGGATATTTATTCCATGCCTGGTAAATACTTGTATGTTGCCCATTTAGCTCGTTTTGTATGCAGGTTTGCCACACTGTTTGTTTTCTGAACGGTATCCATGCAAAACTGATGTATCTTCCTAAAAGCAAGCAAGCAAGCAAAGATTATATATTTTGTGTGGCTTTTTCCCCCCACAGGAGGAGCATGAAAAGGAAAGCGATGTTCACATGTCCTTTCAATGGCGACTGCAAAATCACCAAAGATAACCGGCGACACTGTCAAGCCTGCCGGCTGAAGCGCTGCGTTGACATAGGCATGATGAAAGAGTGTGAGTAAACATGTAGCACGATAGAAACATTGCAATAATCCAAGAGTCTGAGAATCCAGATCACTTCCTCAAGTCACTTTGATTCACTTAAAAACATTTTGAAAATTCCATCCTCCATGTTTGGTTCACTTTTTTAAAGGAGGAGGCGAAAGTTGGTTCCTTTACGGAGATTTCCCCAATAGTCGTATTTTGTCAATATGTGGGTGTTCCCCTGCCTTAAAAAAAATAATTTAGATACCTAAACTCCACTTAATACAAAAGTTAAAGCATGTGTATACCTAGGCAAAAGAGGTGTGTGTGTTTGTAGTATCTGAAAGGTATTTGTGTCCCTTCACCTTTTCAGTGTCTGGCTAAGAAGATTATTAGGCAAGAGGGTAAGAGAGAGGATCATGCAGTCTTGTCATGATGGAAGTGTAGTAAATCATTGATAGGCTGTTTAGAATTTAGAATTGTTTTAGGCCATTTGCTAGCAAACTAGCAAAACTTGAAACAAGAAAACATTTATTGCCTATACTTCTATGAGTTCCCATTAAGTCTGGGGCAGGGAGAGGTGGGGACAAAGTAATTGGTGGCAGATCTACCACTGGGTATAGATCAACAGAGTCTCTGTGCTGCTGTAACCAAACTTGTTCACTCACCTGGAAACTTTTATAGGGGTTGGGGAGTATCACATTAAGAACTCTAGCATAATTCCCATCTAGTCTTTTTCTAGGTCCTTCCTGCAGCCTAATCTTCAGTGGTGGTGCATAGTCTTAAAATCCATTGACATCCTGGTGTGGGCTAGGTTTCTGGCAAATGGCATTACAGTGGTACCTCGGGTTACATACACTTCAGGTTACAGACTCCGCTAACCCAGAAATACTGTACTGTGTTAAAGAAACTGGCAAGAAATTATCAGTGTCTAATATAACAATGGGGAACCTTGGGTGCTTCAGATGTTGCTGGGCTATAATTCATATCATCACTGGCCATTGGCCATGCTTGCCGGGAGTGATGGGAGTTGTAGTTCAGCAACATTTGGAGAGCCAAAGGTCCCCCACATCAGCTCTACTATGTAGATCAGGGGTAGGCAATGTAATATGCTACACAAGTATTTGACTACCACTCTTTGAGATTGGTTTGAGTTGTAGTAGGGTTGCCATACGTCTGGAATTTCCCGGACATAGTCGGGATTCGGTTGTCAAAAACATCCCTAGTTGTTGTCCATAACATCTGAATGACACCATGTTGGGTACTCCTGATGGAGATTCTTGGCCCTTCTTGTGCTTTCTGGGCTTAGAACTGGCAGTATCCTTGATTTGATTTGTATTCTGTATTGTATTCAATGTTTGTTATGCTCAGAGTAGATCCACTGGAATTAATGAACATGACTAATTTAGGCTTATTAATTTCAGTGAGTCTCCTCTGATTTTAATTTAGCAGGAGACAACATTCTGTTTCCTTTCACCTTTGTAAGCAGCCAAATCTTCCTTACTCAGCAGTCATTTGAAACTGTAACACCAAGATTTATTTTGGACATCAACTCCCTAGCACATCATTATTAGTTAACTAACTGCAGAAACTAGTGATTGGAAGGAGTCCATGTAATCTTGCCCAGTTTGTGTTCACTGTGGTCAGATTAATGTAGCATTTCTTCCTTCTCTTCCAGAGAAAGTGCCCTCTTTACTTTGCTGGCAGTCAAAGTAGATGTGCTATTGTTTAACTAGAGCAATATAATGTGTGAAAGTATAATTTTTAAAATGGTATTTTGAGCTGTTAGTTGCTGTGATAATAGAAGCACTTCCTTTCCTTATGACTCAGACTGCTGCTTTACTGGAATTTTTCCCCTTCTGAGGAAGCATAACTCATCCAGGGCTGTTCCATTCTCCTCTTTCTAACTTAGGAGGGATGACAAGTTTATAGCAGCCATTCTGTGTTAGTCTTTTAAAAAAAGTTTCTAGGAGGTGTGGACTACTAGTGCACACTTGCCACAGGTACGCAAATATTCACACACATTCAGGCGCTGTTTCTTGTGTGCATGCATGCACAAGCCCACACACATATTCATACATCCCCTACCTTCTTTGCAGACACTCAAGCTGACACACATACTTATTTAGATACACACTCCCACCCTGTGCTTTTTTCCTGGAGGTACGCGGGGGTACGCAAACTCCTAAGCATTTTGGGAATCTAAGTTTGGCCCCATTGTGGGGCAGTATTTCAATATGAGTAGGAAAATGAGAGTACTCCTAAACATTTTTTTTAGAAAAAAGCACTGCTCCCACCCACTACTCTGCCAATCAGCAGAGCACACGGAAGAGACAGAAGGGATTTTCTTTCCCATCAAAACACTGTAATGGAGTTGGAAGGGACCCCAAGGGTCATTTAGTCCAACCCCCTTCAATGCAGGAATCTCAGTTAAAGCATCTGAGACATATGGCCATCCAAACTCTGCTTAAAAACCTCCTGTGAAAGAGAGTCCACAGCCTCTTGAGGGAGTCCATTCCATAGTCAAACATCTCTTGGTAACAAAGTTTTCCTGATGTTTAGTTGGACTCTCCTTTCTTGTAACTTGAATCCATTGGTTTGAGTCCTACGCTCCAGAGCAGGAAAAAATGAGCTTGCTCCATCTTCCATGTGACAGCCCTTGAGATATTTGAAGATGGCTATCATATCTCTTCTCAGTCTCCTCTTTTCCAGGTTAAGCATACCCAGCTCTTCCTACCGTTCCTCATATGGCTTGGTTTCAAGACCCTTGACCATCTTGGTTGCCCTCTTCTGCACATGTTGTAGCTTGTCAATAAATTGTGGCGCCCAGTTAGATGACTGTACTTAGATTACTGCAACTTGTTATACTTGGGACTGCCTCTGAGGACAGTTTAGAACCTTCAGCTTGTGCAGAATTCAGTGGCCAGGGTGCTCACCAGGACAAGACGGTTTGAGTATATAAGACCAATCCTGGCTTGACTGCACTGGCTGCCAGTTAGTTTCCAGGCTCAATTCAAAGTGCAGGTTTTGACCTATAAAGCCTTAAATGGCACAAGACCGCAATATCTCAAGGACCACCTCTCCGCGTATGAACCTACCCAGACCCTGCAATCATCTTCACGTACCTTCTCCGTGAGAGGTCTGGAGGGCAACAACCCAAGAACGGGCCTTTTCTGCAGTGGCTCCCCACTTGTGGAATGCTTTCTCCAGAGAGGTGCGCCTAGCGCCTTTGTTACATATCTTTATGCGCTGGACAAAATCAGTCCTCTTCTCCCAGGCCTTACCTGGGAGAATTACCGTATTTTTCGCTTCATAAGACGCACCTGACCATAAGACGCACCTAGTTTTTAGAAGGGGAATTCAAGGAAAAACATATTCTTTAAAGGGAGCGCTGAGCAGAGCCTGTATGCATCCCAGGCACTGCTCAGCGCTCCCTTTAAAGAGCCGCGTGGAGCGTGTTTGCGGCTCTTGGGGGCTTTTCCCCGAGGAGGGAGAAGGAACTTACGGGCTGCCCTTCTCCCTCCTCGGGGAAAAGCCCCCAAGAGCTGCACACACGCTCCACGCGGCTCTTTAAAGGGAGTGCTGAGCAGAGCCTCCCGCCTGCATTCGCTCCATGAGAAGCACAAACATCTCTTTTTAGGAGGGAAAAGGTGCGTCTTATGGAGCGAAAAATACGGTGAACAGTCTATGACCCTTTAAACCAGGGGTAGGCAACCTAAGGCCCGTGGGCTGGATGCAGCCCAATCGCCTTTTTAATCCAGCCTGTGGATGGTTCGGGAATCAGTGTATTTTTACATGAGTAGAATGTGTCCTTTTATTTAAAATGCATCTCTGGATTATTTGTGGGGCCTGCCTGGTGTTTTTACATGAGTAGAATGTGTGCTTTTATTTAAATTGCATCTCTAGGTTATTTGTGGGGCATAGGAATTCGTCATCCCCCCCCCCTCAAAATATAGTCCGGCCCACCACATGGTCTGAGGGACGGTGGACCCGGCCCACGGCTGAAAAAGGTTGCTGACCCCTGCTTTAAACGGTTGTGGGGCATTGTTTTCGTTGTTTATCGTGCTGTATATTTTTGTGTTTCTACAGTGGTACCTCAGGTTACATATGCTTCAGAGTTACAGACAGTGGTACCTCGGGTTACATACACTTCAGGTTACAGACTCCGCTAACCCAGAAATAGTGCTTCAGGTTAAGAACTTTGCTTCAGGATAAGAACAGAAATCGTGTTCTGGCGGCGCGGCGGCAGCAGGAGGCCCCATTAGCTACAGTGGTGCTTCAGGTTAAGAACAGTTTCAGGTTAAGAACGGACCTCCGGAACAAATTAAGTACTTAACCCGAGGTGCCACTGTATATTGTAAGCTACCCTGTATTGTAATCAAACAAACAATCTCAATAGCAAGAGACCATTCTCCTGTAACAGTGTTTCCCGCTAACCCACCCACCCAAATGCTACTCATTAGACAGGTAGCATTTAAATGGAGTCGATGCCTTTGTGCCTCCTTGGAATAATTGTGCATATCAAGCCCTGAAGAGAGCTGAGGACTTTGATTCCTCCAGTCCTCCAGTGGAACTGCACTTACTTTGCCTAGTTCGTGAATTTGGCAAGGCTACCATTAAACCTCAGTAGTGGCATGGGGTGTCCCTCTACCCTCTTCCCCACCTTTGGATATTGTTTTACATATTACATTGAACGTAACCGAAAGACTTTGTAATACGATCAAGAAAAAAAGTGAAAGGCATTGCACGTTCTTTGTAGTTCATGAAAATCTTCAATGAAAATTATTTCAATAAATAAATAAATAAATTATTCTTTTAGTGAAATAGTTACATGATTAAGGAAACCTTAACTGACTCCAGCTAAAAATAGCCTTTCCCGGCTGTCCGCTAGTTAAATGAATGGGAACAGAATGTGCTTCAAAGAGCTCTAGGCCAAATTACTAAAAGGGTCGTGCTCTCTGTTAGGGTGCTAACTAGCTAGGGTTGTGTTTTTTTTCCTGGAAGCAGCTGTTGCAATCCATACTACATCCTGGATTTAGCATTCCACTTCTGTGAACTAAGGGTTGTATCCAACAAACTCATCCCATCATCCAAGAGCCTTCCACGAGCACTAACGTAGCGCTAATTCTTTTCAAGGCTGGCAGTTCTCAAAACATCCTAATTAAATAGTAAACAAGAGTGACTTTGTTAATCTGCCACTATCGTTGGCCTTGCTTGTTTTGACAGCAGCCTGTCCACTGTGAGTTTGTGCCTGAGTGCTCCCTCAGCTTCAGCCAGAAAAGTTTGGGCCTTGAAGGGTTCACCTAATTACATTCCTTTGCACAGGCACCTTGACCACCCGAATCCCACACATAGATCAACCTTATGTTGTAGCAAGGGATGGAAGAGATTTGGATTTACTGTACTGTACTGTACTGGAACATGCAAGACTAGACAAAGGAAAAGTCTGCCAATGGGAAATATTTTGAGTCAGCAGCAGGACATAAAGTCTTTTTCAAGGACATGATAGATAACAGAAAAAAGTCTACTTAGGATGAAGACAGGAGCTCTTGAACAAGTTGACAGGTACTGGACAAGTCATGCTACAGGAGGTTTACAAAAGAGGTGCAAAGAAGCTTTGCCTTATGAGGAATGGTTGAAGGAGCCTGGAAAAGAGGAGACTGAGAGGAGATATGATAGCCATCTTCAAATATAACAAGGGCTGTGACATGGAAGAGGGAACAAGCTTATTTTTCCCCCTGCTCGGGACGGTAGGACTTGAACTAATGGATTCGAGTTACAAGAAAGGATAGTCCTACTAAACATCCGGAAAAACTTTCTGACAGTAAGAGCTGTTTGACAGTGGAATGGTCTCCCTCAGGAGGTTGTGGACTCTTTCACAGGAGGTCTTGCCTTGCCAAGACCTTGCACTCTGGGAAGGTCACTTCAGTGCTGCTAATGCACTGGTTTTACTTCACCCCTGGAGGCATACTCCATTGTCTTTTGAGACATATGGATATCAACAAGGGCAGGACCTGGGCTGAGTATGAAGTGTGTGTGTGTGTGTGTGTGTGTGTGTGTGTGTGTGAGACAAGTTACTTCAATTTGTCTATAATGTGAAGTAAAAACAACCTTGGGTTTTCATGTTAATTTTGATCTGCATCCCCTCACTGACTAATAGCATTATGCTAATTCAACAAAAAAATGAATATATGATGCATCTTTCTGGTAATGTGTGACTGGATATGGAATCAATTTTTGACTTGTGTTTGATTTTAAGGAGAAACACAGGTGATTTTGTGTAATTCTGACGATGTATTTTATCATGTAAGTCTCATGTCTGAAAATTGAGATGCAGTGGGGCGGGGAGGGGAAGAGTGTGAAAACACTGGAAAGTATGAAAGGGAATAAATCCTATGATAGCATGATGGTGAAAGAGCTGACAGAATATATGGCTGCAGGAACAACCTGGTGTTAATGGGAAAGAGCATAAAGGTGATAAAGCCTATGTAAAGGATGAGCCTGTTTACTTAGGAATGTAGAGCAGTGAAAACCCCATATAAAATAGGCAGTAAGGTAAAGGTAAAGGGACCCCTGACCATTAGGTCCAGTCGTGGCCGACTCTGGGGTTCCGGTGTTCATCTCGCTTTACTGGCCGAGGGAGCCGGCGTACAGCTTCCGGGTCATGTGGCCAGCATGACTAAGCCGCTTCTGGCAGACCAGAAACGCAGCACACGGAAACACCGTTTACCTTCCCGCTGGAGTGGTACCTATTTATCTACTTGCACTTTGACGTGCTTTTGAACTGCTAGGTTGGCAGGAGCAGGGACCGAGCAATGGGAGCTCACCCCTTCGTGGGGATTCGAACCGCCGACCTTCTGATTGGCAAGTTTAACCCACAGCGCCACCTGCGTCCCAACAGGCAGTACCAGCATGCAAAGCTGCCTGCTTTGCGCACTGTTAAATGAAAACCTTCACAGGGGAGATTCGTGTGGAACATAGTCTTATAAATGCATTCAGTGTATTTGGCTCCCCCACTCCATCTTTACATAAATGAGGTATAGGCAAACTCGGCCCTCCAGATGTTTTGGGACTACAACTCCCATCATCCCTGACCACTGGTCCTATTAGCTAGGGATGATGGGAGTTGTAGTCCCAAAACATATGGAGGGCCGAGTTTGCCTATGCCTGACATAAATAAATGGCAGGCCCATATAAAAACATATAGTGTGTTTCCGGGGGGGGGGCGCTTGGGTGAGGAGTGTTTATATGTCTACTTTGAAACATTTTAACTAAGGGGTACAAATGTAAAATATGAAAGAAAAGACAACAGTGCTGTATGAATTAAGAAAATCTCTCTGTAATCTAAACCTATTCCAGATTGCATTATCTATGTTTACCAATATAAAACACAATACGCCATCACTGTCATGGTGTTGTGCAAAAGCAAATAAAATTCTAAATGGTGGTTACAGAGAAAAGCTGTAATAACATAGTGTTTGTTATATTTAGGGCTGTATTTCGTGTTTGGCTTGCCAACAGTATAGGGAGGCAAAAAGGCAACGCCTCAAAATGCTGCAAAGATGTAGGAAATCAGATATAAGATTAAACTTCTGATAAGAAATACGAAGTTTCCTATATCTTGGTATCATTTTGAGGCTTTGTTTCTGATTTTTGTCACGTTGAGGTCTGATGTTGCCCACTTTTTTCCAGCTTAACAATCCAGAAAACCATAGGTGTTTCAAGCCATAATACTTTTTCCCTCCTAAATTTCAAACATTTGACTTTACGTTTTATTTTCCCATCTACTTGTGTTGGACTTCCAGGGTGAGGTCCAAAGAGCTGTGTACAGAACACTCCATTGCACTGGGACTTTTTGAGGGTGTGGGGGCAAGGGCACAGACCCAAAGTCACTCTTGGAAGTTGAGGGAACTTTTAGAGGACCATTTGATATATTATGGGATGCTGCAGTTGGAAAGGGAAGCTGGCTGAGGAATAACCTGCAATGAATAAAGAAAGGAAGAATAGCCTGCAGCTATGGATGTGCAGTAGAGTTTTCTGTTTGCACACAGGCTGCTTTGGCCTCATTGTTTTATTTATAGGGACAATTGCTGTGTTAATGATACCTGTGCCCATCACTCATACCTGCATAGCTCTGCGTGACTTAAGACTCCACCACCTCTGAAGGTAGCATGTGTAAACATTAGTTGTAGGAATTTTGTGTATGTTGATAATGATCCTAATGTGAAGAGAAACCAGGTTCCCATGACTGCTATATAAATCTGATTTAAATCAGCCAAGGCCACTCCAACAGAAAAACATCTGTGGCCCTAGCAATTTCTGAGATGCAACGTTTATCTTAACCTTTTAAGAGCCAGAACTTGAGCATATAAGAGATTTGCTATGTTTGGTAAAATTCCACACTTCTGCTAATTCAAACCATTCCTATGTTCTAGTTTGGTGCTTACAGTTCGTTGTTTGAGTTCTGTATGAAGCCCCCATGGGGGAGACGAAGAGGTTAGGGACATCTTAAGTTCTGGCATTAAAAATAAAATTACCTAAACACGAAACACTGTTAGCACTTTTGTAGGTTGCATTTAAGAAAATGGAGTAAGACAGTTGCTTCACTGTTTACATGTATACTTGTATACCCTATTTCTGCTCTCTCGACAAAGGATGAATGAGGTTATATGGGAGTATCCCAAACCAGTGATCTGGTCTGTGTGTTTATAGTTCTAATTTATAGTTTAATGTATAATTTTGATGTTCTTTGAGAGTTCTTCCTACCTCCTAACAAATGCTGAGATGAGTTTTATTGAAGGACTGTTTGTTGCAAGCAACTAAAGATGTGGCAATGAGAGATTTTCTCATGAACAAACAGTGCAGCAGCAGCAGCCACAGTACGTGTGACTCTGTAAAGAATGTATGTGCCATTCATTGCAATTCCTATGTCGATGAGAACAACAAATTATGGCTTAGTTAAACTGGAGTCAATGACTGATGAAACAAACACAGTAAGTCAGTATTTTGGGGGCTTGGACCCAAAGGTTTTACTCTGAACAGAACACGTTTCCATTCACGGTCACAGAGTGAAACACTTGCGACCAGATCGTTACCTTTTTCAAGCCATGCTGTGCCTGTTTTCGCTGCCCAAATTTAGAGGCATGCTGGGGGGGTAAAAAATCAGTTTCCAGGATACTTGGGGAAAACTCACGTGCGTTAAATGCATGCAGCCTAAAAGCCCTTTGTAACAGTGCCAGGAATGCTACTGTCAACTTTCTCAGTGTGCCATTTTTCAATTTGGCTGAAAAGCAAGTAGAAGAAAGTCATATGCTGTAACTGGTTGGAAAAGGAACAAGGCATGGAAGTAGTACTTTCTGCAGTTTCTGTCTGCCATTGCTCAGTCTAAGGGAGGTTTACACTGGGCTACTGGCAACGCTTTGAAACTGCGGTTTCAAAATGCGGATGCCTTTAGCTCAGTGATGAGAAGATCTGCTTTGCATGCGCAAGGTCCCAGGTTCAATGCCCGGTATCTCTAGGTAAGACTGGGAGAGAAACCGTCCTGAAACACTGAGAGCCAATGCCAGTCAATGCCAGCAGTGCAGAGGTAGATCTATTGCAATCTATTTCTTCTGACTGAGCTACCTTATGAAGCTGTGTGCTGGGGTCAGATTAGGACTAGGTAATTAAGGGATCATTTTATTCCTAGTTGTATATGGAATATGGGGTGGGGGTGGTCAGGGAGCCCAAAGTACATACAGTCCGGTAGCAACATTGTAAATGGCCCTATCATGCAGACCAGGATCTGAGGAAAGATGATTCACCTGTTTATAAATTTGCCTGGGTTAGCATACTGAAACTTCCTTTAATATACAATTCCACTGGCTTCTCCGTTAATGGTGAATCACTTGGGTACCCATGGTGGTTTTCATTATTTTTTGTGGCCATTTATTAATTGTTATGCATTGTTTGATTCAGAACTACAAAAAAAACTAATTGCATTCCTTCCTTCTGAAATATATGATGTGGCATGTCTCCATCAGTATTCAGTTCAAGCAAGGACATCTCCACCCTTCTGCTTATAGGAAAAGTGACCTTCTATTCATTGTGCTCTCTAGAAAAATGTGCCGTGCTCTGAAAGAACAGTGTATTAAGTCTTCTGCATGATAAAAAAATCTTAGAGCAGTTGCAATTATTACCCTCTCCAGAATCTAGGGGCCATAGGACTCATGTGAGTATATTTTATTGTAAAATATAGCCTGCAGCCTGCAATCCTGTGGTTTGAGTGAACTATATAGATTATATTTTCAAGCACAGCTTGAAAAACCTTCTGGGAGTTAGTTTTACAAAAATACATTATAATTGTAATGGTTCTTTCAATTGCTATTGTTTGTGTGTTTTTGTTTTTTAAAAAAAGAGAGTGGATCTCTTTCCTGGTCCACTTCATAACATTGAATGAAATAGGCTCTTGTCTTTTGAAGATCAAACTGCAGTAAAGTAGCTAAACCTGAAAAAGTGCTGCAATACTCTTTTTAGTCACAATTCTACACCCTCTATATGTAGGGGAAAGCTCTGGATCAGCTGCCATCACTCCTGTTTAAGGCTGCATACACACCATAAATTTACAGCATCCCCAATGAATCCTGGGAATTGTAGGTTGTTAAGGGTGCTGAGAATTGTAGCGCTGTGAGCGGCAAGCCACATTTACCAAAATTTTGTGGGGGGGGAGCCATGTGTTTCAAATATATGGTATGTACACAGCCTAAGTTGCTTTTTCTTACATGCACGTAAACCACATTTGATTATTACATTTCACATTTGTAGAGATTTTTGTTAGATTTTAGCAAGCAGTTTGTCTTATCTTGAAGATGCTCGACTTTATCATAAATATCAGATGGTGCAGGGTGGAAGCATTGCTCAAAATCATTACTCATGAAAGCATCTTAGATTAGACATGATACACAAAATAGGAAGATATTGTGGTAAGTTGTATCTCTCTTTTCTCCGTTGCCTGATGTTGTATGAATCACATGTATTTTCTGGAATGTTCACAGATTTGCATTCTGAGCAGAAGCAAAAATTGACACTATGCCAGTCTAACGCGAAGGTGATTTCTGTTTTCCCAATGAAACAAACTCCCCTCTCCTTCCCCACAGACTGCTCTGGGGCTTCTCAGCCTCCAGAGTGAATTTGGGGGAGAGGCAGAGGGGAAGGAAATCCATGTTGCCCTAGTGGGGAATCAGACTGATTACCTGGACTTGAACACATTTATGCCTTTTTGCTCTACAGCCATGCATTGCATGCAAGCATACATCAGCAACAGGCTTGGTAGCCCTCATGTCTGCTGTTGAGCTGGTTGGAAAGTAGTGATATAGTATGGACTAGCACCAGTGTTGGGTGCTAGGAATCCAAATGAATAATTTGAATAATTTTACTATCTCCATTATCTGAAGATATGCTACAACATCATTTAATCTTTCATAACATATTGGTTGCATGGGAAGCTACAGTGATTCATTTCCTACGTTCTTAGTACACAAGCTGTTGCAATAGGCTTTCCAACCCTGTTCAAAATACTTATATTTATTTAAAGGTTTTCTTCAGAAACGTTTCCCAAAACAAATCTTCCCCACCCCCAGCTTTCCTCTTTTAAGAATCTTTAAATATTTTGCATCACAGAAGGAAATAAAAACCTTTGCTCTTGAAGGCAGTGTGTTAAAAAGAAAGAATATGAGCTTGTCATTAAAAGAAAAAGGTTTGTTTTCTTAAAAAGTGTCTTTGAGTCACTTTGGAAACAGATGGCCAGAACTACTTCTAAACAACCTAATTTGGAGATCAAACCTCCAATGTACCTCAAGAGGAGGAGAAGTGTTTTTTTCGGATGGTAGATCATGATTCTTGTGACTGGTTAAAGAAGTGTCAAGATGTTTTAGTGCAGAATTACCCAAACTTGGGTGTCCAGCTGTTTGTGGACTACAACTCCCCTCATCCCTAGTTAACAGGACCAGTGGTCAGGGATGATGGGGATTATTGTCCAAAAAGAGCTGGACACCCAAGTTTGGGGCCCCCTGCTTTAGTGCATGGGTAGCCAATGTGGTACCCTCCAGATGTTGCTAAACTACAATTCCCAGTCATCCTTGACCATTGTCTGGAGGGCACCACCTTGCCTACCCTTGTTTTACAGCATTTGTCTGCTGGATAGTGCAAGCCATTAGGAAATAAATAAGATTAAGTGTTTCTCAGTGAGAGATTTGACTGGGATTTTCAGTAGATATCATTGATTGGCCTTGCAAAACGCTTTCTACAAAAGATACAGCATGTGGTGGTCTTAATGAGGCAGTCATTGCTTCACTGTTTTGTAAGAAGAGGAAAAAACTGGCTGGGTTCCGGAAGGAGATTAAAATGTGGAGCGTGAATTTGTCAGCATGCCTACTTTGGCTGAAGCAAAGTGCGGAAACTCCTTTGCTCTTCAGTCTCATGCAAGTGCGAATATTGAAAGCAGGTGTTTTTGTTTCATCCCGGGAATAGAATTAAAGTTAATCCATTTGTGACAGGTGCTGTAAAGAACCTTTCCCCCTCAATTGTAAGCATTTAAACAAAGATTATCCGTGCCAAGTGTAGTGGTAAAGAGGCTGCTAATCGCTTCCTAGAAGACATTAAGAGTCTCCAAAACAAACATCGCCTCTCTGTTAACAAGTTGACCGAGTTCGTCATAAGGAGTATATGAGGCAACCTGTACAATCCAATCCCCATAGCCTTCCAGAAGAAAGTTTGCAATCGTGCCAGCCTAGTGCATTAAAAAACAAACAAACTGTTTTGACTTTAAAGCCAGATTTTAAACACACACATATGAACACCACTCCCATTCGGCTCAATCCATGAATGCTTACGTTCTTTGCCTGTCCCCCTGCTGCTTCCCCCTCAGTCTCCCAGCCCCCACAACATTTGCTATGTATGCCCAGGGGTGTTTATTTTACACCTAATTCATCAGTGCTCAGCCATCCAAATGTGCAGTGCACACCTTTGCAACAACTGCATGTTGAATAGAGGTGGTGCCTGAATTTGTGCAGGGGGCAGGGGCTATACCATTAGGGTTATGTCTGTAAAGAACTGAAAATGTATTCCTTCCAAAACGGCACCCACTTAGGCGAGAGAGCCTGTGGCAAACATAATTCCCTGGACCAAGCATAGCCAATGTGATGTTACCCAGATGTTGTGGACTACATCTTACATCAGCTGCAGGCAGCATGGCCAGTGAGTTGGGTGTTTGTGATAGCTACTTAGGGTCCTTAGGTTCTAACACCAACACTCTTTGTCCTGGCAGTTTTGGCATGGGTTGACTTTATATTTGCCTGATCCTTTCTAAAGAGTAAAATCTGGATTAAATAGCTTCCATTCAAGACAGCCAAACCGAGAGTATTCCCACTGGAAGCTCTGTTACCCAGTGAGAGTTTTCCTACTCTGAGCACTCTGGTTATTTATTTAATTTATAGAGGCCTGAAGGGGTGTGCTTATTTTCCATTAAGCTAAAGGAGCTGGGGTGGGAAGGGGGGTGTTGCCTATTGCTTTATTTGGGTTTATTTTGAGGATAAGCATAAAAAATGCTTACACAGTTATATAACTCACAACTTAATTACCTCCCCAAATGAATGTTGGTACTCTAGCCACCTCATAGCCTTGAAACACACAGCTGGACACCACCTTGATCTTTTCGTTCATTTTCAGGCATGCATAGAGTTGTGCAACTTTTGTATTGGAAAAACACTAGCGGCTAATTAACCCTCAGCTGTAAGTACCTGCAGGCTGCATAGCAGAGCAACTTGCTTTTTCATCACGCATGTATGCTGCTACAGCACATGACCTAGGTGCTTTTATTTTTCCTTGCCAGACCTCTCATTCCAAACCCCACCTTAACCGTAAAATGTTCCTTCTGCCCAGTGTCTGCAAAAACAACATCCCAGTCCTATGATGAATGCTTTCTTGTGAATTGTTACTCACTTTTTTTTTTAAGGTTGCTAGTGTCTTAGTAAAAACCAACGTTATTGTTGGCTGCAAGTTCTTTTACTAGTGTGCTGCTGAGTTGTAGTTGCATTAAAAGGGTCTTTCAATGCTTGACTGTAGCTTTTAGTGCACAAATGGTAGAAGAAAAATCCTACACTGAATGTAAAAATGCAAATCTCACATGTACGAATTTGGTGTTGGCACACATTAGCAACCGACATGCGATGATGGTGCTAGTTTGGCAGAAACCTGCGTCAAATGAGAATCTTTTCTTGGGCTTGTATTATTACATTACACAGAGAGGGTCTTGTCTCAGTGAGCCATAGCCAAAAGGGCAAACTATTAAAGCAGGGCAGATTCATTGACCATTTAAACAGTGTATACATAAAGACCACAGTGTAAACTAGCTGACTCCTGACAATATAGCTGCCCTGTAAATGTGACAGGCACGTTGTCCCAGCCTGCACTGCCTAGTTTAAGCATGTTTCTAAGAAATGCCAAGCCCAAAGTCTCAACTTGTGAGAGTGTTCATGGGACCGCTTAACTCACAGAAGGCTTGCCGGGTAAAAATAGGTGCTGTGAACTGATCCCAAGGCAAACTCTTCTTCTTGTTGAACTCTGAAACTCAACTTTACCTTTGATTTAATCTATGCATTCTGTTCCATTACTGAATACAGCAAACATAATAATAACTTGTAATTTTCTTATTTGTACCCCACCCATCTGGCTGGGTTGCCCCAACCATTCTGTATGCTGCACCTCTTTCAGATTTTACTATCCTTATCCAATCTGCCTGCTTTCAGAATTGAGGCCAAAAACAGTTTCCTTGTTCATTGTTAGATTTACTGAAACTAATTAAGAGGTTTTTTATATCTGGGAATCTCAGTAATAGAATCATAAAGTTGAATGCAATATAGAGCAATAATAAGTTTTATTACTGTGGTTTTAGATTAGCGCCTAGATACCAGCCTTGTTTCAGCTGCAATTATTGGATGGCCTTGAGTGAATTGCCCCAGCTTCAGATTCCTAAATCTGGGCTCTTATAAAAATAATAATGAACAAACTAGTTTGCAGCCTGGATGTGCATTCTTACACCTTATCTAAGAGCTGCTGTATCATAATACCTATACATACTGCACAGATTTGCACATATACTTTATTATTTCTTTTAGATGTCTCTCCTACTTTCTTTATATATATATATATAAATAGCTTGTTGACTATATGGCATTTAGTTTAATGGGGTTGGAAGATTCAGTAACCACATGTTTTCTGGTTGTAAATATGCATCAGGGTGTGGCATTGATTTCCTAGGAAACTGCAGTTTGTGATCTTTTTCCTGTAGAAATATTTCTACATGCACGTGACTAGTATTGTGCAAATTTCCCAGAAGTCATGCATGTGATTCAGAGAAAAGGGAATAATATGTCTCTGGTAAACAGCTTGCTGAGAATTTGGTCACCCTCCTAGTTCCCTTTGAAATAAAATGCCTGTGCTTTCTAAACAAGGAGCTGAGACTGATCTTTCACATACTTCCCTTTCTCTTAAATAGATACTATTTTGAGTAATGCATGAGGTATGTTAATCACAAATCTGGCTGTATTATTATTTTTTATGGAGCAATAAACCATTATGTGAAATCAGACGAGATTGAAGAATAAGTGTTATGCAACATAGAGTAATATACTTTGCAGCTTGTGCCAGCCATCAGCATTTTCCAGCATAACTGTTAAATATATACAGTGGTACCTGGGGTTAAGTACTTAATTCATTCCAGAGGTCCGTACTTAACCTGAAATTGTTCTTAACCTGAAGCACCACTTTAGCTAATGGGGCCTCCTGCTGCCGCTGCACGATTTCTGTTCTCATCCTGAAGCAAAGTTCTTAACCTGAAGCACTATTTCTGGGTTAGTGGAGTCTGTAACCTGAAGCGTATGTAACCCAAGATACCACTGTATATATCTGAGACATATTGTCTGGGCTTATCCTGATTTTGTGGTGGGAGGGGTGGAGGAAGGAAAAGAACCACCCTCATGTAACCCAATGGCTCAGAATCCTCTTCCTTCCCCTGCCCACTCAGCCCCAGTTCTCAGATTTTAAAGGTTTGGCCTCAGGTGTTGCTATCAGAATATAACCACAACTTAATCAAAAATGTATCAGCAACAGTTTTGAAATTGATCAGAAGTAGGCATTCCTGGAGTGGCCATGATGTGTATACCCATCTCAACTGTGTTTCTTTGGTTGCTGGAATCCTAGCAGCATTGAGACCGTTGTTATAGCAAGTTATGTGTGCTGGCCTCTTGCAAACCATAACAGGTTCTGCTCCAGCTGCAACCGCAGGATGGATCCCAGCCTGACATTCTTCTTCAACAACTCATACCTGCACGCTAGCTAAGAAGATAAAAAGACTCTAAGAGCCCTGCAATTCTAGTGTACACACACAGAGTGGCTTGAGCTGCAAAACTCAGTTTGGTGTCCTTTCATGCCTGCACATGATGCATTGCAGGCTGACCCTTGTAACACTTTTAGCGTGCAGGGGGCTTCCTAATCTCTGTCTCATTAATCCTCGCATCTGGGTTATAGGTCATTTTTTCCAGTTTCCAAGCACAGAAACTTGATTGCTCAAGGCTACCAATAGCTGAGGAGAGAGATATGAGCTCCAATTTCCCAGGTTCTAAGTCCAACTTTCTTTCCAGTGTGGGCATCTGCCACGCTGTCATTTTGTCTCAGAGAATCTTTTTGAAATAATTTAAGTCCACCATTTTCTAATTAGGGGTTGCCAACATGGCACCTGTGGGGGCCAGTATGCCCACCAGTATCTCCTATTCTTCCCATGAAAAATCAGTAAATATCTTTTCTACAATGCGCAGTGTGCAAGAATCTGAGGAGAGCCAGTGTGGTGTAGTGGTTAAGAGCGGTAGTCACGTAATCTGGGGAACCGGGTTTGCGTCTCCGCTCCTCCACATGCTGCTGCTGGGTGACGTTGGGCCAGTCACACTTCTCTGAAGTCTCTCAGCCCCACTCACCTCACAGAGTGTTTGTTGTGGGGGAGGAAGGGAAAGGAGATTGTTAGCCGCGGATAGCTGCCTGAAGCCCGGGGAGCGCAGCAGGAGTTGGCACTGTGCTCCCCAGGCTGCAGGCTGCTATCTGCAAACCTTTGGAGCCTGGCAGGAACTCCCACCGCGCTCAGAAGGCTTGTGGATAGCTGCCTGAAGCCTGGAGAGTGAGAGGGGTCAGTGCGCACCGACCCCTCTCACTCTCCAGGCTTCAGCGAAAGCCTGCATTCGCTCCATAGGACGCACACACATTTCCCCTTCCCATTTTGGGAGGGGGAAAAGTGCGTCCTATAGAGCGAAAAATACAGTAATTCCTCAGAACATGTATGCAATCATTGAAACAACCAGAGCTAATTAACCCATCTGATTTGAAGAGCAGACAAGACACACCTGCCCACTTTATGTACAAAATAATGTGTGGTGTAGTCACTCTGCATGCAAGTCCATTTTCTTGCAGTCCTTCAAATCTTACTCTGCAGAACATGCACAGGGTATTTCCCATCTTGTATTTAAAAAGCAGCATATTGTGGAATTCTGCTGAAATTTGTGTATTTTTGCACACTAAAGCACTTCACGTTCCTGCATCTTCTTCTCCATAACAGTCACACCAGTCTGCTTGGAGTTAACTTTGATTCTACTGAATTGTTTGGTCACCACCTCTTGTCTCTCTTTGCTGAAAATATGCCCGATAGCCTATTAATGTCACACACACAACTTGTGTGAACATCTGTAGCAGCCCCTCTTTACTCAACAGTAGTTGCCTTCCCGCCAGCACTAATTTACATGCACGGTAACTGCAAGGTCTACACAGGCTGCAAAACTTTGGTTTTTCTGATAGCGTTCTGACACAAGAGGCCACGTTGTCCTCTGAAATGACCTCTTCCTATCGTGAAATGCTCAAGATGTTGGTATTGGTAGCCCTAATGCCACAATACTCAGCGATGGAAATATATCCACAACCATTCAGTTGCTTGATGTTCAAGGAGTTGCGCTGCACTGTTCCACTAGTTATTTACAGCTGTATACATGGAAAATGCATTGCCCATTTTGGAGTGTGCATCATTGTACAAGGGAAAGAAATGCTGTTGGCTTTCTGTTTCCTTGACATCTGTGAGATGCATATGAACATAAGAAGAGCTTGCTGGATCATTCCAGTGGCCCATCTAGCTCAGTTTCCTGTTCTCACAGTGGCGATCAGATGCAGTCATGGGTATGAGTCTTGACTGGGCCATGTGCACTTAATAATAATAATAATTTTTATTTATACCCTGCCCTCCCCAGCCAAAGCCGGGCTCAGGACGGCTAACAAGCAATAATAAAAACAAGTTGAATGAATACAAATTAAAAACAAAATTAAAAGACAACATTAAAATATTGAAATATTAAAATGTAGCCTCATCGCAGGAGGAGAAAGGAAAAGAAAAAAGAAAGAGGGGGAGGGAATCAATTTGGCTCCAAGCCAAAGGCCAGGTGGAACAACTCTGTCTTACAGGCCCTGCGGAAAGAAATCAGATCCCGCAGGGCCCTGGTCTCATGAGACAGAGCGTTCCACCAGGCCGGGGCCAGTGTTGAAAAGGCCCTGGCTCTGGTTGAAGCTAATCTAACTTCCTTAGGGCCCGGGACCACTAGGGTGTTGCTATTTATGGACCTTGAGGCTCTCCGTGGGGCATACCGGGATAGATTAAGAGATAGATTTCTATGACCAGCAAGCATCTTGCTCAGATGTGTAACACGCAAATGTTGCTCCCGCTTGGCAAATGAGTTGTGAACATTTCATGAAGTTTTAAGGTTCACCGATTGTCGTTGGTTTTCTTGTCTATTCAATTATTTGTTCTCTTCTCAGACGTTAGTGTCACTGTGCTAATCACTCCGAGTCTTTATAAAAGACTGCCCTGGAGTTTCTTGACTCTTTGGCTTGTTCTAGCAGATGGATTCTAAGTGTTAAACGTGTTTGGCATTTCTCCATCTGTTGACAGTTATTCTGACAGATGAAGAGGTTCAGAGGAAAAGAGAGATGATAATGAAGAGGAAGGAAGAGGAAGCCCTGAAAGAGAGCCTAAAGCCCAAATTGTTGGAGGAGCAACAGCGGACCATCGATATCCTCCTGGAAGCCCACCGCAAGACCTATGATTCCACATACTCTGATTTCAACCAATTCCGGGTAAGCTTCAGGCCCCACTTTCCTTCTAACTTCATTATGGCTGTGACTAGTAGGACACCTGCTGGTGGAATAAGTAAATTGAAGCAGTAGTTCTGAATCAGCGAAACCTTTGCTCCCTTCTCACTTGGAAGAAAGTAACATGCAGCCTGCAAACTGAAGCCAGTTAGGTAGACCCGCAATCTACCTGCTGTGAGTGAACTACAGTCATACGTCGGGTAAAATGTGCTTCAGGTTGAGCGTTTTCATGTTATGCTCCGCGGTGACCCGGAAGTAACGGAGCACGTTACTTCCAGGTTTCGCCGCTCGTGCATGCACAGACACTCAAAATGACTCAAAACACAAGCAGTCGCGGGTTGCATTTACTTCAGGATGCAAACGGGGCTCCGGAACAGATCCCGTTCACATCCAGAGGTACCACTGTATATGATATTTCCTTTTTTCTTTTTTTTTTAAATGATATTTATTGAAAGTTTTTTAGAATTACAAAAAAGAACAAAGCAGAAAAAGAGAAAAAAAAGAAAAAACAAGGAAAAAACAAACCACATCAAACAATACAAATTCAAAAAACAAAAATACACCACAAACACTCAAAAACAAATCCATCATTCTCGAATCCTCAACTGTCATTGCCTTCTTTCTTTGACCTCCTCCTCCTCCCTTTTTTTGTATCCTAGTTGTTAATTATCGCAGCAAATCCTTTCCATATTTCATAATATTCTGTCATTACATTACCTTAATCTATTTTAATCTTATCTTACTATAAAGAACCTTAAAACTTAAAACTTGAATCTTAATTTTACCAACTTCTCATAACCATAATATTCTTACATAATTCTTTAAACATTTTTGCTAAAGCCAAATAATTTCGTTCCAACATTTTTCTAACATTCATCAATTTTATAAAACAATCCTAATAATAATAAAAAATGAAATAAAGACAATCCAATCTTCATCTAGCGTCCCTTCCTCCTGGTCCCGGGTTTTGTCAGTCCTTATTATCCCATCGATCTAGCGCATTAACCTGGTAACCTTGTATCCGAGGCCCTTAAGTCTCTTCCATGTCCCTTCCGTGGCTCTTCTTCATATTTATAACTGTATTTTCCTTTGTCTCCTGCTCCTTTCACTCATGGGAACTCCAGCTTAACAATGTTTTTAACCCTTCTCGACAAATCAGCCCCTTTTCCATAGTCCACACTAAACTCCATGTGGTATTTGAGAACATGTTTCAAAAACCCTCCAAAATTAAGAGCCCCCACAACCCCAAACAACTCACGGCCCATTGCCAGACTTGCAAAGTCCAAATATCCCTGCATAGGGGGGTCTATCCAACCCCCCATTTCCAAACCAAACTTTATCTTTCCAAATCTGGCTTTTTCCAAGTTCATTTGTCAAATCCAAAAGCTCATGTTCCTGCTGGGCCACAACTCCCTCCGTCTCTGGCGCCCAAGATTCAGCAGCATTCTCTTCCCTCATCTGTTCCGTCAGGGCACACTCCTGATTTAATTCCTGGGTGGGCTCCATATAATTTCCCACTGCCTGGTCAAAATTTCTAATCGCATCAGTCATCAAATCCGTCTTCTCATGTAGCTGTTCCAGTAGGGCATTTGTTTTAGAGAAAGCACACAACAGAGCTTCTGAATACATTGTCCTGCAAGGTCAGAAGTCTGTTCCCACGATTGTAATCTGTAACAGCTGCAAGCTCCCCGGAGTTGGTTACAGTTTCACAGTCTCCCTCTAGGGGGAAAACTTCTATTTGTTCTTTCTTTTAAAGACAGGTCTATCAACAAAGTTTCCTTTTTCAGATATTTTGTCAATATTTGTTCCTTTAAAAAGCGAAGGGGGACAATGGAATCAATGTTTCTCTTCTTATAGCTATCTGTCAAAAACGTTTGTCTCTGGTCAATGAGCTTCAAAAAACGTCAGTCCTGACACCCCGCTCCAGGATCAGGAAGGTGGAAAGTTACTTTACTTTACACTCACTTTTGCAGGTTTAAACAGTCCGAAAAAATCCCCCCTCTTCCCCTGCTTCCGAAGGGGGTTCAACAATTTTAAATGGTGAAAGTTAATCTTTTGCAAGCGATTTTCTGAGCTCTAGTTTGCCATGTCATTGCTTTAATCTATCTACAAAGAAACGGAAGGCTGACTTCCTGTTTAGACCTTCCCGTTTCAGTGCCAAATTGAGGTAAACTTTTAAGTCCAATTTTCCTTTCTGCTCACAAGTCCTTATTTAAAGTGCAATTGTCCGAATTTAGGTACTCACGGGTGATTATTTTAGAAGCCAAATTGTCCCAGGAAAAAGGCAGCGCTCTCTGGCAATGGCTGTGCGGCTTCGCTCCACGGAAGAAGCAGTTAACTCTCAGCACCGCGCCACTTCCCCCTCTTCGCTCCGGAGCCCGTTAGTGGGTTCTTTTGTGGGTTGGGGGGGGCGCTAAAGGTGCCCGCCGAGTCCCATGGTCACAAGCTTCATCAGCCTGTGATTTTTGAAAGGGTCCCCGCTTCGCCGTAGCAGAAAAGACCCGTTTCGCGTGGAGCTAGTCCCTCCAGATCAGAGGGAGTCCGCCATTGCCGATGGCGCCACCCCGGAAGTGTATATGATATTTCCTTACCTTTGCCTTTGGAACTGGCAGGTGGCTATCAGAACTGGCAGGTGGCTATCAGATGCTGTGGTCTAAACCACTGAGCCTAGGGCTTGCCGATCAGAAGGTCGGCGGTTCGAATCCCTGCAACGGGGTGAGCTCCCATTGCTTGGTCCCAGCTCCTGCCCACCTAGCAGTTCGAAAGCACATCAAAGTGCAAGTAGATAAATAGGTACCACTCCAGCGGGAAAGTAAATGGCATTTCCGTATGCTGCTCTGGTTCGCCAGAAGCAGCTTAGTCATGCTGGCCACATGACCCAGAAGCTGTCTGCGGACAAACACCGGCTCCCTCGGCCAGTAAAGCGAGATGAGTGCCGCAACCCCAAAGTCAGGGTCCCTTTACCTTTACCTTTAAGAGAAGCTTTTGAAACGGTGGCATTCGTAAAATTTTTGTGTGCTTTGTTAAATGCCATAATTAACATGTGCGCTGAATCAATATGATCTGGTTGCGGGTGAGGTGCTTTCAAATCTCTTAGCCTCTGAGCCTGCTACTTGTCTTTGAAGGCCTAATTCTGAAGCCACTTATTCCATTGGACGGTGTGGATACCAGAATGCCAGGCTTCTGGTGGGCGGGTGTACCATTTAGCCACCTGTTGGCACATCTTCCTCAGCTGCACTCACGTCCTGAAACAGCTGTTTTCCTCAGTTCTGAGGAAGAAAGAGCAGGGAGGAGAAAGCACTTGTGGCTGAGGCAGCCACAACTCCTTCCTGTTTGGTAAGAACTAGTGAAACAGCTGGGAACTAGAGCTCAGCTTTGGGGTTTGAGTGACGCACGTAAGAGCTAGGGAGAAGGGCTGGGGCAGAGAGAGAAGTGGGGGAAAGAGAACCAGCTCTGTCTGACTCATGGTTTTGACAACTTGGAGCTGGTAACACTTGTTGTTTTGTGCTACTTCCCAATAGACTTCCGCCTCTCCTCTCTCTGCCAGCTGATAATATTCTAAGCAAAACAAATGTCTCCACCATGGGATTATAGCTTCCAAGTACCCTTCAGTTCCTGGCCCCACCCTGAAAATGACACAAATGTGATAATTAAGTATCGTACATGATGTGAGTTGGCATTTACAGATGCCTTTTCAATGTTCACATACATAAGATGCTAAATACATATTTGCTGTGGCTTTCTGGCTCATAACATGCTTTTTCTCTGTGTGTGTGTTTTCTAAGTCTGCCTTTCTACATTACTGTAGAAATTAGCCATGTTGGGGGGAAATCATGGTACATCAGAAACATTTTTACCTAGGGGGAACCGTTAATCTTAAGGAAATGGGTTGACAGGGTAAACGAATTAGGCGAAATTTAAAAGAAATAAAACATAGTGGGTGGGACTTTATAAAAGTATTCTGTATCAATCTGGCCCCAATTCCCATTTAGTTAATTGGTGGGAAAGCTCTAAGGATATTTTAGAGAAGTAAAACCAGTGCTTTTTTTCTGGGGAGACGCAGGGACCCCTAAACATTTTGTGAATCTAAGTTTGGCCTCATTGAGGGGGAGTATTTCAATATGAGTAGGAAAATGAGAGTACCCCTAAACATTTATTTATTTTTTTAGAAAAAAGCACTGTGTAAAACCATTCTTTTTTCCTTAGCAAGGGGCCCTTGTCAGTGCACAAATTTACCAGCAAATAGAACTAAAGTGTTGGGGTCAGACAGAGATGTTTTTTGAAAAGAGCAATTGACAAATAGTTGGAATGGTACCCTTTTTTGTTTCAGCCTCCTGTGAGACTTGATTCAGGCAGAAGAAGCACAAGCAGATCTTCCTCTCTTATGTCACAAGGTTTCTCTTCTTCAGAAGACTCTTCAGACACTTTCAGCTCTTCCCCAGGTAATGTGAAGATTGCCAAATGACCTCCAGGCTCACAGCAAACAAATCCAGGAATGTTATCTCCAGCTATGGATTTGTTTTCTCATCTGCCAGATTCAGTTCCCCTTTGTCTTGTAGATCAGAGCTCCTTAGGATGCACAGCCCACCCCCTCTCATCTTGTGGCTCAGTTGCTGAACTTGAATCCTCCTTCACAGAAACCTTTAATACATTTGCTAGATCTGGCTTTTTTAAAGCCTTAATTTTTGATTTAAGAAACAAAAAAAGCCCTACACCTGAAATCAAAAATTTAATCTGTGTGCTTTCCCCTCTATCTTGCAGAGCCCAGGATGTTATCGAGTGTGGAGCTCAGTGATGACAGCGATGAAAGTGCAACCATGTCCATGGACTTCTCACACCTTTCTATGCTGCCTCACGTGGCCGACCTTGTTAGCTACAGCATCCAAAAAGTGATTGGATTTGCAAAAATGATTCCAGGGTTCAAGTAAGGATGCTTGCTTTGGTTTCTTCAGAATGGTTCGATGCGTTTTCCTTCCCTTGAATGTATTTGTGTGTGTGTGTTTAATACATTCTTTTTAAAAATTGTACCACACCACACAGCTTCCAGAAGGAGACTTCTGGGTTGGTTGCAACAAAAATAAAAAACTGAAAACAACTAAACAGTATTAATAAATACATACAGGAAATCATTTCCCCAGGAGAATGGTATTTTTCAACTCAATAAATTTAGGAACTTAGAATACATTTTCCCAGCTGCCTTCTATCCAGACGTAATTTGAGTAAATCCTTCAATATGGCTGTGAGCAAGAACATCAATGTCATTATTGCCTCTGCTTCTCGCTCTCCTCATCCATTTAGCCTGCAGTGAGGTTGCTTATTAAGAAATCTCATTGTAAATTGAGCATTAATGGAGCTGTTACCTGATCATTCTGACACATGGCTCAGTTGAATGAGGATTTCCTCAGCTTTTATCTGCCCGAACATTGCAGGATGTGCATCAGTTATGACTTGACATGATTGAACTTAAGCTGTTCCTATCTACTGGACAGCACTGCACTCCCACAATGAAGAGCAATGGTCATGTCAAGCCGGGAAATTTAACTGAGCTCACAGTTGGAGTTTATGAGTTGTGCATGGATTACTCAGCACTTGATGGCTCTTAACCCAATATGTGGGCTATTTACATTGAAAAGTGTTGTACAAGAATTGGGGGATACAATTCACATATGCTACAGTCAATGTGTTATGGGCACAAACTGGTGAACCAACCCATAGTGTTTTGCACATGGTTCTTCAGAGGAGACTGGAGGCTGACATTCAGAGGGTTGAGTAAATGAGATCAGTGAAATGATAAAGTGCACAATTGTTCACTGAGGTAGCTCCTTTGAGTATCACACAGTAAACTGTAGTGCTGGAAGGAAGCAAATAATCAGTTCTAACCCCTATATAATGGAGTGTTATGATGCTGGATGCTTTGAGGTTTCATATATATATTCTCTTTTCCCTAAATGTAGAGATCTAACAGCGGAGGACCAGATTGCTCTACTGAAATCCAGCGTCATTGAAGTAATTATGCTCCGTTCAAATCAGTCATTTTCACTGGACGATATGTCCTGGACCTGTGGCAGCAATGACTTCAAATACAAAATCAGCGATGTCACTCAAGGTACAGTAGTTTTAGGTGTGAATGGTATAAGATTCCAGTCAAGCACAAGGCTGCTCTGGAGCAGCCACCGAAATGAGCTTGTCTCATCTTGATTTGCTTACAATTAATATTAGGTATCATTATCCCTAGAAGATACAACTCAAGGCCTACAGAAGGCTAAAGTAGTGCAAAAGTTAGGATAAGTACAATCCGTGAGGTAGTGGTCCAATGATCTGCTTAATTTAGTGATTAAAATATTAATATGTTGCTTTTTGGGTTCTGCAAAATGGTTTGGAAAATATAATTTGAGAAATAATGGAAGTTAGGTGATGAATCCAAGAATGAGGGAGAGTTGTGTTTCTCACTTAGTCTATTGATATTTTGGAACCAATTCATGCGATTACCTTTTCAGGTTTTTCCCCAACTGTGAAGACACAATTGAGTCATCACAGTTAGGCAACTGGGTAGGGAGATGGGCCATTTCATTGCTTCATAATGGACTCAGTTCCAGCTTTTAGCATGCCACTACAAACACAACAAAAAACAGTGTTGTGTGATGTGTTCAATAAAAAGCTGGGTGCCTGTTTCAGCATTCAGACAACCACTTTGCCGTCTCTGTTCTCCACCTGCAGAAAGTCAAAAGTAACTTCTCCAACATGGAGAAAGTGGGAAGTTCAAAAAGCATTCATATAAATTGGTCCTTATAAGTAATGGGTGAATCATCAGTTTGGGTATTCTGTTCACATTAACAACCAAAGTGCCGGCAGCCCATCATATCCATCATATTTATAATTCTCAAACCCCTAGTTATTTGAAGATGCCGTGGCACTTGCAAAATGGAGCCAAAGTCACAGAACTGGAGGTGTCAGAATTATCATTGCTAGCCAGCCCTGAAATGGCCAGGAGATAATATAGTGAAATCATACCTGAGTGACTTGCAGGCTGACTATGCTTCATTTTGATGGAGGGAGTGTGCAAACACCAGCACTTGCATCAGAAGGGAAAGCTCTTGACCCTTAATAGTTCCTGAATGTGTGAGTAAAAACGGAAACTTCCACATATGTTCAGATACAAAGTTTCCAGGACTGGAGCATTTCCTGTTCTGAAAGGAGGATAGTATTATCATGCCAACTGAGCATGAGCGAATTCGTCTGTTTTGTGAGGTCTCCAGGCAGGATTGGCTGACCAATCCACGTGTGAATTTATCTTTAATTTTGCTTCTTGCTCTGTTTCATGTTAGCTGATAAATCTATCAAGAATCTAGAGCCTGCCTCTCAAAAGGGTTTTTATGTTTCTGTTTCAGCTGGGCATAGCCTGGACTTGCTTGAGCCCCTTGTTAAATTTCAGATCAACCTGAAGAAGCTGAACCTGCATGAAGAAGAACATGTTCTCCTCATGGCCATCTGCATCCTGTCTCCTGGTAAGAGAAACTTTTGCCTTTTCCGGCTGTGTTTTAATTGTAGATTAAAACCAGCACCAACCACGGGTGGCATCTACAAGCCAGCCACTTCTGGGATATAATTTCTATATAGGAAATAACATGCACAGTGGTGTATGCTGTCCTGTGTGAAAAGAATGCAAGCATCTGCTTTGCCACAATTACATTTTGAGTGATGGGTGTACATGGAAGGAAAAATATAAGCCATAAGATTGGATTTTGTTCTGTTTTTTTTTACTATACCTTCCACAGAGCACAATATACCTTCCACAAATGTATCCTTACCCTTTGGCAAATACTGAGAAGCTGTAGCCTCCTTCATTGATCATGCAGGAGTCTTTGCTACTCTTTTATTATGATTATTCAGGATCCTAATCATTTGTTGACACTTAGGGAGGGGAGAGAAATTCTCTTCATTTTGCATTCATAGGCATCACTACCCAATTTGCACTTTCCCATACAACACACAAACTGAAACATAGCCATCCTTCAAAATCCGTGTGACTCCACAAATTTTGCAATAAAATTATCCAGCCAGGTAACATGTGCAGGAATGCAAATAAATACAAATACAAATATCTTTATTGTCATTACGAATTAAAACATTTCAAAACACTAGGATAAATTTAAAAGGGACAGGGATGAGGCTGTCGAGGATCACACGGTACTCGATTGTTCTGCTTCACCCTGTCTATTCCCTAGAGGGATGATTCATTAAGAACCCTTTCGGGTAAGATGGAGGTTAAAAAGTAAGCCACTGGGGCAGTAACGTCCTTGTCCCTATCCGCTAGGAGGAACCTCATTTGGCTTTCTCTTGGAACTGTGGGTCACAGGAATGCATACACTAGGGCATAGTGTGCATAAACATGCATGTGTCAGTGAAAATGACATATAAAAATGCATTATACTAGGGAAACTTGTTTTGCAGAAATGTTTACGTAAAAATTGCAAAAGAAGTATATTAGGAGAAATTTGTAGCAAATTTCTGATGAATTTCCACAATGGCTTTTTGTAAAAATAAAAATGCAAACTGATGTGGAAATGTGGAGGACTGAATTTAGCTACTTCTGATTTCCTACTAGTTTGTTTCCTTAGCGCAGGGGTCTGCAACCCGCGGCTCCGGAGCCGCATGTGGCTCTTTTACACCTTTGCCTCTGGGGTGGATACTAGCGAGGGGAGGAGGCGCATTGTGCGCCCCGACACTCCCCACTGTGGCGGGCGCTGTACTGGCTGTGACGTCGCATGGGGGCGGTGCGTGCGTTGGTCACGCACCATCCCGACGTCACCTTCCCGCCCGCTGTCAGATCGCGGCTCCGGAGATATGTTTGTTTTAAATGTCGCAATGGTTTTGCGGCTCCCAGTTCGGAAACGGGTCCAAGTGGCTCTTTTTGTCTTAAAGGTTGCAGACCCCTGCCTTAGCGCATAAAGCTGAGGAAATGGAGTCTGCTGAAGTAGGGCCTCATTTTGAGCGGCTGCCTTTTCCTGAACATCCAAGGGGGAATCAGCCATTTGCCTGACAGCACAGGGAGGTGCTTCAACATCATTAGCACCTAGCCTCCCCCTCTCCCTTATTTTTAAAAATGTTGCTAGAATGTTGGGATTGCAACGAATGAGCAGCAGAACCCCTGGAGTTTTCCTTGCCAGAAGCACAAGGCAAGAAAAAGTCCGGCAAGTGGTGCAAGGGGTCTCTTTTGCTGCCTACACAACAGGGGTGGGGAGCCTCCAGAGGCCAAATTCAGTTGTCGAGGCCTCTCTGTCTGCCCTGTCCCTGCTCCACACCTTCTCTGAGTATTTTTGCCTGGGCTGGAATGTTTCCTTGAACCAGTGATGGTGCCGCTTGCTTGCTTGCTTGCTTGCTTGCTTGGATGCAGAGAGTCACCTCTGACTTTTGCATGGCTGGAATGTAAACTGCTCTACAAAAGTAAGAGTCTCATCCATTGCTCCACCCACTTTTTTGCTGTTTGCCAATGTCATGGGTTCCCCAGAGGAAAGGTTCCCCACCTGCTATAAAAGCTGCAGAAGGAAGGAGATGACTGCTTTCTTCAATAAGTTAAGAACAAGCAGCAGGGGCAGTAAGAAAGCAGCATGAGCCTCAGCTCTGATAATTGCATAAAACACAACCTAAGCTACATTCAGTGATCTGAACTGTTGCTCTTAAAGGCTCGATGCTCATTTTTTCCCCATGCAAAAGAGACCTGGGCTGATATCTTCCGCTGCTTTATTTTAGCAGAAATGAAACATGGTATTTCACGCTCCTCGGATCTTAATACTCCATTTCACGCCTCTGCTTTTGGCATGAAACATATTAGAGGATGTGTGAGTGTAACTGTGCAAATTCAGCAATGTTAAGAGCCGAGTTAGTAGCTCTGAGAGTAGTTGTGGGGATGCCTATAATAGGAAACTAGTACCTCGGGTTAAGTAATTCGTTCCGGAGGTCCGTTCTTAACCTGAAACTGTTCTTAACCTGAAGCACCACTTTAGCTAATGGGGCCTCCCACTGCCGCTGCGCCACCAGAGCCCAATTTCTGTTCTCATCCTGAAGCAAAGTTCTTAACCTGAGGTAATATTTCTGGGTTAGCAGAGTCTGTAACCTGAAGCGTATGTAACCTGAAGCGTATGTAACCCGAGGTACCACTGTATCAGACAGCATGGGCCGATTGTCGGGAACTAGTATTCAGAACACAAAAGAGGGGAAAAGTCAAACTTAACCACAAGTAGAGGGAACAGAAGACTCTTGTTGTCCTTGTCTTTTTGCCTACCCTGGTCACTGGAGGTGTGTTTGTTTTCTGTTCCTAGACCGCCCTGGCGTTCAGGACACTGCTCTGGTGGAGTCCATCCAAGATCATCTTTCAGCTATCCTGCAGACATACATTCTCTGCAGACACCCTCCTCCGGGCAACCGCTTGCTCTATCCCAAGATGATCCAGAAACTTGCAGACCTCCGGAGCCTGAACGAGGAGCATTCCAAGCAATATCGCTGCCTCTCCTTTCTTCCGGAGCACAGCATGCAGCTCACTCCGCTGGTCCTCGAAGTCTTTGGCAATGAGATCTCCTGACTCGGTGACTGGGAATGAAACCTGTTGAAGTAAAGGGAGAAGTCAGCCCAGCTTCCCGCTGGTGGCAAACTGAGAGCTTTGGCCCAAGTTGAAGTTTTGTATATTCTGTTGGCAAGAGTTTTGATTTTTTTTCCCTTTCCACACTACCAGAGGGGGGCTGCCTTGTTTGTATATCTTCAGCCTCATATTTTGCATTGCTGCTGAGCAGCAATTCGCAAGCCCAGCCCCTTCTCTCCTGCCTATCAAAACTAAAGAGCTTTCTCACTTGTTGCTTTGCCATGATGAAACCGCTTGTTGCTTTCTTCAATGTTGAGCTTTTCAAGCCAGCAACTGAAACGTCTGTGCTGTGTCTTAAATGGAAGGTGAATGGTTGAATAACAACGGGTGGAATTTAAGATTTGTGATGGATTGGACATGGGATATTCTTTCTTTTAACACGTTGAGAGCTTTTGGTTCAGAATGACTGTAACATGCAGGGAAGAGTAACTGTTATTCTCGGTGCAAAATGTCAACCCCCCTCACCTCTCATCATTTTCTGCCAAACCTCAGAGCTCGTCAGTACTATTAAAAGTATTTATTAACCTAGGAATAAACAGAAAAAACACAGGCTGTGTACACATTACCAGCTTAAAATGCAGCTAGGTTGCTCTTTTCCTTAATTTGGATCAAAGGTGATTTGGGGGGGAATGCATCAAAATGCAGGAGAGAGGGAAGAGAGATATGGATTAAAATAATGTCGCATGTACACCTCTTCCGAAACCAGTGGTGGGAGTGCATTGGTGCAGAGTAAAACACAGCCAGGTTTACAGGAATAAATAACCTGTGTCATCTTTCTGACTTTTTTTTAGTGTGTATAAACGTGCCTGGCACATTGTTGTCACTAAATAAATTTGTAACGGGAGGAAAATTATATTTGACCTGTGACCTGGTGTAGACACTCTGGGAGTTGACTTCCTAATAGCCAAGCCCCTGCCTGGTGCGCAGCCTTGTTTCCCAAGAAATAAGCCTGCTAACAACTCATGTCCTGTTTGCAGCGTTAGTTCTTACACTGTTTCAAGCACGGCCAGCTGCCAAGAGGAGTACAGAACTGGCTTCTCACCAAGCCAGCAGGCTTGAGTTTGTTCAGGATCACTTTGGGTTACTTTGGAGTGGCAAGGGGGAAACACCCTTTATCAGGATAAGCCACATGCAAAGTACCACCTAAAATATTCCAGCCATCATATTGAGAAGTACTCTGCAGAGGTGATTTTCAGATGTCTCCATGCTGGAGCCATAATCAGCCCTTAGTAACACTCAGGGAGGCTGAAAGTGACATTTTGTGAGTTTGACAACTTCTGGACTACTGTATATGACCTCTGGAAAAACAAAGCACATGGGAGCTGTGTGCTGAAAAGGGAAGTAATTCATCGCCAATATTAAAATAATTTCTTTGCAGAGAACATGCTTGGGATATTTAGTTGTAGCTTCATTGGTTCCACAGAATCCAAAAGTAAGATTGGAGGATACATAGCTGTCAATTGCACAAAACAGAAATGTAAAATTAACTGTCAACAACAGAGAGAGAGCAAAGATGAATATAGACGTTCTCTCCTAGTCGCTCAATAGTGGCCTATTCATCAAATACGTACAAGTGTACTACTCTCTTCAAACACATAGTGTACATTCACCAATATGTTATTGTATTTGTGTGGGGTTTTTTTTATTACTGCAATAGCTGCAATTTGCACACTGTATACACAGCTACAGATTGTCACTTAAAATGTCTGGTGAGATGACGAGAAATCAGTTCCGTGAATCAAGGAAGGTCACCTTGAACCCCTTAGTTTAACAAATCCTTTGGGGTTGTGCTGGTAGGGTTTTGAATATGGGAATAAATCAGGGCAGGGAAGGGAGCTTCCATGGATTGAAATCTCCCTCTTGCTCACTAGGTGTCAGTAGGGTAATAGGGTAGGGTAGAAAGTAATTATTGTGCAAAGTGCCTTGAGTCTGCTCCAGAGCAATGAATCGGTTCCTCCCAAAGTTATGGCTAGAATCTCTTACTCTAAAATTAGTCTTAATTACTAGGATTTGGTCGGATTCATCAAAGTCTTTAACTTCCTTCTATGCTCGTTGGAGAGTTGGCACAAGGGCAGCCCACCCACATGGAGTAAGTCTGTGGTGCCCCCCCCCCAACCTCCCAGCAGTACAACTATTTCCCTTTTCACAGACCTTTGCAGCCTGGCAGTGGGGACAAAAAGAAAGTACATGTATCTTAAGATAGATAGACTTGTAATGCAAGCCTTCCAAACTCATTTTCAAAGCCCACTTGAGTTGCAGGGGCAAATATCAGCCACTTTATCCAGCTACTTCAGAAAGGCTTGTCAAATGTTTTTAATAAAACAGATATTTTAGGGTTTTTTGGATACTGTAGTGGCATTTGCAACCTGACTTTGCATGTAACCATACAGCCATTTACATGGTTAGCAGTGTTTCAGCCTCATGCTGTTGCCACGAGTGCCATACGGTTTGAAAGGGAGATGTGCATCTGCGCACGCACGGGCATGCGCCAGGGAGTTGTGGCAATTCCCTGGCATGCGCTGCTGTGCTGAAAGATGCCCAGCTGCTTATCCAGGAGAACATTATTGAGTGGATGCACTTTGCAAAGCCTGCCCGCCTCCCAAAATGTGAGAAGCAGTTGTGCTAAGTTAGAGGGCACGCTGCCGATTCTGAGAGAGGTTTCTGTGTGTAGCTTTGCTTGTTAGGCTTACTTGCAAGGGAGAAATTAGCAGTTCCTTGCCATTCTTTCTTTGCTTAAGCGGTGGAGGGAGAGTGGGACTTGCCTGAAACAAAAAGGCATATAACATTTGTAGGAATCACAGTCTTAGGTGCAAGATTTCCATCCTGTCTCAGGAAATAACCCTCAAGCCTAAAGGGATGGAGGTATCAATATGCTTGTTCTGTCAATGTGGAGAAGAGTGGAACCTAACCTGCTCCCCAAAACCGTGTGTTATTTTAAACTGCTTGTAGATGAGCTAGCCCTGGGTTATTTTTTCATTTTTTAAAGCCAAGCCAGCTCTTAGTTCTATTGTGAATCTTTCACACAGATCTATTGCTGTTTTTCCTCTGATTCTTTTTTTTAAAAAAGAAGGTTTTTTGGGGGGTTGTCTTTTGGTTGTCTGCCCTAAGCCATGAGGATAGAAGACTGTTTGCAGTCATTGGAAAACAAACCAGGCTGCTGTATTTTCCCAGTAGCTTGGGAGAGTGGTTTAAATACCCAGCTCCTGTGTTAAATCCATTAATGATGCCTATGCTGAACAATTTGCACCAGGTTTTGTGGTATAATTGAATGTGTAAATAGCTATTTAATATGGGTTGAAAATGGTCTATTGTAAAATGTAAATTGGATTTTAGACATTTTAAGGACAATGATAGTTGAACCATAGCTGCTCTTTTTTCAGAGATGCTGGGGTTTATTTTTGCCAAGTCTGCATGTGAAAGCCAAACCTGTACAATAAGAGAGGAGTAGCTTCTTTCCAAATGTGAAACACAAATCATCTCTTGTTGCCTTGTGTAATTTAAATCATGCAATGCACTTTATAAAAAAATCAGTAGAATTATTTAAAGAGACAAATCTATATTTTAATTATAGTGGTGGTAAATATGATGAAGACCTAGAGGCGAATGCTATCTTTTTATTCCTCTGTACATCTTTGGGCTTTTTTTCTAATGGATAAATGGATCTAATATTTAAAAAACCAAAACCTATTCCAGAGCTTTATTGACAGGACAAAGAATGATTGAATACTGTTTTCGTAGTTGTAAGTGTAGAATGCTGTTACCTTAGTAATAAAAACGTACTGCTTTGTGAGAAAAAAATCATTTGACTCGAGTGATTTACTTACAGGGCAATCCTATTATACATGTCTGCTCAGTATTAAATCCCATTGAGTTTAGAGGGGCTTACTCTCCCAGGCAAGTAGAATAGGATTGCCACTTCATTCTCTCTGGGACAAAGTTGAGCTGCTCACAACCAGGTTTTTAAAAGCAGATTTTCTGGCTGCACCAAGTCCCCATTATATACCCCACACTTCAAAGAAGAAGAAAATCCAAATGTACACAGAGCTTTGCTCCACTCTTGCACCGGTCGTGGTGGTGTCTCCATAGGAGTCTGTAGTTCTTATCTACTATATAGTGACAATTCATTTAGGAACATGCGTTAGTTCAGTAACTAACAGACACAGCAAAGGAGCACTTCAAGGATATTTTCAAAGATGCAACATGCCTGAAGATGAAACAAAGAAGAGTTTCTGTCTCCAAAGAAGGTGTTTCAACATGGTTTGCGCAGTTTCTTTTAAACACTGAAACAGTGTGTATTCTAATTGGATGGGGGGGTGGCGGCGGCTGTGGGCTGAGATTCCTGCATTGCAGGGAGTTGGACTAGACTAAGGTTACCAGATTCTTTTCAATGAATCCGGGGACACTTTTCAATTTCCTACTAAATAGATAGATTTTATCAGGGGACTGATTTGTAAATCCGGGGACTGTCCTCGTGAAACGGGGTCGTCTGGTAACCTTAGACTAGATGACCCTGGGGAAGCTTTTCAACTGCACAATTACACACACACACTTTAGCACAAGGTTATTCAAAATCACTGCTCTCTGCCATCCTCATTTGTACCAAACATTAGAAAATAGGGAGAAGCGTTGCCAGAATAATAATAATAATGATGATGATGATAATAATAATAATAATAATAATAATATATTATTTGTACCCCGCCCATCTGGCTGGGTTTCCCCAGCCACTCTGGGCGGCTTCCACAAAGACAAAAAATACACTAAGATGTCACACATTAAAAACTTCCCTGAACAGGGCTGCCTTAAGATGTCTTCTGAATGTCAGGTAGTTGTTTATCTCTTTGACATCTGATGGGAGAGCGTTCCACAGGTCGGGAGCCACTACCGAGAAGGCCCTCTGCCTGGTTCCCTGTAGCTTTGCTTCTCGCAGTGAGGGAACTGCCAGAAGGCCCTCGGCACTGGATCTCAGTGTCCAGGCAGAACGATGGGGGTGGAGACGCTCCTTCAGGTATACTGGGCCGAGGCCGTTTAGGGCTTTAAAGGTCAACACCAACACTTTGAATTGTGCTTGGAAATGTACTGGGAAGCAATGTAGGTCTTTCAAGACTGGTGTTATGTGGTCTCGGCGGCCGCTCCCAGTCACCAGTCTAGCTGCTGCATTCTGGATTAGTTGTAGTTTCTGGGTCACCTTCAAAGGTAGCCCCACGTAGAGCGCATTGCAGTAGTCCAAGCGGGAGATAACTAGAGCATGCACCACTCTGGCGAGACAGTCTGCGGGCAGGTAGGTTCTCAGCCTGCGTACCAGATGGAGCTGGTAGACAGCTGCCAGAAGTCCCTGTTACACTCTGCATGAGCAGGAAACGCTTTGTGTGGTCTGCAGACTCTTTCGCTCATCTAGAGGGGTGAAAACTGCCTTTTTTGGAATGAGGTTTCTCAGACTGGGAAAGAAAATGCGAAAGAAAAAGAATAAAATGCTTGTCCCCTAAATATACGTACACATGGCTTCTATTTGTGTTCATGAAGGCGGGTGGGTAGGACAATTATGGCTTTAAAACAACTCAACAACCTTCACCCTTCCTTAAGGAGGATCACAACAACCTATGAGGCACGATAGACTCATAGCTGTCAACTTTCAGATTTGAAAATAAGGGCTTAGCAGCCTCAAAAATAAGGGATCAGCAGCCTCACCTGTCCCGGGGACAGTCTACGGGATATCTAACAATCCGGGATAGCAGCGGGAAACGGCGCTGGAATAAGGGAAGGTTGACAGCTATGGATAGACTGAGAGGGAAGGAGTGACTGGCCCAAAGTGAGCATGCGCCGCTAAGGGAGCATTTGAGCTCAGGTCCTGTGCAAGACGACACGCAACCCACCACAGGGGCGCGCGGGCGCATGTAGTTTGGGCTTTAAACATTTGAGAAACGCGCCCCGAGACCATGCCTGGGCGCTCCTCACGTTACTTTTATGAGACACGACGAAGAAGTGTTGCGAGGCTGATGGCTCCAACTCCCCGCCCGCTTTTTTGTTGTTTAGTCCTTTAGTCGTGTCCGACTCTTCATGACCCCATGGACCAGAGCACACCAGGCACTCCTGTCTTCCACTGCCTCCCGCAGTATGGTCAAACTCATGCTGGTAGCTTCAAGAACACTATCCAACCATCTCGTCCTTTGTCGTCCCCTTCTCCTTGTGCCCTCCATCTTTCCCAACATCAGGGTCTTTTCCAGTGAGTCTTCTCTTCACATTTGGTGGCCAAAGTATTGGAACCTCAGCTTCAGGATCTGTCCTTCCAGTGAGCACTCAGGGCTGATTTCCTTCAGAATGGATAGGTTTGTTCTTCTTGCAGTCCATGGGACTCTCAAGAGTCTCCTCCAGCACCATAATTCAAAAGTATCAATTCTTAGGCAATCAGCCTTCTTTATGGTCCAGCTTTCACTTCCATACATCACTACTGGGAAAACCATAGCTTTAACTATACGGACCTTTGTTGGCAAGGTGGTGTCTCTGCTTTTTAAGATGCTGTCTAGGTTTGTCATTGCTTTTCTCCCAAGAAGCAGGCGTCTTTTAATTTCATGACTGCTTACACCATCTGCCGTGATCATGGAGCCCAAGAAAGTAAAATCTCTCACTGCCTCCATTTCTTCCCCTTCTATTTGCCCGCTTTTTCACTCCTCTATAACCCCCCCCCCTTCATCCCCGGCAGTATTTCCCAAACTTATAGTCGTTATTTCTGGACTACAATTCCCATCATCCCTGACCGCCGGTCTTGCTAGCTAGGGATGATGGGAGTTGTAGTCCAAAAAAACAGCTGGAGACCCAAGTTTGGGAAACACGATGCAAGGACTTCGCAGTGCGCTTGGAGTCTCAGGAATACGGTAGAGGTGGGCGGGGCGAGCACGCGGGAGGCAGGAAGCAAATCGCCTTCCCGGGCTGGCGTTCCATCGCTATGCGCATGCGCCGCGTGTTCGCTGGGCTTCCCCGCCTGACTCGCAGCCTCATGCCCGGCCCGAAGCGCCCCCGACCGGCCCGCATCGGCACCCACGGCGGCACCTTCCACTGCGACGAGGCGCTGGCGTGTTTCCTCCTGCGGCTGCTGCCCTCTTACCAGGTACGCCGCTGGGGGCTTCTTAGGCACGGGCCGCTTACTCCGAAGTAACGCCCCTCCCCTCCCCGCACGTGTGTTGCGACCTCCTTAATCCGGTTCCGATTCGGAAGCCTTTTCGGCTAGCCTCCTTTTCCTCCCACACCCCAGATTCAATTCACACGTGACGTTCCACCCCCGTGTTGGGCTCTTGCAGGGCCTGATCTTGGGTCCACCAGCAACTGCGTGGATGCGGCAGTGCACTTGCGCAAATATTTGAATTGCTAAGCTAATTGCACCATCCGTTCAATTAGAATGAGTGTGCATTTATTTATAAATTGGGGGTCTGGGGGGGTGTCTCGTCCTGGTTGGGACAGCAGCGTGGAGATACGATCTTTAGCTGTTCCGGTATAAATGCACGTGGGTGTATATCTCTGCTTGCGCATGTGTAAAACCTGGAGGTAAATAGCAGAGAATGTAGCTTGTTTGGTTTGCGGTATTTTATATAGTGGTACCTCAGGTTACATACACTTCAGGTTACATACGCTTCAGGTTACAGACACTGCTAACCCAGAAATATTGCTTCAGGTTAAGAACTTTGCTTCAGGATGAGAACAGAAATCGGGCTCCGGCGGCGTGGCGGGAGCAGGAGGCCCCATTACCTAAAGTGGTGCTTCAGGTTAAGAACAGTTTCAGGTTAAGAACGGACCTCCGGAACGAATTAAGTACTTAACCCGAGGTACCGTACCACTGTATCCTTCCCTTTGGTCAAGACAGCAAAAGCAAGCACAAGTTATTAAATTGTAGTTCTTGTCAGTGGCTGTTCTGGGTGTAAAGATCCAGGAGCAGAATAGATGGCAGTGCCCAGGCCAGGAGGGCAAGGCAGTTTTTCCCTTTACATCCTATTTATACCTGACAACTGAAGATCACACTCTGTGCAGCTGTTGAAGTTCACCAAAGCTACACCACAATAAAATTTGTTTGTCTTTAAGGTGCCACAAGACCCTGTACAGTGGTACCTCGGTTTAAGAACAGTCCTGTTTACGAACGATTCAGTTTACAAACTCTGCAAAACCGGAAGTAGTGTCCCGGTTTGCAAACTGTACCTTGGTCTAAGAACGGAAGCTGAACGGTGGAAGGGCACTGGCGGCGGGAGGCCTCATTAGGGAAAGCACGCCTCAGTTTAAGAAAGCTTTCTGTTTAAGAACGGACTTCCGGAATGGATTAAGTTCGTAAACCGAGGTACCACTGTAGTTTTTGTTGCAATTAATTTGTTGCAAACCACACCAAGTCCTAATAGCATAAAGGCAGGAAGCAGGAGCATTGTGTGACTGGAATGGTGCTGGTTTACTCCATACAGAAAGGCAATTTGAGGATTTCCATCTTATTAGGACTTGGTGTATTTTGCACTTAATTAGAATTCTGCACCAGCGAACCTATATAGATTATGCAAATTTTCAAGTAGTTTTGCAGTTTCCATAATTTATACAGCTTCTCCTATCAAGCTTTGGAGGGGGCGGGGGACAGAAGTTGGGGTGAGCCTTCTCCTTGCTTTCTGAGATGTCACCAGGTGTTGCCGAGATACTTTAAATACTGTCTTCAGTGTCGCGAGAGCTAGAAACTGTTCACTGTTTGTTTTTTAAAGCCATCATCATGCAGAAACAAAGGGACGTGGGTGGTGCTGTGGGTTAAACCACAGAGCCTAGGACTTGCTGATCAGAAGGTCGGTGGTTTGAATCCCCGCGACGGGGTGAGCTCCCGTTGCTCGGTCCCTGCTCCTGCCAACCTAGCAGTTCGAAAGCACGTCAAAGGGTAAATAAATAGGTACCGCTCCAGCGGGAAGGTAAACAGTGTTTCCGTATGCTGCTCTGGTTCACCGGAAGCGGCTTAGTCATGCTGGCCACATGACCCAGAAGCTGTACGCTGGCTCCCTCGGCCCATAAAGCAAGATGAGCGCCGCAACCCCAGAGTTGGTCACGACTGGACCTAATGGTCAGGGGTCCCTTTACCTTTACATGCAGAAACACACACCTCATGAAGATCAACTCAAGGGCTTGCATATAGGAGCAAATGGTCCCAGTCACAGCTGTTCATCCTGCCCACCTGGTGTATCTTTTTCACCTGAAGGCACCAAGGAATGGTGAAGGGATAGAGATCAGAAACTGCAAAGTGGACAGCCTGGAATAGCACTGGGGCACGTTTTGTTTCACGGCTTTTGTTTGTTGTCGCCCTGCTGTGCCCTCAGGATGCAGAGATCATCCGGACACGGGATGCTCAGCTGCTGTCAGAGTGCGATGTGGTTGTGGACGTTGGAGGCGAGTATGACCCTCAAAAGCATCGCTACGACCATCACCAGAGGTACTGTTGAATTCCTGCAGCCTTTTCTCCCAGTGCTGGCAGCCAGTGGAATAGCAAGGTTACCACAAATGATGTTTTTATTAAATCTTCCAAATTATTACATAACTCCAAATATATACAGTGGTACCTCTGGTTGTGAACGGGATCCGTTCCAGAACCTCGTTCGCAACCTGAGCAGAATGCAACCCGCATGTGCGGTTCGCGATTCGCCACTTCTGCGCATGCGCGTGACATCATTTTGAGCATCTGCGCATGCACGAGCGACGAAACCTGGAAGTAACCCGTTCTGTTACTTCCGGGTCGCCGCAGGACGCAACCTGAAAAGATTTAACCTGAAGCAAACGTAACGAGGTATGACTGTATCTCATTTTTTTGTCACACATTTTCTTCTTGACTTCCTGTTCCTCCTTCCCTGGTGGTGGTGTTGTTATTAATTATTATTATTATTATTATTATTATTATTCCCCCTTAAGAGCTGCATTAAAACACATCTATACAGTCAAACCTTGGTTGTCGAATGTAATCTGTTCTGGAAGACTGTTCGACTTCTGAAATGTTTGACAACCGAAAACTGAAAGTGGAAGCCTCAATACAATACAATAGGGAAACTCAAAACGGAAGCCGTGTAGCACGTTCGGCTTCTGAAAATCGTTCGAAAACCGAAGCAGTTACTTCCAGGTTTTCAGCGTTCAGGAGCCAAAACGGAGGTGTTCAGGAACCGAGGTTGACTGTATTTATTTTCTAAGCCCCCCAAATCCATTCTTCACATTCTTCCATTGCTCATATCTCAAATCCTGCACGTGATTTCATAGAAGAATGATAGTTTGATGGGTAATCCACCAATGGCTTCCATTCTTTTATGAAGATATCATTTTGTCCTCTTATTTTAGCAGTCAGTTTCACCATTTCCACATAGCCCATCGGTTTTATAAACGATTCTTCCATTGTGGGGAGTCTCTTTGTCTTTCCATTTCTATGTGTACAGTATAAAGTTCTAGCTGCAGTTGTTACCGTATTTTTCGCTCCATAGGACGCACTTTTTCCCCTCCAAAAATGAAGGGGAAATGTGTGTGCGTCCTGTGGGGCGAATGCAGGCTTTCACTGAAGCCTGGAGAGCGAGAGGGGTCGGTGCGCACGGACCCCTCTCGCTCTCCAGGCTTCAGGAAGCTAGCCGCAAGCCTTGTGCGCCCGGCAGGAGGTCCCGCCGAGCGCGCAAGGCTTGGGGCGGTAGCCTGCAGCCCGAAGCACGCGGAGCCCTCCGGAGGGTGCCCCGTGCTTCTTGCAGGTGTGCACAAGGCTTGGGGCGGCAGCCACGGCGGGGGGGGGGGGAATAATTTTTTTTATTCATTTCCCCCCCCCAAAAAAACGAGGTGCGTCCTATGGGCCGGTGCGCCCTATAGAACGAAAAATACGGTACATACATAAAAAGGTTAGTCAGGGGTGTTGTTGTTGTTTTTTGAATCTCCGCCCCTATTATCCCCAACCAAAAGGCTTTAGGTTTTTGGGGAATGGTCAATTTCAACATCTTTTTCAATTCATTGTATATCATTTCCTAGAAACCCTTAGCCTTTGGACCTTTCAAATCTAGTCCTATCCTATCTAGTGTTGCCCAGCACCCTCTCATCTGCTGTGCAGTCCATGCAGAACCGAAAGGATGAAAGACAACAAGCCCAGGAGCAAAGAGACAGGAAGACATCAGGATAGACATCATGTCCTACATCAGGACAGAGAGCCTGTGGCCCTCCAGATATTGGGCTCCATCAGCTCCAGCCAGCACCACCAGTGGTCAGGGATGATGGGAGTTGTAGTCCAACAACATCTGGAGGGCCACAACCTCCCCATATTTGCTGTAAGAGGTTCAGCCCTAACTAAGGAGAGTTCTGTAGTGGAGAAAACCTTGGTAACTTGAAAAAGTTGTGCAAACTGACATGCCTATTTAGGTGCCCCTAATTCCCTTTCACATTCCACGTTTCCTTAAACAGCTTGTTCCAGATATATAATGCACTTCCCTCCTTACAATATTCCAGTTGCACTGCTGTTTCCAAGAGTTGCCCATTAATAGGTGAAAGTAAAGGGATCCCTGACTATTAGGTCCAGTCGTGGCCGACTCTGGGGTTGTGGTGCTCATCTCGCTTTATTGGCCGAGGGAGCCGGCGTATGTGGCCAGCATGACAAAGCCGCTTCTGGCGAACCAGAGCAGCCCACGGAAACGCTGTTTACCTTCCCACTGGAGAGGTACCTATTGATCTACTTGCACTTTGACGTGCTTTTGAACTGCTAGGTTGGCAGGAGCAGGGACCGAGCAATGGGAGCTCCCCCCATCGCGGGGATTCGAACCACCAACCTTCTGATCGGCAAGTCCTAGGCCCTGTGCTTTAACCCACAGCGCCACCTGCGTCCCATTAATAACACACACTAATTGCAGTAGTTTGTATATGAAAGGGAGGGTCTCCTAGTTTTGGGTCTGGGGCCCTGGGAAATTTCCATCTCCTTGTGGTTGGTATTATTTGCTGGGAAAGGGAAGTGTTCCAGGCTTTCCTCCCTCCTTCGGGTTATTCTTTATAGACTCCCCTTATCCCACCTTGTTCCCATAGGTCATTTGGGGAGTCCATGCACAGCCTGAAGCCTGATAAACCTTGGCAGACCAAACTGAGCAGCGCAGGGCTAGTTTACGCCCATTTTGGCTCTGAGATTTTGTCAAACCAGCTGGGCCTCAAAGAGGAGGATCCTGTCGTGCGTGTGCTCTATGACAAGGTACTTGCGTGTGTGCATATCTGTGAGATCCCTTCCCAACAGCAAAAGCCTCTGGAACAATGGGGGAAATGAATGAACTCAACCCCTTGCCTCTTTCTTGCAGGGATGGGGAACCTGTGGCCCACTGGGTATTAGGGAAGTTTTTAATGTTTAATGCTGTATTGTGTTTTTAATGTTCGATTGGGAGCCGCCCAGAGTGTCTGGGGAAACCCAGCCAGATAGGTGGGGTATAAATAATAAAGTATTACTATTAATTATCAACAACCTCAGATATGCAGATGACACAACCTTGATAGCAGAAAGTGAGCAGGAATTAAAGAACCTTTTAATGAGGGTGAAAGAGGAGAGCGCAAAATATGGTTTGAAGCTCAACATCAAAAAAACGAAGATCATGGCCACTGGTCCCATCACCTCCTGGCAAATAGAAGGGGAAGAAATGGAGGCAGTGAGAGATTTTACTTTCTTGGGCTCCATGAGCACTGCAGATGGCGACAGCAGTCACGAAATTAAAAGACGCCTGCTTCTCGGGAGAAAAGCAATGACAAACCTAGACAGCATCTTAAAAAGCAGAGACATCACCTTGCCAACAAAGGTCTGTATAGTTAAAGCTATGGTTTTCCCAGTAGTGGTGTATGGAAGTGAGAGCTGGACCATAAAGAAGGATGATCGCTGAAGAATTGATGCTTTTGAATTATGGTGCTGGAGGAGACACTTGAGAGTCCCATGGAAGGCAAGAAGATCAAACCTATCTATTCTTAAGGAAATCAGCCCTGAGTGCTCACTGGAAGGACAGATCCTGAAGCTGAGGCTCCAATCCTTTGGCCACCTCATGAGAAGAGAAGACTCCCTGGAAAAGACCCTGATGTTGGGAAAGATGGAGGGCACAAGGAGAAGGGGACAACACAGGGTGAGATGGTTGGATAGTGTTCTGGAAGCTACCAGCATGGGTTTGACCAAACTGCGGGAGGCAGTGGAAGACAGGAGTGCCTGGCGTGCTCTGGTCCATGGGGTCACAGAGAGTCGGACACGACTAAATGACTAAACAACAACAAATTAATTATTATTGTTGTTGTTGGGTGTCGAGGGCCACAGCATCTCCACCCTTGCTTGAGAGTCCTGCAAAAGATCCTTGGTGTATTCCAAAGTATTCTGGGCCAAGGTGTAAGAAGCACAATGCATCCCACATTTCTGAATTAAGACAGGAGGTACATTTCGCTCTTGAGGCCAAAATATTTATTTTTAAACAATGAAAGAGCCAGAACCATCTGCCTCGGGTCCCCTTTGTTCCTGCGTGAGTCACTGTTTTGAACATGCAATCTAACTGGAGGCTGTGTGCTCTAGAGCGCCGTCAAATGGAGCCAATACAAAACGCCAAATGAGGTCATCACAGCAGGACGCTGTTATTCAATGGGTGTAGAGCTAGACTTGGGTATTGCTATCTGATTGTGGCCACAATGATTGGGGTGGTGAGATCTGGAGTCCCAACAACATCAGGAGGACCACAGGTTAGCCACCTTGGCTGTGGTGGTACTGATCCAGCACTGCTGCAGTATGCATATATCTGTGGGGCTTTCCCTTGATGCCCTCTCTGCTGCATGTGACCTTGGGAAGTATCTGCCATGCCCCTAAAGTATGCCGGCACGGGGTCTGAATCTTACCTGGGTTCCAACCTCTCTGTGATCCACAAAACCTACTTTTCCAGGGCAGGTCAGTAAACTGAACTTTCTTGTTCTCTCCCTCCCTCTAGTTGTACGAGAACTTTGTGGAAGAGATTGACGCCATAGACAATGGCATCTCCCAGTGGGATGGGGAACCTCGCTATGCCATGACCACCAATGTGAGCTCTAGGGTTGCCTATCTGAACCCGCGCTGGAATGACAAGGATCAAGACACCGAGGTAGGGATCTGGATTGTATTTGTATTTTCCAGCTCTCTGTGTCCCAGTTAGGAAAACGAAGGAGTGGAGTAAATAGACCTCCAAGTAGATTTAGGCATAAAATACCATATTTTTCGCTCCATAAGGCGCACCTGACAAAAAGACACACCTAGTTTTTAGAGGAGGAAAACAAGAAAAAAAATATTCTGAACAAAACAGTGGATGTATGATTTTTGTGGTTCATGCTGTGGCCACAGACATGTGATCTGACGGTGAGTTTGGGGTAGCCCAATGCAAAAATCCTGAGAATCCGTGTGGATCCATGCTTTGTAACCACGTTTTAAGTGGGGAGGGAAGGAAAAACACTGAAGGGACAAGGAGCACGAGTTGGGGGGGGGGAGAAGGAGGCAGCTAACAACGCAGGAGAGAGGTTTATGGGGAGGGAAGGAAAAACACTGACAGGACAAGGAGCATGTGGAGGAGCTTTTCAGCTTGCTGAGCCGGGGAGGGAGAGAGGGAAAGAGAGCACGGTTGCTTTAAAGGAGCCAACCGGACAGGAGCCGCTGTAAGTGGCTCCTCTCCTCTCCTGCTTTGCACCTTCAAAGCAAGCGGGCTCTCCTTCTCTCCCTCCTCCCCGGCTCAGCGAGCTGAAAAGCTTTGCTGCTATTCAGCCAGCTGAGCGGGGAGCGAAGGAGGGAAAGAGAGCATGCTCGCTTTAAACCAACCGGACAGGAGCCGCTTACACTCGTGTACACCCGCTTGGCTGCTTCAAAGCGAGCGACGGAGGAGGGAAGGAAGGGGAACCATCGATCCTCTGCTTGCGACTGCAGCAGATCCCCCTGCCATCCATAGGCATTCGCTCCATAAGACGCGCAGACATTTCCCCTTACTTTTTAGGAGGAAAAAAGTGCGTCCTATGGAGCGAAAAATACGGTAATAAGACACATTTGTTAACTTGTGCCTTTCATTAAACGAGGAGCTGGTTCTGAATGATGGCGCTGCATCCTTAAGAACCAGAGTGCGACCTCGGCGGTTAATTCTGGAGATCTATGGAAGAACAGTTTAGATTGGCACCGGTGCCTCTTCTAATCTGCATGAAGCAGTTGTGAGCAGAGGGCCTCAAGGTGTTGTGCGAGTGCGTACCCCAGATTGGTCAAGCTTTGCAACGTCTCAAAGCGACCGGCAATTTGTACTGGGACGTCCGTTCCAACTTCCCAAAGGCTTTTTCCACCCCTTGCTGCCAACTCGGGTTCAAGTACTCAGGGGCCTGGCACCGCAGCTCAGCGCCCTAATCTCTTTCCTTCGAAGGCCAGGCTCCTTGTGGCGCCTGTGGCCTGGTGTCTGCCTTTGCCTGACCATCACTGGCTAGGACGTGTCTCTCCTGCCCGCTGGAGCAAATCTCAGCTGATAAAGAGCAAAGAGGCAGCAGCAAGATTAAAAACCCGAGTTGTTGGCTTATCTCGAACGGTGTTGAGAGAGGTTGTCCAGGGCCGCCACTTTGCACTCTCCAAACAGGCCAGTAGCTCAGGCATGTGTGGGGCGGGCTACATGACCCGAGGGAGCGATTCCACATGGCTTCGGAGTAGATAATTTGCCAACCCTGTGTTTTGTTTCCCAGCCTGGTTTCCAGAAGGCCATGGAGCTGGTAGGCAACGAATTCTTGGACCGCCTCGATTACTATTACCGTGCCTGGATTCCTGCGCGCACCCTTGTGGAGAAGGCCATCCAGCAGCGCTTTGAGGTATCACTGCCAAGAGGAGGGCTAAAGTACAGTGGTACCTTGGGTTACAGATGCTTCAGGTTACAGACTCCACTAAGCCAGAAATAATTACCTCGGGTTAAGACCTTTGCTTCAGGATGAGAACAGAAATCGTGCTCCAACGGCGCGGCAGCAGCAGGAGGCCCCATTAGCTAAAGTGGAGCTTCAGGTTAAGAACAGTTTCAGGTTAAGAACAGACCTCCGGAACGAATTAAGTACTTAACCTGAGGTACCACTGTACTCTGAACACATCTTTGAATGTGCTTCTTTTCCCGTGAGATGAAATCCCTCATGAGGTGGCTCCCCAAGGAGGAGAAGGGTGTACACTGCAATTTCAATTTCATGATGTGTGCACATCTTGCTGTGTGTTTGCATGAAGGGGAAGGGCCATAGTTAAGTGACTGAGCATCTGTTTTGTGTGCAGAAGGTCTCAGGGTTTAATTCCTAGCAGCTGCTGGTGGGATCCAAGAAAGTCCCCCCGTCTGGAAATCCTGGAGGGCTGCTGCCAGTCAGCGTCGACAATACTGGCCTAGATGGATCAGCGGCCTGTGTTCCTAGCAGGTGGGAGGACATGGGTGGAAATGACTGGTAAATAATAATAACAACAACAACAACAACAACAACAACTATACCCCGCCCACCTGGCTGGGTTTCCCCAGCCACTCTGGGTGGCTTCCAACAGAACACTAAAATACAGTAACCTATTAAACATTAAAAGCTTCCCTAAACAGGGCTGCCTTCAGATGTCTTCTAAAAGTTTGGTAGTTATTTTTCTCTTTGACATCTGGTGGGAGGGCATTCCACAGGGCGGGTGCCACTACCGAGAAGGCCCTCTGTCTGGTTCCCTGTAACTTGGCTTCTCGCATCGAGGGAACCGCCAGAAGGCCCTCGGCGCTGGACCTCAGTGTCTGGGTAGAAAGGTGGGGGTGGAGACGCTCCTTCAGGTATACAGGACCGAGGCCGTTTAGGGCTTTAAAGGTCAGCACCAACACTTTGAATTGTGCTTGGAAATGTACTGGGAGCTAATGTAGGTCTTTCAAGACTGGTGTTATGTGGTCTCGGTGGCCGCCTCCAGTCCCCAGTCTAGCTGCCGCATTCTGGATTAGTTGTAGTTTCCGGGTCACCTTCAAAGGTAGCCCCAGACAGAGCGCATTGCAGTAGTCCAAGCGGGAGATAACTAGAGAATGCACCACTCTGGTGAAACAGTCTGCGGGCAGGTAGGGTCTCAGCCTGTGTACCAGATGGAGCTGGTAAACAGTTGCCCTGGACACAGAATTGACCTGTGCCTCCATGGACAGCTGTGCCTCTTGCTTTCCACCCTGGCAGAAGCTCACTTTGCATCCCCTCCAGTTGTGGAGCCGTAAGCAGAGAGAGCACGTAATATTGAAGACTAGAATCTTTAAAAGAAATAAAGAATGAGGAGAGGTTAAGACCTCCAGCGGCCTGATGGTGCCCCTAGGTTTTGCACAAGAGTCTGGAACAATCTTACCTGGCGGACATCTCTCACCTTCTTGCACATAGTCCTCCTATGTCTCTCGTTCAGGTGGCACAGTTGGTGACTATGAATGACATGCATCTCCTTCCTTGGCAGGTTGACCCTAGCGGTGAGATTCTGGTGTTGGCCCAGGGCGGCTGCCCATGGAAGGAGCACCTTTTCAACCTAGAGCAAGAGCTGGGCATCAAGAAGCCTCTCAAATTTGTCCTGTACACGGATCTGGGAGGCCAGTGGCGGGTCCAGTCTGTTCCTGCTGGGCTGCACACCTTCCAGAACAGGTGAGCAAGGGCTCCGAAATGCCCCCCCCCCCACTTGTGTCCTGTATTGTGGGATGGGGAGAGCATTTTGAAATCCCATAGCTCTTGGGGGCCCCCAAATTCAGGACACCATCTCTCACCCTTGCACCCTAGACTTACATTTTTATTTAAACCTGATTAATAATTCTAGGGACACGGGTGGCGCTGTGGGTTAAACCACAGAGCCTAGGCCTTGCCGATCAGAAGGTCGGCGGTTCGAATCCCCGTGACGGGGTGAGCTCCCGTTGCTCGGTCCCTGCTCCTGCCAACCTAGCAGTTCGAAAGCACGTCAAAGTGCAAGTCGATAAATAGGTACCGCTCCGGCGGGAAGGTAAACGGTGTTTCCGTGTGCTGCTCTGGTTCGCCAGAAGCGGCTTAGTCATGCTGGCCACATGACCCGGAAGCTGTACACCGGCTCCCTCGGCCAATAAAGCGAGAAGAGCGCCGCAACCCCAGAGTCAGTCATGACTGGACTTAATGGTCAGGGGTCTCTTTACCTTTACCTTTAATAATTCTATCCCTTAAAAGGGTGATCAATGAGGCAGCCTCCAGATGTTTTGAACTACAGTTCCCATAATCCTCAGCCAGCATGGCCAATGCTCAAGGATGATGGAAATGTAGTTCACGCTGGCTACCCCTGCTATCAATCTGTTGCAGCCAGATCAGGAGAGAATTCTGTGGCACCTTAGAGACTTATCAAATTCATTGTGGCATGAATTTATGGGGGAGAGTCTACTCCCTCGGGCTAATGAATACGACATAAGGCTGGAACCAACTTCTTCAAGTAGTGAAGTGATCACCTAAATGGGCGTCTGAGGAAGTGAGCTACAGCCCTTGTAAGCGGGCACTGCAATGAGTTGTCATCTTTTCAAAAACTGGTGTTTTTGCTGTAGCAAACGTAATGCAGCTACGCGCCTGATAGGCTTCCTGTCTGTTTTCAGTCTTTATGAAGTATCTTGGGAGAGGGCTCTGGCAGCGTATGCGTCTTGCATTGAACTACCAAGTTCAATCCCAGTCATATTCAGGTAAAACTGGGAAAGATTCCCCCCAGAAAGCCTTTCATTGTCAGTGAAGACAATTTTTAAAAAATCAAAGCAGATCCCTTTTCCTCTTCCTTTCCCCCACAAATTTATTGGTTTTCCAAATTGAAATTTATCTGATACACAGTGGTACCTCAGGTTACAGACGCTTCAGGTTACAGACTCCGCTAACCCAGAAATAGTACTTTGGGTTAAGAACTTCGCTTCAGGATGAGAACAGAAATTGTGCAGCGGTGGCAGTGGGAGACCCAATTAGCTAAAGTAGTGCTTCAGGTTAAGAACAGACCTCCAGAACGAATCAAGTACTTAACCCGAGGTACCACTGTATATCAAACATAAATCATAAAAACAAGATTCCAAGGAATCTCCTGGACTTCCATCCTCCCCTTTGTGGGTCCTAATTTAATCATTTCCTCCCGCATCTTCTGATCGTTTTAGCCATTTCAGGATAGTCCATCGACTTCATCTGCCATTGCCCTCTTCCTCCTCTTGTTGGATACCATCCCTCCCATTTGCAGCTATAACAAAGGCGGCACTTTTTCATCTCCGCCAAGCTAAGCAGTTGGCTGCTTACCTCTCTCGCCCTGACCTAGCCACTGTGATCCACGCGACGGTCACCTCCAGACTGGATTATTGTAACTCGCTCTACATGGGGCTGCCCTTGAGACTGACCCAGAAACTCCAGCGGGTGCAGAATGCCGCAGCGAGACTCCTTACGGGGTCCTCGCCGCGAGATCACATTCACCCGGTGCTATACCAGCTGCACTGGCTCCCGGTGGAGTACAGGATCAGGTTTAAAGTGCTGGTTTTAACCTTAAAGCCCTATACCGCCTCGGACCTACAGGACCGCCTCTCCTGGTATGCCCCACGGAGGACCTTACGGTCTTCAAACAAAAACATCTTGGAGGTCCCAGGCCACAGGGAGGTTACGCTGGCCTCAACCAGAGCCAGGGCTTTTTCAGCTGTGGCTCCAATCTGGTGGAACTCTCTGTCACAAGAGACTAGGGCCCTGCGAGACTTGACATCTTTCTGCAGGGCCTGCAAGACAGAGCTGTTCTGCCAGGCCTTTGGCAGAATCCTTTGGTAATTCTCACAGAACTCTAGCCCAATGGTTGCCATTACTTTGATTTGAACTGATTTTATAATGAATTGATTTTAGAATGTGGTATTATTTTACTGTCGTTAGCCGCTCTGAGCCCGGCTTCGGCTGGGGAGGGCGGGATATAAATTAAATTTTATTATTATTATTCTTTCAGTCACTCTTGGCTCTCTCGCTCTCCCTCCCATCAGGTTGTCGCTTCTGGCCGAATGGTGTGGCTTACGCGACGAGGAGCTCTCTCAGGCCAGCGGGATCCCCGGCTGCGTCTTTGTGCACTCCAGCGGCTTCATCGGGGGGAACCACACCAAGGAGGGGGCGCTAGAAATGGCGCGGAAGACATTGGCGCGGCAGGTCGAATCCGGCGCATGCAGCTCATGAGGCGCAAAGCCCCACGCAGTTGGACTCAGGGGGACGGGGACAGGTTGTGGACTTGCCATAAACTTTGATTTTTTAAAAAGCAGCTTTTTTGTATCTTTTGTGAGGGAAATTGTTGGTAGAAGCAAACCCAGCCGGATGGGCAGGATATAAATAATAACATTATTATTATTATTATTGTTATTATTACTACAGTGGTACCTCAGGTTACAAACACTTCAGGTTACAGATGCTTCAGGGTAAAGGTAAAGGTAAAGGTACCCCTGCCCGTACGGGCCAGTCTTGACAGACTCTAGGGTTGTGCGCCCATCTCACTCAAGAGGCCGGGGGCCAGCGCTGTCTGGAGACACTTCCAGATCACGTGGCCAGCGTGACAAGCTGCATCTGGCGAGCCAGCGCAGCACACGGAAACGCCGTTTACCTTCCCACTGGAGCGGTCCCTATTTATCTACTTGCACCCGGGGGTGCTTTCGAACTGCTAGGTTGGCAGGCGCTGGGACCGAGCAACGGGAGCGCACCCCGCCGCGGGGATTCGAACCGCCGACCTTTCGATCAGCAAGCCCTAGGCGCTGAGGCTTTTACCCACAGCGCCACCCGCGTCCCTATGCTTCAGGTTACAGACTCCGTTAATCCAGAAATAGTACCTCAGGTTAAGAATTTTGCTTCAGGGTGAGAACAGAAATTGTGCTCCGGCAGCGGCAGGAGGCCCCATTAGCTGAAGTGGTGCTCCAGAACGAATTAAGTTCTTAACCCAAGGTACCACATTATTATTATTATTATTATTATTATTTATTAGGATCACCAACTTGGGGGGGGGCTAGTAAGCGCATTTGGAATTTTGGGGAAGCAACCATTATTATTGGGTGCTAGTCGCAAGACAACTGCAGTACGCGTGGTGGGGTATGACCCAAGACAAAATGGCGGTCACTTCTTAAAGAGAAGGAAATGAGACGGGATTGCAAAAGGGTGTGGGCAGCCCCCTTCCCCAACTGCTTTGTAAGTGGGGGGAAAGGCATTGATATAAGCCGCTGCCCCCACAGTCAATCTTGCCATCCAATGAAATATTTGTGGGCATGTTCAAGGAAGGAGAGGCTGAGGAAGGGCAAACGGGAACTGAGCAGAAAGAGCAAACAGCCTCTTGTGCAGTGCAGATTTTTCTGGGTATATTTTACAGAGACCGTTCTGTGGGCACCATAAGTATTGAAAGGGACACGTAGGTAAGAGGTAAACCCTCAAAGCCGCAGCAGGACAACAAATGAAAGCAAGCCTTTGGGAACGGGTTGAAAGCTTCACCTGCTCTTCCCAGAATCTTTCAGGAGTTGGGCACATGGGAAGATAACCCAGGCTTTGGGGGCTTTTATTTATATCCCGGCTTTCCCCTGGACTACGCAGGTGGCGCTGTGGTCTAAGCCACTGAGCCTAGGGCTTGCCTATTGGAAGGTCGGCGGTTCGAATCCCCGTGATGGGGTGAGCTCCTGTTGTTTGGTCCCTGCTCCTGCCCACCTAGCAGTTCGAAACTACATCAAAGTGCAAGTAGATAAATAGGTACCACTCCGGCGGGAAGGTAAACGGCGTTTCCATGTGCTGCTCTGGTGTCGCCAGAAGCGGCTTAGTCATGCTGGCCACATGACTCAGAAAAACAGTCTGTGGACAAATGCTGGCTCCCTCAGCCAGTAAAGCGAGATGAGCGCGCAACCCCAGAGTCATCCGCGACTGGACCTAACGGTCAGGGATACCTTTACCTTTTACTTCCCCTGGACTGGAACTCAAGGTGGCTTACAAGACCTACATTGGCTCCCAGTACGTTTCCGAGCACGATTCAAAGTTTGGTGCTGACCTTTAAAGCCCCAGACAGCCTTGGCCCAGTATACCTGAAGGAGCATCTCCACCCCCATCATTCAGCCCAGACACTGAGGTCCAACTCCAAGGGCCTTCTGGCGGTTCCCTCACTGCGAGAAGTGAGGTTACAGGAACTAGGCAGAGGGCCTTCTCAGTAGTGGCACTCGCCCTTTGGAATGCCCTCCCATCAGATGTCAAGGAAATAAACAACTATCTGACTTTTAGAAGACATCTGAAAGCAGCCCTGTTTAGGGAAGTTTTTAATGTTTGACCTTTTTTTGTATTTTTAATATTTTGTTGGAAGCCACCCAGAGTGGCTGGGGAAAATCAACCAGATGGGTAGGGTATAAATAAATTATTATTATTACGAAATGAAAGCAACATGGATAGAAAACAGAACGCTAAAAACATAGAAGAGACCGGTTTAAAAGTAATTACGCTATAATAGAATTAAAACAATATAAAAACGAGTCATTAAAATACAGATTGTGAAAACGGCAGCACTATTCAAAGCCCTTTTAAAATAAAAGTCAGTTCCCAAAAGCCTTTCAGAAGAAAATGGTTTTCACCTGCCAGAGGAAGGACAAAGAAAAGCTCACTGGGAAGGGCGTTCTGAAGTCTGGGAGGAGCCACCACCAAGAAGGCCCTCTCCCGTTTCTCCACCAAACGTGCCTATGAGCGTGGCAGGACTAAGCAAAGCGTATCTGCGGATGATCCTGGAGCCCAGGCACCAAGGCAGGTTCATAGGAGGGAAAATGCTCTTTCAGATAGCCTAACATGCAGAGTTCCACATGTCAAACCCAGTACTTTGAACTGTGCACAGAAACAGGAAGTAGAGAATCAAAGTGATGGGTTTGGAAGCAAATACAAGAGGAAAAGGCTGGCACAACAATGACAACTCTCTGCCCAGGAAGTTAAAACTGAATAAATCATGCAAAGCTGTGCAATTCACTTTGCATAATAATACTAATTTTTTAATCCTTTTTTGTGGTTTGCTTTTACCAACCATAGAGATAGGGACAGGGCTGGCTACCCAGGGCCCTGACCTGCTGCAAATGTTCATTCGGGCAGTTTGCTGGCTTCAGATTTAGGCAGGCATTGCCTACATGCTTTGAAGCTTCTAGGTTACAACCTTAGGATCAGAAATGGGCTGGGAGCATTTTCCACGTTCCCTTCTGGGCAGTTTGGAGGGCCACACGCCCGTGGTGTTGGGCCAGTAGCAAAGCGGGCAGTGCAACCAAGGTGAATTTTGCCTTTGTGCAGCAATAATAGTTCCCACAGAAGGGACGCGGATGGCGCTGTGGGTTAAACCACAGAGCCTAGGACTTGCCGATCAGAAGGTCGGCGGTTCGAATCCTCGCGATTGCGCAGTCCCTGCTCCCGCCAACCTAGCAGTTCAAAAGCAAATCATAGTGCAAGTAGATAAATACGTACCGCTCCAGCGGGAAGGTAAATGGCGTTTCCGTGCGCTGCTCTGGTTCGCCAGAAGCGGATTAGTCATGCTGGCCACATGACCCGGAAGCTGTACGCCGGCTCCCTTGGCCAGTAAAGCGAGATGGGCGCCGCAACCCCAGAGTCGTCCACCACGGGACCTAATGGTCAGGGGTCCCTTTACCTTTAATAGTTCCCACACATGCTCCATCCAGGCAAATGTGGTAAAAAGAACATTGATGGAGGCTGCAAAGCCAGGTCTGTGAGGGGTGTGGAAAGACCAGACAGAAGCCTGGAGGACCATGCCTGGCCCCTGGGTCTCAGGTTTCCCCACCCCTGATGGAAAAGATCCAAGCTAGATGGACTAACAAAACAGCAGCCATACTCTTCATACCCTGATTAGTGGCTTCTGCGCTGAAGTTTATTGCATCCAAATTTAGGGACTTCGCTGCATTATTTGGCTTCGCACCCTCCTTTGCTTACATCTATGCCTCCTAAGCCGTTTTGCCTCTCCTCATCCAATGCATTCAACATGCCCAGTCTCTGGGTTCAATTCTGGGCAATTGAGACATTTTGGTCAATCCTAAATACAGTGGTATCTTGGTTCTCAAACTTAATCATTCCGGAAGTCTGTCCCAGAACCAAAGCGTTCCAAAACCAAGACCTGCTTTCCCATAGAAAGTAATGCAAAACTGATTAATCCGTTCCAGACTTTTAAAAACAACCCCTAAAACAGCAATTTAACATGAATTTTACTATAACGAGACGGTTGATCCATAAGATGAAAGCAATGTACAGTGGTACCTTGGGTTACAGACGCTTCAGGTTACAGACTCCGCTAACCCATAAATAGTACCTCAGGTTAAGAACTTTGCTTCAGGAGAAGAGAAATCGTGCGGTGCAGCGGCAGCGAGAGGCCCCATTAGCTAAAGTGGTGCTTCAGGTTAAGAACAGTTTCAAGTTAAGAACGGACCTCCAGAACGAATTAAGTTCTTAACCCGAGGTACCACTGTACTGTACTGTAAAATAAATAAGATGGTATTGTAGATGATAAAAAATAAAATTGAATTTTTTTCTTACCTGCACTGATAGTCATTGTTTGGATGGGGGGCTTTTATCCATTTCCACACTCACACAATCAGTAGCTGAACAGGGTTTCACACAGTCACAAAAACAAATGAACTGAAAGAGCCTCTAAAACAAAAACTCCAAACTTAATCCGTTCTGGAAGTGTTTGACTTCCGAAATGTTCAAAAACTAAGGCACAGCTTCTGATTGGTGCAGGCGCCCCGGAAACAATAGCCGACAACCACATTGGACTTTCGGCTTCCGAAAAACATTCAAAAACCGGAACACTTACTTCTGGGTTTTCAGTGTTTGAGAACCAAGGTGTTTGATTCCAACAGATTCCACACGAAAAACGCTTATGTCCCTGTGGAGATGGCAGTACTGAATCGGTGGCGCATGCCCTCCTGGCTTGCACTCTTTATAAAGACTTGAGGAATGAGATTATCACCCCTCTTTTATTGTCCATTCCGGGTCGCCCAACCACTGCCACAGTCTCCTTTCTCTTGGCACATCAAGATGAGCAGGTGACGGCAAAAGTTGCAAGGTTTTTAGCTGGGGCAATCAGAATAAGATCTACTATTTGACTATTGATTCAAAACCCTAAAATGTATTTTATATAATGGATTTTTTATTTCTATTCTTTGTATTGTTGTTTTATTGCTATGGCCAATGGCTGACGCAAACAAAGATTCATTCATTCATTCAACCAAGGCGTTTGAGAACCAAGGTACCACTGTACAGCAGAACTGAGTTGCACAAGTATAGCTGTCCCTGCTGCTGCTCCTTGTGCAGTCCAGCAGGGGCAGGCTGTCCCCTCTCAGTTGTCAGCGCTTGTGTGTGCCTCAAGCTCTTTTGCTGATGGGCAGTAGACAGAGAAGCTGAGCCAGGAGGATGCACTCCTAAAATCCTGCCCCCAAGGCTTCTGCCACCTGCCCACATGCTCCCAAAGGAAGCCCAGCAGATGTTTCGGGTGCTACTGAGATGGTCCCTGGAGCCACAGTCAGACCGGACCTGTTTTGGACCAGACTGACCACGAGAGCGCTGTTCACACAGGTGTGTTTGGAGCAATGAGAAGTACAGGGGTGGGCTGGGGGTGCAGGGTGAGAGTTAAAAGGCTTAAAACAGACTCCTGTGGTCTTTTGACAGCAGTCCGAGACAGAAACTCAACGGACTGTGCTTTCCCTAGCACTGTATTCAATTGATTGTTGTGGTTTTGAAAAATCTAGAAGATTATCTAACAGGAAATCCTGCTAGGGTAAGGGTTTTTTTATTGTAAGGTGGGGCTCAAGGTGGGGTTACATGGATCTCCCCCTCCTCATTTAGTCCCCACAGCAACCCTGCGAAGTAGGCTAGGCTGAGAAGAATGACTGGCCCAAGGTCACCCAGCGAGCTTTGTGGCCAAATTTGAACCCTGGCCACCCAGGTCCTCTAACCATTACACAACGCTGAGGTTTTGAGTTCCCAAACTGGGAAGGTGTGTGGGCCTGCTCTCACACCCTTGAAGAGCAGGCTGAATTCGCAAGGGGGTCTTTTTCACAGCATCAAACCAAACAAGATGACCTGCTAACGTCTGCATGCAGCTCTTAAAGGCGTTGTGCAGAGGCTGCTTAGAAATTTGGCAACCCTAACTGAGCAAGTGGCTTAAGAAACACAGTCAGCTGTTGAATAAGTCACTCAGTACAGACTAACCCACTTCATACAAGTTTTGGCAATGTTCCTGAACGAGCCCTTTTTGGGATGCGGTAGCTAAGCAAATTAATACAGTCCTGAAATACCAGGAGCGTTTTTTTCATCCTTGCGGCTGCAATCCCGTCCCTGCTTAACCTGCATGAGTGAGCCCCAAGGGAATGCACTGTTACAGCACAAATCTACGTTTATTTACCTGGAAGTAAATAAACTACGGTGTTCAATGGGGATTGCTCTCCTCAGGTAAGCATGCAGAGGATTACGAGCCTTTATTTACTCTAAATCTGTATTTCTGTCACCTGGGTGCTTAATCCTAAGGGACGGAAAGCATGGCTTGCTAGAGAAACCTTGAAAAAGAGAAACTAGGGCACCAGCAGGAGGAAATATTAAACCCAGGGTTCCTCCAGATGACCTTATTGTGCATCATCCTGATTTGATCGCACAAAGCTTAGATGGTAGTTGAACAAGGTCAGGTCTTTAATGTTTTGATTTCCTTTTGTGGGGTGGTTATATGACAATAAGCAGTCCTCCCGATTTGCTTGAGGATTGTTTACATGTCTTATTGTTTATTTAACCTACACTTTTGAGGGCCTTTCCCTGTAATTTTCCAAACTGCAAGAAGTCTGTCGCTATTTAAGTGGATTTGTTGGGCTAGGGCGACAGGGCGCTTTAATAAACTTTTAGTACACAAACCTAAAATTCCACTATGCACTTGAATTCCTGAAAACTGTGACCGTCTGGAGGAACCAGAGTGAGAGAACAGCTTTTAATAGATACTTTAGATCACCCTCTTTTGGAGGTAGGTGTGTAATTAGTAAAATATACACGCACAACTCAGGTTATACCATCCCAATGCAGAGGTGCAACAGATTTACTCACCCTCAGAAGAAGCATAACCAAAACAGTGACTCATATAGAAGCAAAGGGGGTGAGCACTGGTTTTCTTACTCAAGGAATCATCGCTGGAAAAGACTTTGCAGGTTGTTTAGTCCAGCATTAAATGGTTGTATCTTGGTAATTCGGCTCCATACATGACAAAAAAGGGAGATCATAATCTTTCAGTTTGTTCTTGTTTCTGACTCCCCTCATTCTGGTAAATTCAGTTAATTTCACCATCGTTGTAAAGTGGTATCCTTTCATAATCCAGTCTTTTTTAATCTTGGTATTTGAGATGGGTGCCATTTGGCAGCTAGTGATGCATAATAAAATTTCTTACCAGAATGACATGCTCAGAACTGCATCTTTTTCCATATATCCCAGAATAATCAACAATGGGCTTAAAAGTAATTGACATCCAATTATAACTTCAACAGCCTGAATAGTCTTCCCCCAGTCATCCTTCGCTTTTTCAGATTAGTTGACACTTTTCTAGAACTGATCATCAAGATTCTTGCTACGTGGTGGAAAGTTAGATAGTCCACGAGTTTTTAGTGTTATTCTTATTACTGCTCCCACACATTTTATAAGCACTGAACATCATTCACCGCCAGCACCCCAAGTATTATTCTAATAGACTATTTCCACTGTCGAAGCCGGTTTAGCTGTGATTGTGTGTCTGTCATTCCAGTTTTCCCATACTCAGCTACACACCCATTTTATTTGCTGCTGAATCAGAGGGGGATGTGAAAACTCTGAAGGGGCATGGCATGGGCATTTAAAAGACCCCCCCTAAACAGATTATACTGTCGGAAGGTATGTGTCAAGAATAAAATATAAAGCAAATTTGGAAAGAGGCTCCTTTCAAGGAACACAAAACTTATGGGTGCAGAACTGAGCACAGCAGCCTTTGCGACATATAGCAGTTTTTAAAATCTGGAGAGAGAAACGCTAAATAAGTTTTAGAGAAGCTAAAGTGCTGGGAGGGGCAAAAGGGGGAGCCATGGGGGGGGTAGGGAGAGAGAGAGAACAGTTGTCCCAAATGATCACTATGGTAATCATCAGATCACTACAAAGAACCAATTTCCACTTTTATAAACAAGAAGATCGCAAATCAAGGTGAGATGCAGACTGCAGCGCATACCTGGAGCAGATGTTGAAGCCTTGTTAAAAAAAATGCTAGTGTGGTCAGTCCTTTTTTCTGGGGGTACTCAAGGGTTGGTCCTTACTGTGGTTAAACAAAAAAAAAAGGTAAAGGACAACTGTACGGGTAAGTCCAGTCAAAAGTGACTATGGGGTTGTGGCACTCATCTCGCTTTCAGGCCAAGGGAGCCAGCGTTTGTCCACAGACAGCTTTCTGGGTCATGTGGCCAGCAGGACTAAACCGCTTCTGGTGCAACGGAACACAGTGACGGAAGCCAGAGCACACGGAAATGCCGTTTACCTTCCCGCCACAGTGGTACCTATTTATCTGCTTGCACTGGCATGCTTTTGAACCGCTAGGTTGGCAGGAGCTGGGACAGAGCAACAGGAGCTCACCCCATCACGGGGATTCAAGCTGCCAATCTTTTGATTGGCAAGCCCAAGAGGCTCAGTGGTTTAGACCACAGCCCCACTCGCATCCCGGTAACTTACTGTAACAGCACTGGGTGTGGTAATATTGTTAAATCAAACCCATGGGATGTGTTAGGAGGCCCTTTCTCACTGGCTCATTTTTGTCTCCCCTGCCCTCTTTTCCAGGTAAGATTCTGGGCCCTTCACCGCCTCGTGACCCCCGCCACACCCAGAGAGAGAGGAGAGCAATGCAGAGATGCCAGCATCGTTTTCCCTCTTCCTCCTGGTCCTGATCCTGCACGGTGGCCTCCCCTGCCCGCAGAGCTGTGACTGCCCGCCGGGGAGCGGCGTGGTGTGGTGCAACCGGAAGGACCTGGTGACCATCCCTTTCGACATTCCCCACGACACCCGGGTCCTCTACCTGGACTCCAACTGGATCACCCACGTCCCCAACGGGGCCTTCTATGGCCTGAAGCAGCTCCGCGAGCTTCACCTGGCAGACAACCTGATCGAGAGCATAGCGCCGGGGGCCTTCCGCGGCCTGGGCGGGGGGCTGAGGCTGCTGGACCTTTCTGGCAACCAGCTGGAGAGGATGGAGTTTGCCCCCTTTGCCATGCTCACCTGGGTCCGGCTAGAGCTGTACGACAACCCCTGGCACTGCGACTGCTCCCTGCAGAAGCTGGTGGCGGCTCTTCCTCTGGACGCAGAGACTGTGGAGGACGTCGTGTGTGCCACTGCGGAGTGGGAGGAATACACCGGGAAGACCTTAGCTCGCTTGCTCAACACCGGCGTCAACTTCTGCCTGGGCCAGCAGAGGAACACGGACCTGGCCATGCTGCTCACCATGTTTTGCTGGTTCGCCGTGGTCATCACCTACGTCATCTATTACGTCCGACGCAACCAAGCAGAATCCCGACGCCACTTGGAGTATCTCAAGTCTCTGCCCCTGCCCAGCAAGCAGCCCAGCCCGGAGGAGTTGGAAGAAGACACCCTCAGCACCATCCTCTGAGAACCGAAGGTTTTGAGGAGCCCAAACAAACAGAAACTGCTTTGAAAATGGTTATAAAACTTAACTGTTGTCAGCTTCTTCCCATCAAGAAACTTGGGAATTAGGTGTGTGAGTGAGGACCTTGGTGGGTTGGTTCCCCCTTAAAACGGCCCTTGGACCCCAGTTCTCGCTTCCCTAACCCTATGACCTCCTAGCAAATGAAAGAGGGCCAGCCCCATATGCCTTCAGGGGATGCTGGTTGGAAGCCAAAACTGAGTTTCTTAAAATCCAATTTCCCCCTTCTGCACAATACATTTTTTTCTGAATTACAGGCTGCATTGCTCCAATGCAGCAAACCCAACCCCGCCCCTCGCAGAGAGTCCTCAAGCTTCCCTTTCCCCATTTGCCAGGGATTTAGGCAAAGATATTACAGCTTAATGCTAGGGGGATTAACCATGAAACAATCATAAGTCCCTGTTCTCTTAATCCCTTATTTTGACTGGGGCGTTTCTGCCCCATCTGTTCTGCTGCAGCCACTTCCCTTTCAGTGGCTTTTTCTGCCTCCTTCCAGTCCCCTTTTCTCCACATTGTGTGGCAGGGAAACCTGCAGACGGAACAGCTGCATTTAATCCTGCCTCTTTGGTGACTGCAGAACGTATATACAAAGTCAGACCTTTGGGTCTATCTAGTTCAGTGTCGTCTACACTGGCTGGCAGCACCTCTCCAGGGTTTCAACTGGTTATGAGTGGCTCTCCAGTGCTCCAAGCAGGGTTCTCTCCCGATCCTACCTGGAGATGGATTGAGCCCGAGACCTTCTGCATGCAAAGCAGTTGCTCTACGGCAGAGCTACAGCCTTTCTCCTTTCTGGGCTGCAGCTAAGAAACCTGTTTCCAAACACACATTTCCCCCACTCACACATTACATTTTACAGACACACACTTTAAACAACTTGGACCAGAGCTTCAAATGAAAGCAGTGTGTGTAAATAAGGTCTCCACTTTCCAGGTTGTAAGAAATCAATTTTCACAAGCAGTCACCACTATAAAGACGCAGAGACTGCGTGGTTATTCAGTCCCATTCCAAAAATGCAAAGTGTTTTCTGCAGAGGAGCAGAGGCTACTCAATGGGAGCTTCCATGGAAAAGACCCTCCAAACTCAGGAAGTTAGGAGATTTAAGAACCCATAAAACGGCCACTTTTTATTTCAGTATCAAAAAGGAAGTTGACCCCATAGCTGGGATGGCTAAAAGATTCCTGCATTGCAGGAGAAGAAATAGATGGTCCCTTGTGGTCCGTTTCAGCTCTACAATTCTATGATTCACATTTCTTGGGCCTGAAACAGATTTAAGGCAGGCAATCTCTTTACAATCAGGTACTCTTGTAAGCATTCCAGATCCTTATACTTTGAACACAGATAGCAGGCAGGTATGATCTTAAGGTGTACAGGTAGGCTCACTCAGAAGATCACTGGTTGAAACTTAGCCAGATCCAGAGTGTTTCTGAGAGCAATGCAAGGCCCAAGACTCAAACCGGGCATTGGGGTGAGGGAGCGAAAAGAATCTATTTTTATTACTGGATTGCTTTAAATGTCCCCTTTTATAACATTGGTTCTAAAAATGTAACTGTCCTTCATGAGACTTCTGAAAGACACAAAATAAAATGTAAGAAACCCAATAACATGGAGCTTGGTCCTTCCTTCTAAATATGCCTTTGGCGATCTTTAAGAAGAGGCTGTTCAATTTCAGTCCTCAGATTTCATCGTTTCTGCTTATTCCCTGGTGCTTCTGTTCCTAGCCACTTTTAATTGACCGAGCCTTTTAAGTAACTGAACCGAATCTATTTTCATATTTTCAAAAAAGAGGCCTTTGTTTCTCTCCTTTGCATGGCAAACTGCTGGCCATGCCTTCTTATCTTAAAATAACTCTTCTGGTTATTAAAGACTGGAACTGCTCTAGAGAACTTTTTTTTTTTCTTTGCAATTATGGTAATCACACGGCACTTGAGCAAAAAGTCTGTAGCAGGGAGGCTCAGATTCAACGTTGGGCAGAGGCAGCTGATAAAGGCTGCAACCCACCCTACACACACTAAGGAGTCAGCTGTTGCTGAAAACGGGAGACTTTCAAATACAAATGCACAGGATGATGGATGAGGTGGCAAAAGGGGGGATTTCAGCAGGTGCTGTCGTCTTAACATTGGTACTAAAAACTACCTGCTGAAAAAGAGGTCTTTCAACACCATTCATAATTTTATAACTCTCAAAAGCCCCCAGACACTTGACAGCTGTGCACACAACTGCTTAGATGTTTTGACAGCTGCACACAATACCGGGATCATGGCACATATATGCTCCACTATGCGCAGGATACAAGTACAGTTTAACTTCTATATTGCCCCTAAGATAATATGCTGGAAGGGAAAGCTGCCTTTATACAGAATCTGGGCCACACCTAGCTCAGTACTGTTCACACTGACTGGCAAGGTCTTCTGGGGTCACCCCCTATCTGGAGATCCCAGGGACTGAGCCTAGGATCTTCTGCATACAGTGGTACCTCGGGTTACATACGCTTCAGGTTACAGACGCTTCAGGTTACAGACTCCGTTAACCCAGAAATAGTACCTCGGGTTAAGAACTTTGCTTCAGGATGAGAACAGAAATCATGCTCCGGTGGCGCGGCAGCAGCGGGAGGCCCCATTAGCTAAAGTGGTGCTTCAGGTTAAGAACAGTTTAAGAACGGACCTCTGGAACGAATTAAGTACTTAACCCGAGGTATCGCTGTACAAAGCAGATGCTCTACCACTGAGCTATGGCTCCTTGATCTCTCATTATATGTTTCCCCCTTTTATGAAGTGATACAGATAGCATTGGTCAATTCAGCTCAATATTGCCTACAGCACTGACTGCCAGTGGCTCTCCAAGGTTTCAGACAGAGGACACTCCCAGGCCTACCTGGAACTGCCAAGCACAGAACTTGGGACCTTCTGCATGCAAAAGCATATTCTCTGTCACTTAGCCACGGCCCTGCCCAACGTCAGTCTCCTGGCCGCCCACACACCTCTTTCATCCCAGTATGCAAACAGTGGAAAGGGATGCAAAATTGGCAGATCCATAAGCAGCACAACGATCTGTGAAAAAGATCCTTGCAGGGGAGGAAGCAGAAATAATTGAAATATCCAGGAACTGCTGCTTGTGCGGATGGAGGATGTTGACTTAGGATAATTTCCGAGATACGATGCCCTCTGAAGCTGATGACGTAAAAGCCCCAAGAGTGCTTCTGCTTGGAAACGTCGAAGGAATAAAACATTCACCCTTTGTTGTTTTTATTTTCTGTCTCAAATGCGAAAACTACAAAGTGGTCCATCTCTGGCAGACGTTCTTCTGGTTTCAAAGGCTGCTTGTGGATAGCCTACTAACACTATCAGCATGTCAGCTGATCAACGCCTCAACTGCAACTGACAGAAAGAAGACGGCGCTCTCCAAAGTTGGACTTGGGCAGAAGCAGCCTTCGCAGTGTGTATCTCCAATGTTCTGAAGGCACACAGGCCGGCAGGGAGGAAGCCCAGCATGTTGACCCTTAGAGTTCAGAAAACAATGGCTGCTCCCGTGTACTGCTTCTACTGCCCAAGGGTATGAGGGGACTCTGCCCAGGGCTGAAAGATGGAAACTGGGCAACCACAAAGAAGAAGGGGATGTGGCTGACCTTTCCTGTTGACCAGCACTGAGAAGAGAGAGAAGAAATAAATAAATGAAGTAGGAGCAGAAGATCACCTTTTGCATATCCTGGCCTGACCTTCCAGGCTTCTCAGTCATACTGTTTGGACCTCAAGAAGAGGGGATCCTTATGGTGGGATGGAACACAGAGGGCCCTTTAGCAGAGCCACTGCATATACACGCCCCTGCACTAGGAACCTTGTTCCAAGAAAAGGTGGGTTCTGTCACCTATAGATATTACAAAACTTGGCATATTTGCTTGCTACGTTGCATCATTTCATCTGCTTCTCATGGCTGGGAGGAGCACCTCCCTCCTGGACCTGGCCTCTGAAATGGCACGGGGCACACACTTCTCATGCGCTCCCAAGCGGCAGTTCCCAAACTTTGTCCTAGGCAAGCTAGCACGCCATAAGAAAACTCCTGGCATGTAACAAAAAAATAAGGAAGCCCTAGAACATCCAACCACAGAGGGAAGCTGCCCCTGCCATCCTATGAAGCGATGCAACAGTGACCCATTCTCAAAAAGAGGTGCTTTCTTGCATCTCTGAGTTAAGTTGCTCCTCTGAGCTTAACTTCCTCCATTAAAGCAGTATGCCCAAATCAGTTCACGAGAAGCACAGGAATTGAGCACCAATAAAAGTGGGCAATTTATACTCTAAACCTTTTCAGCTCTTAAGAGGGACGTACGTATGTGTCGGGCTCTCAGAGGTTGGGGCAAAGAGTCTCACGGGCTATAAGCTCAATTTTAAAAGCTTGAGATTTGTGGATTGTTGAATTCTGTGCCGAGTCCAGGACAGAATCGTAGAGTATACACAAACCTGAGTGGTGCACAAGACACCCAGAACCCAACTGAACAGATCAGCCTCTGCCCTCCAGACACACAGTCTGCCAAAATCACAACAGTACATGCTCAACAATGATACCAGAATCCTTAAAGCAAACAAGACAAGATGTGTTTCACAGCCCATCAACATTTTGACCCACCCTAAATAAGGTTACTGGTAGCATTCCAAACATTAGCAAAATGCATCCTGCAACTGGTATTAACCCGAATGTGAGTAAAATAGATTATTCAGCTTTTTCACCAAGGCAAAACCCTTGAGCTGATAACAGGAACTAGGCCACCGTTACTGCATAGCTCATGTTAAAAAGGTAAAGGGACCCCTGACCATTAGGTCCAGTCGTGACCGACTCGGGAGTTGTGGTGCTCATCTCGCTTTATTGGCCGAGGGAGCTGGCATACAGCTTCCGGGTCATGTGGCCAGCATGACTAAGCCGCTTCTGGTGAACCAGAGCAGCACATGGAAACGCTGTTTACCTTCCCGCCAGAACCCTACCTATTTATCTACTTGCACTTTGACGTGCTTTTGAACTGCTAGGTTGGCAGGAGCAGGGACTGAGCAACGGGAGCTCATGGTAGTCTGGGAGTAATCCACGTGCGCTATGGTGCCTGTGTTTGACTGCAGAGCATGTTGAGTCCTCCAATTAATGCCTCATACCAACATGCATGAGGGACGCGGGTGGCGCTGTGGGTTAAACCACAGAGCCTAGGACTTGCCGATCAGAAGGTCGGCAGTTCGAATCCCCGTGACGGGGTGAGCTCTCGTTGCTTGGTCCCTGCTCCTGCCAACCTAGCAGTTCGAAAGCACATCAAAGTGCAAGTAGATAAATAGGATAAACACTGTTTCCGTGCACTGCTCTGGTTCACCAGAAGCGGCTTAGTCATGCTGGCCACATGACCCAGAAGCTGTACGCCGGCTCCCTCGGCCAATAAAGCAAGATGAGCACCGCAACCCCAGAATCGGCCACGACAGGACCTAATGGTCAAGGGTTTCTTTACTTTTACCAACATGCATTATAGTTACTGTTATCCCTTTCTCCTACTAGTCCACAGCCCCGTCTAGGTGCTGCTTAGCCAAGTTAGAAGTCATTCCAGCAGCTCCTATCTGGGGCAACAACAAGCCCTTATCAGCATTCCCACAGGCTATAGCAAAAGCTCCTCAAAATCTTGGCGAAGGCTGAACACTTACCACTGTCAGAAGAGCTCCCTTCTTAAAGCAAGGGTGGAAAGCAACTAGTTGTGGCTGAGCGCCATCTTCTCCCTGTAAGAAACCACTGAAGAAAGGAGGGGTGGGGGAAAGAGAGATACAGATATTATAATTACAAGGGACACTCATAGGCTGTTGTGATGTGATGCTGCAGGCCTAGGCTCCAATACAGTCTTAGGACAAAAAACAGCCCATTGGCCTTTGATGCTGTCTTATGTCTGAAACTGCCTCCCAGAGTTCAGCCTTAAACTCCCACAAGGCCATTGGGCTTAACCCTTTAGCCTTCTTTTATTTCCCCCTTCCTCCTTAGGTTTATTTATTTTAACCATTCAGATTAACCGAGGGAAGGTTGCGTTGGATTACAACTCCGATGCCAGCAGGTCTGATGAGAACGACAGTCCGCAACATCTGGAGGGCACCAGGTTGGCGAAAGAATCTACCCTCTTAAGGGAGAGCCGTAGAACCTTTTGCTTACGTTAACCCTATAAAATACCATGTGCGCTGGTGGTATAACCCTAATACTACTGCTTTCTCAAAGGCATCAGAGAGCTGACAGGGGCTGCATTTCTGGGGCACGTGCAAAGAGAAGGGCAGGCATCACAGGGGGAAGAAGTTGTGATGGGGAGAATCTTTTTGGCAGTATTGTTACCACCAGCAACAGTGGAGAGACTGTGCTTGCCAGTCTCCTACCTCCTATGGCCTTTGCGCTAAGGAGGGCAGTCTGCTTTCTGACTAACCCTCTGGAGAGCCATGGCCAGTCACAAATAGACAATAATGATCTACAGCAGCCTTTCTCAATCTCTGGGTCCGCAGATGTTGTTAAACTACAACTCCCATCACCCCTAGCTAGCAAGGCCAGAGCTCAGGGATGATGAGAGGTGTAGTCCAACAACATCTGGGGACCCACAGGTTGAAAACCGCTGAGCTAGAGGGTCATATACTCTGACCAGGTTACAAGGCACCTTCCTAACATTTTGACAACTACAGCAGCACAGAGGCTGGAATGACGCGGGGCTCACGGATTTCATTTCCAGTTTAAGAGCAACCAGAGTACCAAAGCATGTCAATACAAACCATGGCAAGAGCTCAAACACAGGGCTGTTGCGGGTGCGAAACACGGCAACGATGACCCTGCAGTCGGGAGCATCACGATTTCCTGCCAAAAGAAAACAGAAAAAGGTGAGGGAACAGAGCGACATGTAGAATTTATGCGCAGAAATCGGACAGAGCCTACTGTTTTAGGTCTGTAGCCTTTAAGGCCATGATGATAGGCTTTTTAAAAAGTACAGTGGTACCTCAAGTTACATACGCTTCAGGTTACATATGCTTCAGGTTACAGACTCCGCTAACCCAGAAATAGTGCTTCAGGTTAAGAACTTTGCTTCAGGATGAGAACAGAAATCATGCTCCGGCGGCGTGGCAGCAGCAGGAGGCCCCATTAGCTAAAGTGGTGCTTCAGGTTAAGAACAGTTTCAGGTTAAGTACGGACCTCCGGAACGAATTAAGTACTTAACCCTAGGTACCACTGTATTTCCAATGCAATCTACAAAGTCTGCTGAGGGCAGGATACTAGGTGGGTAGGGGTTCAGTACCCTTGGTGTTTCTGTTGAGGCTTCTAGAACATCTGGGTAATGGACTGGGCTCAGACTGCAGAGATGGAAGTACACTAGATATCATGTTATGTTTATCTTTTGCAACAAGGGTAGCGACCCTTTTTTCAGACCGAGGGTCGTGTGCCCTTGTAGACAATCTTCCAAGGGGCACCATGTCAGCGATGGGAGGAGACAAAAGCAAAAGTGGATACACCAACTAATGTGACTGGAATGGTGTTTGTTTACTCCCTGCAGAAAAGTAATACAGTGGTACCTTGGTTCTCAAACTTAATCCATTCTGGGAGTCCGTTCGACTCCCGGAACCGTTCAAAAACCAAGGGGTGGCTTCCGATTGGCTGCAGGAGCTTCCTGCACTCAATCAGAAGCTGTGGAAGCTGCATCGGACATTTGGCTTCTGAAAAACGTTCGCAAACGGGAACTCTCGCTTCTGGGTTTGCGGCATTCAGGAGCCAAGCCACTTGACAGCCAAGGTACCACTGTGTGCTGGTTTCTACATACACTCACAAACCTCTTGCCACCTGCCACCCAGTGAAGCAAATGGCATTAAGAGGGCAGGCAGACACATTCTAGCCAGGTGACAAAAACACTCAAGGAGGGTACGAAGCAGGGCTGGCGGAAGGTGTGGCTGAACAGAGGGTGTTGCCTGCTTCAGTAGGAAAACCACAGTTGTCTCTTTCCCACTGAAACAAGTCTTTCCCATCAAATACGAAGCCACGAGGAAGGAGCCGGTGTGCTTGCAAACTGGTGCTAACTGCTATCGTCCCTCCCGCGCTCTTTCAAAAGATTCAGGGCTCACACAAAAAACTGCCTGGTTTAGAATTCGGAATCCCATGTTAGGAATTTTGAACCAAGGTGCAGCCTGGACCTCTCCCTCTCTTTCTCTGAAGCCCCAGCCTTAGAGAGGATCACAGAATGCTTTAAAATGGAGATTAGAGAAGGGTTATTTTAAGCGCTACCAAACACAAGCCATTTCGTGCTCTTAAGCTTACGCGTGGGACACTTGCCATCTCTCCAACGGGACAGGGTGAAAAAAAGGGCTGGTTCTCGTTTTCCTTTTGGGAGCAAGGAAGGGATGGACATCCTGGTTTTCGGGTGCAAAAGCTCAACAACTTTGCAGGTGTCAGGAATTTTACTTTTTGAAATATGGCAACCTTACCTTAGGCTTGCCATTCATTCTCGGTCTATTTTACCTCACAGGGTAAGAAACGGGGTAGGACAAGGAGAGCCACGCAAGTGCAACAAAAACCAAACCATGAGGACTAGAAACTTACAAGTGAGAAGTATGTGCGTATGTATCCTTTGTCCATTAAAACAAATACACAGAGAGCAACTGGGAAAAGGGTCAGTCACTACTTGCATGCATTTGAAAAGAACAAAAAAGAGGCAGACACATTTTTCACTTGACTAAACACATCTGCATAAGGTGGCTGAGTGTGCATATCTGTTGCTCCAAAAAGTAAAATAAGAAGCAATGCTTTATTGGGGTTGAGGGGAATGGGTTTCCCCCCCAAAAAATGTTGTCTTCTGATTTGGAATAAAAATTACCGTATTGGGCCGAATATAAGAAGCACTCGCAATTAAGCCATACCTTTAAAATTCAAGGGGGGCGGGAAGACAATACCCAAATATAAGCAGCTCCCTTAAAATTCCGCAGGCACTCACACCCACAAATGGCAAATGTGGAAGAAAACGTAAAAGACAATTTTTAAGGTGGCAAATTTAAGCCGCACTTTTAACTTTTCATGGTCGGAATCTGGAAAAAAAAGTGTGGCTTATATTCAGGCCATTACTGTATGTACTGGCTTATTGTGAGAAACGCACCCAGCCTCCCCAGCTCTCCCTATCTCGTCAAAAGTTTTGACTGTAGAGGACTTTACCTCTGATGACAACTGCAAGCCTCTCACCACTTGGGTCCCAGACCATGGAAAGAATCTCCCCGCCAATCCTGGAACACAAGAATACAAAATGAAAGGCCAATGGAGAAACACTCAAGGTAAGACATCCATACTCAAGCCAAAAGAAGAGTTGGGGATCACAGTCAGATTGTGGAATGACGACGCTTCGTGGGGGGAAGTGGTATAGTATTTACACCACAGTGTGATACAGTATTTGTCTAATACTAGGCCTGGGAGACCACTGGATGACCTTGAGCCAGTTACTACCTCTCAGCCTAGCCTACCTCACAGAGCTGTTGTGAGGATAACATGGGAAGGGGAAGAACGCCGCCTGAAGCTTCTTATAGGAAAGGTGGGATATAAATGTAATAAACCAACAAAAATGATAGCTGCAGGGCCGGACTTTTGCATATTCATACACTGATTATTAAGACGGGCTTTTAAGATAAACAAGAAAATAATCAAAATGCTAAAGCCTTTATTCATTTCCTGGCTCGTGTGTATTCAGCAGTGGGTATAAAACTTAACATCTTGTTACTTTTGTTCCTATTGTTATTTTTAAAAAAGCAGGTTTCCAGCCCTCCGAGACTACACAGATACACTTTCATTCATTCGTTTTATTTGTATGCCAAAAATTATGCTCGTAGCGGCTTACAACAAAGAAACAGGACATTTTGAACAAACACTACAAAAATAATTTGACAATAACGTTGCAAAACAAAAATATAGCAACATACCAAAAAAACAAACAAACATTTTTATACTATAAATATAACAAGATTACTTAAACAACATGCAGCACCCAATTGCAAAAGTAACAAGGGAGCTTCACTTTCTAGGCTATAAGCAATGCCTGGAAAAATTCAGAAGCTGGTTGGGAATAGCAGAGTTCCCTGTAGTGAGAGTTTGGTAAGGCTTCAAAACCACAGCATATAACTTTTAGTCCCTCCTCTTGCATGTGACTGGCAGAATGAGAATCCAGCAAGATAAGCAAATGCTCATGCATTTTCAGGGTAATAAAAGCAGGGATTTTTAGAACATCTAATAATCACGTGTTGGGGTGGGGTGAACTCTCTCAAAACAACACAGCACCAGTCTCTCTGATTCTGCTCCTAATGATGAAGGGAATGCAATATAAGACTTTCTGCTCAGGAAGACCCCAACCCCACTCCCTTTCTGAGATTTCACACAACATCGTCCACGTTCTGAATCCTATCTTAGCAGCCTTTAAGGGCTAGAATCTTGCACCAACTAACACTCAGTTATGCGCTTGTGCGGCACTTACAAGACACATGTTTTTCTCCCTTCCTCTCACCTCTCCTCTCCATACAGGGTCTCAAAAGTGGTTTCCGACAGATCAGCCACGATGGAAGCTGTTTTCGACCCACCAACCTGCCCTTGCTGTTCCCCTGAGAAGAGGATGGAAAAAGTCATTCCAAGGGAAACAAAACAATAGGAGGAGGAAGAACATAGAACATTTCCTTCTGCAGGTATGGGGAACCTGAAGCCTGGGGGAAATGGACCCCCACAGGGCCTCTCTACCTAGCCCTTGGACCTATCCCCAGACCAAACACCTCATTGGCTGTTCTTCGTACCCTGAGTGCTTTTGCATGGCTGAGATGTGTCACTCTGATAATGTCTCTCATTTGCCTGGATGGAGGGGTGTGTAAGCTGATTGTGCAAAGTTAATACAGTAATCACATTTGTTGCACTGGCCCCACCCACCACTGATATGCAGCCCTCAGCAGGGAATGTGGCCCTCAGGCTGAGAAAGGTTTTCCACTCCTGCCTTACAGGAAATCTAACTGTTTGTTTCTCTAATCCAGTATTGTCCACCTGCGGGAAGGAGTGTGTGTATCGGCCAGCAGGTAATGGCTTTTCCCACCTGCCTCGCCCTAGGAGCTTTCATAAGAAAGCTGTTTCCAGAGGAAGAACTGGGAGGGGAGACTCTGTTCGCCATTGGGGGGTGGTTGGTTTCACCTTTGCTGCCCCCAACTCCAGCCCGAGGAACCTTCAGAAGGGAGTTGCTGCCACAGGCATGATGTGTACAGTGGTACCTCGGGTTAAGAACTTAATTCATTCCGGAGGTCCATCCTTAACCTGAAGCACCACTTTAGCTAATGGGGCCTCCTGCTGCCGCCGCACCGCGATTTCTGCTCTCATCCTGGGGCCTCCTGCTGCTGCCGTACCGCCACCACACGATTTCTGTTCTCATCCTGAAGCAAAATTCTTAACCTGAGGTACTATTTCTGGGTTTGCGGAGTCTGTAACCTGAAGCGTATGTAACCTGAAGCGTATGTAACCTGAAGCGTATGTAACCCGAGGTACCGCTGTATTTTAATGAGCAGTGAAACAGTGAAATATTATGAGTCATGGGTGTGTGGAAAGTGTGTGCATGAACTTAATAGGGCTTAGTTTACCTTTTGGTTGCTATTTTGTAGATGAAATTAATATTGTTTTATAGATTATAAATGCTGTATTGATTTGTTAATCATATAATAGGACTCTTCCTTCATGTTTAGCTTATTTGCTTTGTTGACAAGGTGGAACGTGTGCAGAGGAGAGCGATTAAGGTGATCAAGGGTCTGGAAACTAAGCCTTATGAGGAGTGCTTGAAGGAGTTGGTTATGTTTAGCCTGGAAAAGAGGAGACACGATAGTCATCTTCAAGTATCTCAAGGGCTGTCACATGGAGGAGGGAGCATGCTTGTTTTCTGCTGCTCTGGAGGGTAGGACTCAAACCAATGGCTTCAAGTTACAAGAAAGGAGATTCTGACAAAACATTAGGAAAACTTTCTTGACAGTAAGCTGTTCAGAAATGGAACAAACTCCCACGAGAGGTGGCGGACTCTCCTTTTTTGGACGTTTTTAAGCAAAGGTTGGATGGCCATCTGTCATGGATGCTTCAGCTGAGTTTCCTGCATTGCAGGGGTTGGACTAGATGACCCCTGGGGTTCCCTTCCAACTCTACAATTCTATGAACAGCGTTTTACAGATTGCAATTGTTTCACTGACGATTCGTGAATGATTCTGTGTGATTTACGCGACATTTGTGGTGTTCTACTACTGTGTTCTTGCAGTTACTTACTGCTTGTAAGCAGCTTTGGGATTCATTTGAATGAAAATTAGAGCAGGAATTCAATAAATAGTAAAACATGACTGGCAGCTGCTCTCCAGGGCCTCAGGCAGAGGATGCTCTGCCCCAGCAGCTGCTACCTGATCCGTTAAAACACGGACAGACAAAAGTTCCAGACAAGAGAGGATTAGGATTAAAGAAATTTAAGGAAATGGAAGTTTGGCTTTTAAGAGGCAAAATTTTAATGTTATATTATATTAAGATTAAAGATTGGGATTAAAAAAGTGGGTATGAAATTGCTGAATAAACAATTTGAATTGGAATACAAAAGAGGGAGGTATGAGGAAGTCCAGAAAATAAGTAAATTTAAAGATGGAAATGATATTGTTTTTAATTGTTCTATTTTCTTTTTTGTCTTTTGTCTTTCTTGTTCCTTTTTTTCCCCTTTTGGATTATGTATTGTGTATTTTTGAATTGTGTATTTCTTTTTTATGTTTTATGTTTAATCTTTTATTGAAACTTTAATAAATATCATTTAAAAAAAAAAAGTTCCAGACAAGAGGCATAGGTGGGGGGGCCACTGGGCACCACATCATGGGGGCGGCACTTACCGCGGTACCTGCAGTGTGCCCAAGCCACGCATCTCTCCTGGGATTGGCGTGGTGGCTCAGGCGCCTACAGGCTCCACACTGCACGAAACTGCAGCATGGGGCTTGTGTCTGCCTGCCACCTCTCCCTCAGGCTGCCGCCGTACAGCTGAGCAGGAAGCAGCAGCAAGGCTCCACACAGAGCACCCTGACATAGCTCCCCCCGTCCCCATGAGTGGCTCGCTCTGCTCCAGGGTGCAGGACACACGTGCCGCCCCAGGCACCCGACCAGCTAGCTACACAGCTGCTTCCAGAAGTGGCCAGGTATTGCACAGCTTCATTCAGCTACAGTCTCTCCTCTAGTAGTAGTCTGGAGCGGGAGGTAGAGGGGAGCCAGAAGGAAGCTTTTAAATAGAGGGAAGTGCTGGTATACACACGACAATAAACAATTGCGTGCGGTAGGTCAGAGTACCAAAAATAAAGAAGGTCTGAAATTAAAGGGTGGCGTTATTTGTGGTAAGTACTAGGTAGGGAGAGCATTACATCTGCAAGCAACTTTGAGAGGAGATAAATGCCTGCATCCAACCCCCAACCAACCACAGAGTTTACTGGGTAGCCTTACAAAAAAAAATCACCTCTCTCTCAGCCTCCCACACCTCACAGGTTTTGTGAGGATGAAGCTAACTCAAGGTCCTTAGGTGAAAGACAGCCCACATACAAGATGCTAGATAGCACAGAATTGGAGGCTGCCAGGGGGCAAAGGTCCCTGTCGCAGGCAGGATTTCAAAGCCTCCCTCTGTAGCGCTTATAGCAGAGGTCGGCAAACTTATCCAAGGATGGGCCGGTCAATGCTCTGTCCGTCGGAGGATGGGCTGGAGTGTGTGTGCACATGTGCTATTCCGGGTCAGAGGAGCACCCGAGAGCAAGTGCACACGCTGTTTCCGGCACTCCTCCGACCCAGAAGTGCGCCGGAAATAGCATGTGCACATGCGCACGGGCACTTCTACGTCCCGCACGTGTGCACACACACTATTTCCAGTGCACATCTGGGTCGGAGGAGAGCCCGTGCACATGAGGACAGGTGCCATCAACCCGGAAGTCAGTCCCTGCGCTGAACCGCACCAGTAAGAGCGGGCAGCAGCAGGGGTCACCATGGGCCGGTTAGACAAGCCTCTTGGGCCACTACCAGCCCATGGGCCTTAGGTTGCCGACCCCAGGCTTATAGCAAGGTTTCCCAAACTTGGGTCTCCAGCTGTTTTTAGACTACAACTCCCATCATCCCTAGCAAGCAGGCCCAGCGGTCAAGGATGATGGGAACTGTAGTCCAAAACCAACTGGAGACTCAAGTTTGGGAAACCCTGGCTTATAAGTTAGAAACTTATTGAGACAGACAGGAAGATGCAGAGTGGTGGGCTTGGAACCCATTTTCCGCATTTGCAGAATCCACACAGCTTTACTAGTTACAGGCCGCTCAAGTTACAAGTTACTCACCACTATATTCCAGGAAAGACAAAGAATATATGACCGATTCCCCCTGGACCGTGAAGAGCAAGCGGCTGCCGTCCGGACTCCAACAGCCAGTCTTTGGGGGAAGACACATAAACAGACACTTAACTTAGGCAAGGGTCAAGGAGGGTCTAAAAATCCTGTGCTAAATGCATAATATGACTTTCAAGGTGAGAAATGCCCCATTCAGCAAATGGGACCTGGTCAGGACTGTTGTAGCCATGGATATTTCAGAGGCTGACTCATAAAAACCGAGGGGAGTCAGAGTGAGGCTTGGGTGAGTCAGGTTGCTGTAAGTGGGGCTAGGAAGAAAACCCACATGGTCAAGCAAGTAATAAATGGATCCACACCTAGGAGGCCTAAGTTGGGGGTGGGGATCTCAGCAAAGCTACAAACTCGCTGGGCACAAGTTACTCTATGTTTCCACAGCAAATAATAGCCTACATAGATTATTCTAACAGTGACAGGGACCTGTAACCCTGCAGGTGTTGCTCAACTACAACTCGCAACATCCCTGAACAGTGCTCACGCTGATGGGAGTTGTAGTCCAGCAACATCTGCAGGGCCACAGACTCTGAAAGAGAAAACAATAGAAAAATAAGAGGGCCTGGACTTCCGGTTGCTTTTGTCCACCTATTCCCCCAGGCTGCCTCCCTGACTTACCCGGCAAGGACCTTTGATGGTCGGCCACTTCTCACAAGTCCACATCTGAACTTCCCATACTCTGCGAAGAGAAGCACGAGGGGGTAGAAAGAAGCAGAGTTACTTTGAGTGCAATTCAGTATAAGGAAACGCTCACGGGAGAATTGTGGCAACGAATGCTTCTCCACTTTAACCTGCCGCCATGGTCCAGCACTAGACAAGGCGCAGAGGGCTGATCAATGGTGGCTGCTAACCACTGGGATTGGTGGTGTTGGAAAGCAGGGAGGCCAACAGCAGGTGGCGCTAGAGCCAATGGAAGGAGTTCCAGTTCTGTTCCCATCCTCTCTGCTCAATTCTTCCAAGGGCAACTCTGAGACTAAGGAGGAGGAAACTGGCAGGCAGGACCAACCCCTGGACTGGTTGCAAGTAAGAAGGCAGGAAGGTGGGGGGTGGCTGAGGACAGATTGCAGCTGGTGGCACAATGTGCCTCATTTACTTTAATGAAGCAGCCTCTCCTGGGGTTGACCCCATGCTGCTGGCTTCCAGGCACTCTCTACTCACCTGAAGACTGCTGAAGGTGTGGCTGCTAATACTTTGCTGCCGTCAGGAGACCAAGCCAGGTATGTGACCCCGCCTCCTCCAAACCACTGCAACTGGATGCAGTTTTCTGTGGATACATCCCACACCTAAAGGGAACAAGGTAAAACAGAGGAAGCTGTTTTGGAAGGAGCACCACAGCCATCGTTCTTAGCCAGACATCCCCAAACTCAGCCCTCCAGCTGTTTTGGGACTACAACTCCCATCATCCCTGACCACTGGTCCTGTTAGCTAGGGATGATGGGAGTTGTAGTCCCAAAACAGCTGGAGGGCCGAGTTTGGGGATGCCTGCACTTAGCAGTATTGGACTTTTATTTTCTGTCTAGCTTTAACACAATGCATGTCTGCAGGAATAAGTTATCATTCCTTCGATAGCTTGGAAGGCCTTCTGCTTCCACAGCCGATGCCCAGTAATCTCTCATCCTTTTCCTGTGGTTGTGAGCTACAGGCACATGAGGTCATTGCATGGCCACAGCTTTACATGCTCTGTCCGCCACCGCTTTTGTGGTCTCCCTCCTGCATCATAAAGGCAGAAATAGCCCATGGCACCGAATATGGTGGCTAGATTGTCAACAGGGACTAGGTGCACTGGCTCTACATTAATTTCTGGAGATGCTGTTCTTAGTCTATACAGCCCTACATGGTTAATGACTCCAAGTATCTGACAGAAAGTGTCTTCCCACCTGTGCCTCCAAGGGCTTTCTGAGGTGCAAAGGGTGGCAATGAAGGAGTGAGTCTTCTTAGTAATGGCCCCAACTGATGAATACTCTTTCCCAAAAAAAGGCCCTCCTGGCATTTGCATTAATGTTGTTTCCATGCCATGAAGGGACTTCTCTTTTCTCCCAAGTCGTTTAAACTGTTTAAACTGCTTTATTATTTCCTATATTGCTTTCCCCCTGTGAACTGATGGTGATTCCTTCTCTAGTATTGAGGTATTAGCTGCTTGGCTCAGTGTGTTGCTTCTACTGACCAACGGGTATATCATTATTGGATCATTATTAACATTTCATTTGTACATCATCTAAAGGCTGTGGGAGCAGGCAAGTAACACATCTGGTAAATAAATGAACTGCCCTACTCACAAGCATGGCAGTGTCAACAGGTGAGGCTGAGAGGAGCAACCCTCCACTGGGTGCCCAGGCCAGGCTGCTGACGGGGCTGTGACCAGGGTGGCTGAGTACTTGGGCGCAGCCAGATGAAGGCCTGTTGGGGGACAGGAGAGAGACAATATTATTCCTCCACAGGCAGAAGGAATGCAAACAAAGAAGCAGTAATAAGCAGGGCTATGTATATTCTGTACACCTGAGATTACACAGCTGTCCTGCAGTCCATCATCCTGAGAATGCTTGCTTTGACTGTATATGCAGCTATAGAAATCGACAACATGTACATTGCCAAGTGAAATACCAGGAGCCAGAGAAGGCAGAGATGAACATCAAAAGCAGGGGTTGGGAACCCTTTCGCACCCTGATGGCCATTCTCTCTTGTGGGCAACCTTTCAGGGGCCACATAACAGTGGTGGGTGTAGTCAGAGCAAAAATGATCCCCATCCTTATCCAGGCAAGCAAGAGCTATTATGAGCATTGAGTACATTCCAGCCAGGAAGAACCGCAAGTGGAGGGCACACACCAGGGTCACTGAGAGCTGAGGCCTGGGGAGGGGGTTATAATCTTGAGGGTCAGATAGAGAGGCATGGGGGACCACATTCAGGCCACAGACCTGAGGTTCCCCACCCCTGATCCAACCTTCAGCAAAGTATCCACCCCACAAGGGGAGCAAAAGTGTACTGATTTGCTTGCACCATCTTATCAGATCGGATGGGGGGGGGCTCAAGAGAGGTACAGACAGTTTTCTGAAAAATGTGGAAAAACAGGTGGATAAAGGTTGTGGAAGGGGGAAGATCAGCTACTTGGCATCTTCTGTGGCCCTTCTTTATGTGCCTCTTCCATGAGAGGTCCGGAGAGTGGCAACACGAGAACACGCCTTTTCTGCAGTGGGTCTCCATTTGTGGAATGCTCTCCCCAGTGAGGTTCGCCAGGCGCCTTCATTATACACCTTTAGGCACCAGGCAAAAACGTTCCTCTTTAACCAGGCCTTTGGCTGATTGACATCTGATGCCCTTTTAAAATGTGTTTGGGAGGAGGGGAATTATTGGGTTCTTTCTGGTTTTGTTTTTATTATGTATTTTGTGTTTTAATATTGTGATTTTATGCTGTGAACTACCCTGAGACCTGTGTGTATAGGGCACTATACAAATTAACAACAACAGGATAGCCTTTAAAGACAGAGCCCAGGGTGAGAAAGGAATCCCTGACGATCTCAAGCACCTGAAACCTGCTAAGTCAGGAATGGCGGAAACTGTGGGGGCTCTCCCATTGCTGACTCCTAGCTCCCATCAGCCCCAGCCAGCACTGCTGATGATTAGGAATGTTGAGAGTTGCAGTCAAGCAACATATGAAGGCCTCATATGTTGCTTGCCGAGTGTTTCTTTACAGCTCAGATCGTGGCGATAAGCAGCCACTGGGCCATTCAAACTTCAGACAGGCCCTGCAGCCTTTACCTGGTGGAAAGCGAAGTGGGGTCCAGATGCCAAACCAGCACACAGCTGTGGCATGCCACGGCAAGGATAGATGCGCACAGTGGCTTCCATGCCACTGATGCCACGTTCCTCTGCAAGCGATGCTTCAAGATCGGGATGGTGGCACTGCAGAAGAGAAGCAGGGAAGAGGGAACCACAGAAGAAATTGAACCAGAAACTTTCCAGCTAAGGAGATATATCATGGGCTATATCAGAACAAGAACTGGCAGCTCTGATTGGCCCATGACCACCCTGTGATCTTCGTAGCCAAGGATTCTGAAGTCACATTCAAGCCCAAAACTTTTGGCCACAGCGTTCTGCTGGTTCACAGGGCCGACTGGACCTCTGTTCATCCTTTATGCCACTTAGCACAGCCACGACAACTACTTTTAGCCCCTTGTTTACAATGGCCAATGGTGCTATGGTCAATGGTGTTGAGTTCTACAGAGGGCACGGGCAAAAGATGGTGCAGAAGTCCCCTGCGGTCTGTTCCTGGAGGGGGATTTAATTAGCACCTGCAGGTTGCTAGGATCCTAGGAAGAATGCTGGACTAGTTCAATCTGGCTTTGACCCAGTCAGCAAGACACTTATTATTTTCTAAGGAGTGCACACTCAGGAGTACTTAACATTGGTAAGTTATGCTTAACTGACAGGAGATCTGATGTATGTACTCTTGCATTGTAAAGTTCAGAATGCATCCACGGGCCATGAGGTCACTGGATTAATTAAAAAATACAGTGGTACCTCGGGTTACAGACGCTTCAGGTTACAGACTCCACTAACCCAGAAATAGTACCTCGGGTTAAGAACTTTGCTTCAGGATGAGAACAGAAATCGTGTGGTGGCGGTGCGGCAGCAGCAGCAGGAGGCCCCATTAGCTAAAATGGTGCTTCAGGTTAAGAACGGTTTCAGGTTAAGAACGGACCTCCAGAATGAATTAAGTACGTAACCAGAGGTACTACTGTATATATATTGTGCAAGACTGAGGTCAGAGCACCCATATGGCAGATTACACTCCTCTGGGAATTTTAACTCGTATTTGTCCCCAACGCCCTTGGCCAGCTTAGTCCCATGTCAGCACTGAGGTCTGCCAACCTATTATAGCCTGGGAAATAATTACGTAAGTCAATTCAAACCTGGAAATGGCAGGAGAGAGCTGGAGTGTCCTCATGGCTCTTGTGGAGACCTTCCCAGGAGCCCAAAGATGATGTCTATGAGGGTGGAGGAAGCCCTGAAGAGCCCAGGGGGGCTTTGTTTATACTGCTCAACCTCCCCACATGACAGGGGATGTGAGAGTTAGCACAGCAGCCGCAGCCGCTTTCCTGTGTGTCCTTCAGCCTTTTGCCGGCCCCTGAGCTTCAACTCTAGTTGTGAATACAGTATTTTTTGCTATAGATTGAAGGGAGAGCATCAGAGAGGATGTTTAAAGGGTGCTCCCCACTTACGCGATTTTCACTTATGCATGCAGGGGCACCGAACATAACCCCCGTGTAAATAGGGGAGGGGGCGCCTGTATTCTTTTCCGAGGCTCAACTCGCTTATTGGGTTGTTGTTGTTTTTTTAAAAAAACAAGATTACTCTTATTTGTATTTAACTCAGTTATTTTCCTTGCCCTGAGATGACAAATTTGCAAACCATTATGCTAGGTTGCACTGCTGCTGCTGCTGCTGCACACTGCTAGAGAGATTATGGCATGCTTTGTTCAGAGTTGCCTGTGAGCAGATAGATGGGGCCCTGCCAATCCTAACAGAAACTTGGCTGCTCAGGTGCGGAGAGGAAAACCCCAACCCCCTCACCTGCTTGCGTTGTAAACACGGATGGAGTCATCCAGCAGGGCCACAGCAAACTTGCTGGTGTGAGGATGCCACGCGAAGGCTCGGATTGAGCAGCCTGCCCTGGAGGGTGAAGACAGGAAAGGGTAAGGGAGCATTAGGCAAGTTTCATTACACAAAGAGTCAGGTGGCAGCTAAGGTATGTGGAAGCTAGACACATTTGGGTGGATGGGACCCAGAGTACACACTCAAGGAAGGCTACATGCAAAATGCTCACCCCTGAGCAGACTATATTCATCTTGTATACATAAGCAGGATGGCTGAGTACTGGTTTAAAGGAGGAGCTCCTCCATCACCAATATTTCACTGCATAACTGCAGGTGAAGTGAGGATCCTTGTTTGTGCTAATAATTATAAATGAAGAACCAATGAGTGGTAGTTATTCCAGGTTCATCAATCTAGTGAATATAAGAGTGGGGAAAAGGCCAATGCATGTTTGTATGGGTGCAGATCATCCCGCAGGGACCGCTTGGGAATAAGTCATTCATACCTATACTGCACAGTTTTAGTGCCTAGATCCAAGGTTCAATCTCACCGCAAGACGAATGCCTCGCAAGACGGAAAACCCGCTAGACGAAAGGGTTTTCTGTTTTTGAGTTGCTTCGCAGGACGAATTTCCCTATGGGCTTGCTTCGCAAGACGAAAATGTCTTGCGAGTCTTGAGATTTTTTTTCCGCTCCCCCCCCCCTTTATCTAAGCCGCTAAGCCTTTAATAGCCTTTTAGCAGCTAATCCGCTAAGCCTTTAAGCCTTTAATAGCCGCTAAACCGCTAATAGCGCTAATCCGTTAAGCCGCTAATAGGGTTGCTTCGCAGGACGAAAAAACCGCTAGACGAAGACACTCGCGGAACGGATTAATTTCGTCTTGTGAGGCACCACTGTACAGGAAGATGTAAACAAATGTGCCACTGCCTCCTTGCTTCAGATCGAAGATGAAGCAGAGCTTTCCTCTACACCCACTGGGTACTTGAAGCTTGGGGGGGAAAGGCAGAGGAAGCTGAGCCATCTCCGGCTCTCCTCTTTAGCTCCAAGCTAGAGAAGGGAGCTTGCCTTTACAGCCGAGGGATGCTCCCAGTGTCCCTTCTGTACAGGGGCAGAGCAAGCCTCTGAGCTGTTGGAGGGGGGCTTGTTTTCTGCACCCCACAGCTTTAAACTCAGAGCTGAAAGGCGATTTCCCCCTAGAACTGAATTTGAGATATAGCATAAGGTCAGGGGCAATCCTTGCCCTGATGGCAACTGGTTTTTTGGACAGTCAAAGCCAGCGAAAAATTGCTGTCCCCTGCCTAGCACCTAAGTAGATGGGAAACTGCTCAAAACCTCACATGCATGCCAAGAAGCGTACACATACATACACACACACAAACAAACACGGGTGGGGAGATAACTTACCAATCCACAGCCTGGGAGAACTGTGCTATCATGTCTTCACTTTGCAGCTTTGGAGGAAATGATAGACAGAAAAATTTAGTACTTCTAAGAGCAGCCGCTCATGATGTGACCCAGCTTTAAATCTGGATCTGAAGCAAGCTACGTCTTGAACACAGTTTCAAGGGAACTGGTGGGTGGCCAACATGTGAATGGGGTGGGGAATAAGATTCCTTCTAGAAATAAGGGAGAGGGGTAACCATGCAATTAGTGTTCAGTTGCCATGGCTGTCCTCCCTCCCCCCTGCTCCCAGTGTGGACCATTAGACTGCCAATGTTCTTCGGTCCTGCTCAGGCCTACTTTGCACAAGCCTCACCGACAAATGGGGAAAGAAGGAGCCATGGAGAGAGGAGACCCAACAGCAGAGTGCTAATGTGTAGCGGGATCCTGCTTTCATCCATCGGAGAGCTGCAAAGGCAAGGAAGGAGATGGTGGAAGAAATCTGAGCCATTTGTCAAAGCAGTGTGGAGCCTCAAGACAGGATTTGGCAAGCAATGGGTCTTAATCCTGTACCCCGGATGGGGTGGGGGGATTAAAAGCAGCCCCAAAGAAAAAGACAGTGTGACATCGAAACATCTTTGCAGTGAGTTTAAAGCAGGGATGGGGAGCCTGTGGCCCTCCCTCTGTTGTTGCATCACAGCATCCATCAGCCCCAGTCAGCATGGCCAATGTTCGAGGTTGATGGGAGTTGGAGTCCAATAAAATCTGGTGGCCTCAAGTCCCTTGTACCTGGTTTAAAGTGGGCAATGGGTCCAATATGTACAACTGTATTGAAAGCTACCTAGCTCCTTTGCAGAATCTGTCCAAGGCAGCTCATCCATCTCCTGGTCCAAGTCACCATCCTCCTCTGCATATGCAAGCTCTTCAAGCACTCCAGCGATTCCAACGTCACGCCTAGGGACAGAGCGTTTTGTGAAATCTCCTGCACATCAACGGGGGGAGGTGGCGCTGTGCAAATGTTATTTTCATTGTGCAAGCTACTAATGGGCAAATATGCTATTTAATAGCAAAAGGGGGGTGCATGTAAGGAGTGCAAAACTTTCCTCCCAGGGACCAGTTATCTCCCTATAGTCTGACCTTGCTCTTCAAAGGTGCTTTCTCCTCAGTGGTGCTCTGATAGCAGCATAGGTAAAGGTAAAGGGACCCCTGATCATTAGGGTCCAGTCGTGGCCGACTCTGGAGTTGCGGCGCTCATCTCGCTTTACTGGCCAAGGGAGCTGGCGTACAGCTTCCGGATCATGTGGCTAGCATGACTAAGCCACTTCTGGTGAACCAGAGCAGCACACGAAAACACCGTTTACCTTCCCGCCAGAGCGGTACCTATTTATCTGCTTGCACTTTGACGTGCTTTCAAACTGCTAGGTTGGCAGGAGCAGAGACCAAGCAACGGGAGCTCACCCCGTCGCGGGGATTCGAACCGCCAACCTTCTGATCAGCAAGTCCTAGGCTCTGTGGTTTAATCCACAGTGCCACCTGCGTCGCTTAGTACTTGCCTAAGTGAGAAAGCTTTGCATGGTGGGCTGTGGGGAGGCAATCAGTGAGCAGAAGGAAGGAGGAATTTGCACTCTTCCCCTCTGTGCCCCATCTGCTGTTAAGACTGGGTTCTTCCTCCCTCCCCAGCCTTCTCGGCTCATCCCTTTTACTATGTGACTGGGGCAGATCAATGTTTTAACTCCCAGGTCAGATCAAATTTGGTCCATACTCACCAGGCATTGATGCACCTCTTCCATAGTGACTCACGGTGATGGATGAAGGCAGGTTTAGTGCTGTGTTCCTGTCGACTGTGAGCTTTCAGAGTTTCTTTGGGGATGGTCAGGACAGGCAAGTCTTCTAGCTGTACAGCCAACCAAGACAATCAATAGTAAGTGAAAAGGCCTGGGGGGGGGGATGCTTGAACAAACAAACAAAACTAGGAAAGAGAATCAACCAAAACAAAAGTTTTGTTTTACACTGCATTCCACAGATGCAGTAACTGGAATTCATGGGTACAGAATTCAGAATAGGTAAAATTTCGCACTTTGTGGGAGAAGAGGAGCACATTTCTAGTCCTTCAAGCTGATTGAAGCACTGGAAAATGTGCAGGCAACACATAGTGAAACAAAAATAGCCAGAAACCGGGTCTACGTAGGACTTTTCTTATTAAAGGTGTGAAGCTTCATGCGCTGCATAGAACTTTGCTCTTCTTTATGACTAGCAGAAATAGAATGAATTGGGAAAATAAATGTGCAAATCTGCATAAGATATATAGGTCACAGAATTCAGGTGTGGAACGTAACTTTTTACTCCTATTTTAAGTATCTAGTACATCAGTGATGTCCAACCAGTCGACTGTGATGATACAGTACATGATACAGGCAACTTCCATCTTGTGCATGTTTGATGTATGCATAACCATGGATCCACACACCACATTCAGCACCAGAAGAGGGCGGAAGAAGCTTACACGCACTCCACTGACACATGCCATGACCTGGAACGTAACCCCTGCGTAAACAGGGAGTTGCCTATATTTGTTTACTAAATATGCCCACCAGTATTCTTTTCAATAATTTTCTCTGGCTGACTGCTCCTTTTCTGGCTGCACATTTATGTGACAAACAGCATGTTCAATTAGTAGTTATGGAAGCCTTTTGACAGCCAAAATGACTCAAGTACAAGCTAGAACATCTATTCTCTCATCGCTACCTAACATTAGTTTCTTCCTGTGACTGAAAACTGTTGCTTACCTGTCCTTGGAAAGAAAGTGGAAGCTTCTCAAAGCTGCGGCCAGAAACCAGGGCATTATTAAATTCATAAAGCGTGATGTCTCCCGGAGGCGGAGGGGGTGGGAAGAGCGCTAGGGAACACATCCTCCTGGGGATCCAGACAAAAAGCCACAAGTTGCAGTGAGAGAGAAAAGATTTTGCTTGTTCAGTGCCATCAAATATACCATTTTCATATTTTTCTAGTAATCAGTATGATTGGACTATAAGTTTACTGAATTTCCAGGCAGCTTGGAAGAACCACCACTTCAAAAGTACTTCAGGACTTTCATTTTTGAGGGGAAGGGGAGTCGTTTTCAGATTCTTCTAGGAACTGAGATGTCTTAGAAGATACATGTGCTCATTAGGAGGTATCCTAACAAGTCCAACCACCCCAGTCAGTATGTTCTGCATGTCTTTATAGGGAGAACATAAAAACATTGACTAGTGTATACAGTATGTTTAGTGGGAAAGAGCTGAATGAATCCAGACTCCTCCTGCTGAATTGGTGCTATCAACAGTGATCTAGCCAGTGCTACAGCTCCTGGACTGGGCATGCGCAGTATAAGAAAGAAAGAGATAAAATGCTTATGAATATATACAATTGTGAGTCATTTTCCTGTATAAAGTGTTACTTACTTCCAACCAAATATGTACAGGATCGGGTTCTAAGTGTTCTCAGGTGGCGTTAAAGAGAGATTCAACAAAAAACATTAACGCACTATTGTTTTGTCAAAGACACGTTGCAGAAAAGTCTGAGGGGCCACGGTCCACTTTTGTTAAGTAAGGGAATTGTAAATAGCAAGCGTCTGAAATGCAGGGGCAATGTCAACCAGGTGAGTAGCCCCCAGAACATTATGCCATAGGTCTGATTCCTGATGGCAAAAAAAATATATATGCCATAGGTATATGTATTTTGCAATGAAAAGTTCAACCAGAGGATTTTGACCCTAGTAACATACTAATGGCTGGGGGAACATGCTTCTAAAACATGCAAAAATGTTCCTCTATAACCAGGACTGTGGCCTTCAACTATCTGTGGCTGTTTAGAAGTGGGTAGCGTGTTTTTACTGCATTTCTTTTTCGTTTTGGTTTTAATGTGTCTGCGTGGGGTGGGTTGTTTCCCGCCACCCTTGTTGGTCCATTTCATAAATTATAGAATTGTAGAGTTGGAACGGACCACCTTAAGGCCATCTAGCCCAATCCCTGCAATGCAGGAATCTCAGCAAAAGCATCCATGACAGATGGCCACCCAACTTCTGCTTTGAAACCTCCAAGGAAGGAGTGTCCACCACCTCTTGTGGGAGCTTGTTTCATTGTCAAACAGTTATTGCTGTCAGAAAGCTCTTTCTGATGTCTACAGTAGTTGGAATCTCCATTCCTGTTAACTTGAATCCATTGGTTCTGGTCCTACCCTCTGGGGCAGCAGAAAACAAGCTTTCTCCATCCTCCATGTGGTAGCCTTTTAGATATTTGAAGAAAGCTACCATATGAACACTGGGAGGAGTGTGGGGAGAGAGAAAATGCCATGGTGCACCTGCAACAGTGAAACTAGATACCTCCATCTGCAACAAAACATGTCTCTCCTGTATCGCTCTCGACAGCAGGCGCTGTGACTCTCCAACAGTTTGACTTTAACCCCCAAAGCACACTCCTACACTGTCTCTTCAGACAGATGGATGCCAACAACCACCACATCTCCTCTCAGTCTCCTCTTTTCCACACTAAACATACCCAGCTCCCTCAACCATTCCTCATATGGCTTGGTTTCCAGACCCTTGATCATCTCGGTCGCCCTTGTTTGGTTGTTAAGTTGCTTTGGGTCGCCCATGATAAAGCAACTAACAAATTCAACAAATGACGACATACTTATTCCAGAGCTTCTTTAATTTTTTTACACTACCCAAAGATACAGCTTCCTATTTTTGTCGATGTAAATCAAGAGCAAGTTAAAACTTAACTTTCAGGGTTCAGTTCGCTTGTTGTGGTGATACTGCGAATACCCTTAACGGCGGCACAGAAAACTGTCAACTTTAATGCAGGATTTAGTCCAGGATTTTAAAAATGCTGCTTGGCATCCAGGGGAGCATTATTATTTACAGTGGTATCTCGGGTTAAGAACTTAATCCGTTCCGGAGGTCTGTTCTTAACCTGAAACTGTTCTTAACCTGAAGCACCACTTTAGCTAATGGCGCCTCCCGCTGCTGCCGCTGCACGATTTCTGTTCTCATCCTGAAGCAAAGTTCTTTACCCGAGGTGCTATTTCTGGCTTAGCAGAGTCTGTAACCCGAAGTGTCTGTGACCCGAGGTACCACTGTATTGGCTGCCTCCCATGCACGTCACAATGCCATGTACAAAGTGCAATAAAAGCAGCGGGAAGAAATAGCAAGCTGCTCCTGTTGGCCAGAGGGTGGTGCTGATAACGCCAAGGGGGCAGGTGCCACCCCTATATGGGGCAGCTATATATTCCTGCAATGCGGGGAGGGGGGCTGGACTAGATGACCCTCAGGGTCCCTTCCGACTCTACGACCCTGAGATGCCGAGGCCTTGCGCTGCAGAGGCAGGGCGGGCTGGTGAAAGAGAGGGCAGCGGCGACGCCTGCACTTCCACAGGTGAGGAGAAGGAGAAGGGGGAAATTCAACAGGTGCGGGATTGCCTGACCCCGGGGCTGGCAACTCATCGCTTAAAAGCCCCATTCCTCGATTAATAGGGGGTTAATAGGCCTGCCCACCCACCACCCGCTTCGGAAGCGGCCCTCACTCACCCTCAGGCCCGCCGCTTTCGACGCAAACTCCTCACAGCCGACTTTGGCTTTTCCCGGGCGCCGTTCGGGCAGCGGCGACGGGAGCCGCGAGGCGCCACAAGAGCCCGGCAAGCGAACGCCTCGCGCAGCCGCAGTCGAGGAGGGGAGAGCGTTGGCTTCCATATGGCTGAGCTCGCCACCTACTGGCTCTGGCGGGCTTCTCTTCCCCAGTCCGGCGCGCGGTGCTTTCTTAAAGGGGCCGACGCCCGGTTGCAACACACACAAGAGGCTGGCGGGTTGCAGGCTGATACTATTGAATTCAAGGGCCGGTCTCCCAGCCAAGGTGATGTGGTGCCGTGCGCTGCAACATACCTCCTTTCGCAGTAAGACTTGCATGCATGGGCATAGCCAGGATTCCCACCCCCGCTGTTTTTCTGTTCTCTGCATTTTTATTTTGTACTTTTCAAGTTTATACATTTCACAAATTTTATGCATTTCTCTAATTTTGCAATCATTTTGACATTTCAAAACTTGACTTCCTTCCCCCTCCTTCTACAGTTCCTTAAATTTATTTTTAATATCTTCTGCATATTTAAATTCTTAATTTGCTCATTTTGTTGTTGTTGTTTAGTCGTTTAGTCGTGTCCGACTCTTCGTGACCCCATGGACCAGAGCACGCCAGGCACTTCTGTCCTCCACTGCCTCCCGCAGTTTGATCAAACTCATGCTGGTAGCTTCAAGAACACCATCCAACCATCTCATTCTCTGTCGTCCCCTTCTCCTTGTGCCCTCCATCTTTCCCAACATCAGGGTCTTTTCCAGAGAGTCTTCTCTTCTCATGAGGTGGCCAAAGTATTGGAGCCTCAGCTTCAGGATCTGTCCTTCCAGTGAGCACTCAGGGCTGATTTCCTTAAGAATGGAGAGGTTTGATCTTCTTGCAGTCCATGGGACTCTCAAGAGTCTCCTCCAGCACCATAATTCAAAAGCATCAATTCTTCGGCGATCAGCCTTCTTTATGGTCCAGCTCTCACTTCCATACATCACTACTGGGAAAACCATGGCTTTTACTATACGGACCTTTGTTAGCAAGGTGATGTCTCTGCTTTTTAAGATGTTGTCTAGGTTTGCCATCGCCTTTCTCCCAAGGAGCAGGCGTCTTTTAATTTCGTGACTGCTGTCACCATCTGCAGTGATCAAGGAGCCCAAGAAAGTAAAATCTCTCACTGCCTCCATTTCTTCCCCTTCTATTTGCCAGGAGGTGATGGGCCCAGTGGCCATGATCTTCGTTTTTTGATGTTGAGCTTCAGACCATATTTTGCGCTCTGCTCTTTCACCCTCATTAAAAGTTTCTTTAATTCCTCTTCACTTTCTGCCATCAAGGTTGTGTCATCTGCATATCTGAGGTTGTTGATATTTCTTCCAGCAATCTTAATTCCGGCTTGGGATTCATCCAGCCCAGCCTTTCGCATGATGAATTCTGCATATAAGTTAAATAAGCAGGGAGACAATATACAGCCTTGTCGTACTCCTTTCCCAATGTTGAACCAATCAGTTGTTCCATATCCAGTTCTAACTGTAGCTTCTTGTCCCACATAGAGATTTCTCAGGAGACAGATGAATTTGCTCATTTATTCATCTTTAAATATACACTCTTATAAAACTGCAGGTTATTACGATAATCCTGCCAATGTTTTTATCTGTTTATAATTTATCTGTAAATGTTCAATAAACCATTTCCATTCTTTTATTTAAAAATTGTTATCTTGATTTCTTATTCTTCTGGTAAGTTTCGCCACTTCTGCATACTCCGTAAGTTTTTGTATCCATTCTTCCTTGCCTGGGACTTCTGCTTCTTCCCATTTGGGGGCAAGTAACGTTCTTGCTGCTGTAGTAGCATACATGAATATGTTTCTACAGTGGTACCTCAGGTTACTTATGCTTCAGGTTACAGACTCCACTAACACAGAAATAGTGCTTCAGGTTAAGTACAGTACGTTGCTTCAGGATGAGAACAGAAATCGTGAGGCACGGCAGCAGCAGGAGGCCCCATTAGCTAAAGTGGTGCTTCAGGTTAAGAACAGTTTCAGGTTAAGTACGGACCTCCAGAATGAATTAAGTACTTAACCCGAGGTACCACTGTATATGTTTTAGGTAGTTCTGTCCCTATAATTCCCCAAAGAAAAACTTCTAGTTGTTGTTTTTTTTACAAAGGTTATTTTAAACATCCTTTTCATTTCATTCTATATCATTTTCTTTTCTGTTTTCTTTTCCCAGTCACTTCTGTTTTCTTCACTTCTCTCTTCCCACTGTTATCTCTTAGTCCCATGTCGTGGGTCTCCATTTATGTGATTTTCACCTGTGGCCCCCTTGGAATATCTTGGGGGTGGCCAGGGGCCCATATGCTTGGGAAACACTGTTGTGAAGCCACCCATAAAATGGGATAAATGTCCCAGAGAGGTTGCAGTTCTTTTGTGACAACGAGATAATCTTTTCTAGAGGCCCTGCTCTTGGAGTATGGAAATTTAGAACTGATGAAGCTTTTCCCACCAGGGATATAAATGGTGGGGAAAGCTTCACCTGTCTGAAGTTAATGTGAAGGAATGCTCCATACTCAAGGCCCTGCCAGGGAGAAACTAAGAAAGAATGAAATCAAGATACACTATGCCCACAGCATTCCCCTGATCCACCAAGCTTGTAACTCCATCAGGAAAAGAAATGAGATTTGTCTGGCATGACTTGCCTTTGAGAAACCCATGCTGCGTCTTAGGAATTGCAGCATCCTGTTTGTTATGTACTGAGTTGAATAGGATCCAAAATGCAGCAGTCTGATTGGTCCTAGAACAATAGGATCCAAAATGCAGCAGTCTGATTGGTCCTAGAACAATAGGATCCAGAATGCAGCAGTCTGATTGGTCCTAGAACAATAGGATCCAGAATGCAGCAGTCTGATTGGTCCTAGAACAATAGGATTCAGAATGCAGCAGTCTGATTGGTCCTAGAACAAGGTAGCAATATGATTGGTCTGCAGGAGCCACCCAAACCAGCTCCAGATGGAAGTGAATCCACAACCTGATCGGCCTACAGGAGAATTCTGCAATTAGCCAATCACGTGGGGCCCATTGTGTAAATAATGTATATAAAGCAGATATTTTGGGGGAACTTTCATTCCTCCTCCCACTATGAGCTGAATAAAGAGCCTGAAATCCACTCTCGACTCAGAGTATATTTCACTGTTCTAAGAGCTCACAGACCTGCTGGGATGCTTGGGATAAGGGGAGTTTGGGATGGTGGGATGGGGTGGCCCCATCTCTTGTAGAAAGGGTGGGGGCTGCCCCTATTTTGGGTTGTGGGGACTGGGCAGCAGGCTGCTCCTTCTCTTGGTGTAAGGAGGGTTTGGGGCTGCCTTTCTATTGGGGTGACATGAGGACCGCACCTTCTCTTGGGGGGGGTGTTCCTGGTGGAAGCTGCCCCCATCTCTCCTGGGGGGCTGTGGTGTTAACTGCCCCCTTCCCTCGTTGGGGGACCTGGGAAGGGGAGGGGGTTAGGAGGACCTGCATGCCCTAAGGGTCTTCCTGGCAGCCTCTGGGCTGAAATGAAAAGAAAAAGAGAGGGACACTTCATTCATTCATAAAATTATTTCTATACTGCTTTGTCTCATACACACACACACACATTCATGGAAGCTGTTCACAGCAATCCAAGCCATAGAATAATTAAAGACAGGCATGCATTAACCCTTTCTGGAGGGCTGTGTCATCCTTTGGTCATGAATATAAGGCGTGTGGCTAAGTGCATGCCTACAAGTATACAGAAGCACAAATACAGTCCCATACCCTGAAAGAAAGCGCTGTGGAAAAATGCGAGTTGCCCTTTAAATTTAAAATCCCTTTAGGAACAGCTGGTCTCTCTAGGAAAAACTGTGCAAGTAGCAGGCTAGGCTCTGCAAAACCTTTGCAGAATAGCTTGTCAGCACCTCATCCATCAAACAGCAGACACCACCTTGTGGAAGTTATTATCATTAAATGTATTTATTAAAAGTGTACATTGCCCTTAATCTACAGAACTCAGGGTGCTGACAACATAAAAATGCAATATAAAAGCACTAAATACATGACAACATGAACAAAAAATAAACAAACAACCCACCCCCCACCCACCAAATAATAACATTATTAATTAAGGCCTATAAACTCACTTTTATGAATAAAAAACTCTGTAAACATTAAAATAAAATGTTCCATTTTGTTAATCTTCAATCCAAATTTTAAGATTAATTTTTTCAATCTATTTGTCAATTCCTGCTCACTGGAGTCATCTGTTGGGGCCGGCTGCAGCCACGGACGGCTTTTATTTACAATATTTTGTTCAGGTTGGCACCCATAGGTGCCAGGTCCAGGGGGGTCCAGGGGGGCCTGGGCACACATATTTTTTTCCATGGACCATTTATTGATGTTCCAGTGCATATACATAATATTTACATAGAATTTCATATTTCCTATACAGTGGTACCTAGGGATGCGAACGGGATCCGTTCCGGAGACCCGTTTGCATCCCAAAGCGAATGTAACCCGTGTCTGTGCATGTCGCGTTTTGGTGCTTCTGCGCATGCGTGTGACATCATTTGACGGTCTGCGCATGCGCACGTGGCAAAACCCGGAAGTAACGTGCTCCGTTACTTCTGGGTCGCCGCGGAGTGCAACCCGAAAATGCTTATCCTGAAGCATATTCATCCCCAGGTATGACTGTAGAGTGGTACCTCAGGTTAAGTACTTAATTCGTTCCAGAGGTCTGTTCTTAACCTGAAACTGTTCTTAACCTGAAGCACCACTTTAGCCTATGGGGCCTCTTGCTGCTGCCACGCCGCCGGAGCACGATTTCTGTTCTCATCCTGAAGCAAAGTTCTTAACCCGAGGTACTATTTCTGGGTTAGCAGAGTCTGTAACCTGAAGTGTATGTAACTTGAAGCGTATGTAACCCAAGGTACCACTGTGGTCAAATTATCATTATAGAATGGGACATCCCTATTTCCATGGGAGAAATGTTGGAGGGTATGTCTTTGGGCATTTGTGGAAAGTTCTGCCAAGAGGACTATGTCACTGCAGGTCTTTTGAAAAGGTCCTTAAGGCTTGTTTATTTTCTATTGCATTCTCTTGGATTTTTTAATACAGTGGTACCTCAGGTTACATACGCTTCAGGTTACAGACTCCGCTAACCCAGAAATAGTGCTTCAGGTTAAGAACTTTGCTTCAGGATAAGAACAGAAATCGTGCTCCGGTGGCACGGCAGCAGCAGGAGGCCCCATTAGCTAAAGTGGTGCTTCAGGTTAAGAACAGTTTCAGGTTAAGAAAGGACCTCCAGAACAAATTAAGTACTTAACCCGAGGTACCACTGTACTGTATTTATACATTCACATTTTCTATTACATTGTAGATCCAAATTTAGTTTTTACTTAGTTATGTCACACATGAGACATATTATCTCTCCACCACTGACAAAGTGACACTAACAACAAAACAGGATGATCTCCGTCCCCCTCCTCTCCCTGCAGGGGTTATTCTTTATTCCCCCACTCCCAGATGCCTTGCTCAACCTCACCTCCCATGTCTCTTCCCCCCCAGGTTCTCTGTCGGGGAAAATGAAGGATCTCCAGGAGAAAGGGCCCCTCATTGAGGAGATCTGGGACCTCCTGCTTTCCCAGGTAAGGATCCCAGAGCAGGGCGGAGAGGCTGGCTGCAACTGGGAGGGGGCTGCCTGTGGGTCTTCAGTATCCTTGGGCCCTTGATTTCCTGATGCTCACCAGGCATGTTTCCTCTCTCTCCCCCGCCCCCTTCCTTCCTTCCCCCAGTTTGGTGTGGCTGCAAGCAAGGAGCTCCAGCAGGCCATTACCAAATGCAGCTTGCAGCAGGCCAGGGCCCTGGAGTTCCTTCAATCGAAGCAGCAGAGGGGTGTGTCATCCAGGTAAGCTGTGTGAGAAGAGGAGGCTGAGCTCGGGGAAGGGGCCTTTTCAGCTGCTGGCTTGGCACTGTCCCTCTTTTCCCATTCTGTGGGGGGGGGGGCAGGGAGCCTGTCCTCTTCTCCCTGCTGCTCAATCCCTGGGCAAATGCAAGAGAACCAGCCAGGTGGTGTAGATTAGGTGACATACTCTAGTTGCACGGCACCCAAATCTCCAGGTGGTGCGAGATTCCAGGGGGTCCGGGGGCTTTCTCTAGGTTTGGTTTCCTTGGAATGAGGGGCAGCCTCCTGTTCTGACAGCAGCCGTCCAGCTGCCCCGAAGGAGAAGCCCCATAGCAAGCAGGAGCTGAGCAGCAAGACTCACCCCACTTGCTTTGTTGCTTGTGATCCTGGAGGTGGCTGACTCTCTGCTGTCCAGAAACATGTTGTCTGTCTGCTTCCTTCTCTGCCTCTCCCAGGACATTGAGAGCAGCCCTGAATGCCACCACCGCCAGCTGACCGATTTCCTGGATTGTGAGCTGCGGCGCCTGGCCAGCTACTCTCTGCTGCTGAATAACACCATCCAGCACACTAATGGTTTGCGCTGGGAGCTGCTTTGGGTTTCAAACTAAAACGAAACCAACTTTGCCCGTGTCTCTCTCTCTGTCACCCTCTCGCTCTGCACCTTCTTCGCTCAGGGGCGAGCTGGGAGCACCACTACCTTTGCCTGGCACGCAGTGAGTGCAAGGAGATCCTTGAGGACGACCAGGCGGAGCTGAGGCAGGCAGAGAACCACCTATGGCTGCAAGCCTACCAACAGTCCCTGGATGCCCGATCCCTACGCAAGGGCAGCCGCCCACTGGCCAGGCACTTCCTGGTAGGGCCTCCTCTTTGCCCTCCCCTCCAATCCCTGGCCTTGTCCTGCTCTTCCCCTCCATGAAATGCTGCCTTTTTCTGCCCCTGCTGTGCAGAACCTTGACCTCACGGAGCACCACATAATCCAGGAGGGGCCTCTGCAGCTGCGCATCAGCAAGAAGACTGTGGGTATGTGGAAGAAATGACATCTCATGCCAAAACACACACACATGGTAGAGGCACAGGCCCAGTCACCGGAGTGGGTGGCAGGGGGCAAATTTTGATGGTGCCTGGACCCCCTGGACGTGGCACCTATGGGTGCCAGCTTGAACAAAACATTGTAAATAAAAGCAAAGACAAGGATCCTCACAGCAGTCCTGAGCAGTGGTGCTGGGAGGTCAGGGGCCCAGCTTAGACAAGGAGACTTGAATGGAACTTCTGCCTGACCATATGAGCAGGAATTGATAAACCAACAGCTGTTGGATAAGGAACTGAAGATGAGAAATAAATTGTCAAAGATAAGTACATTACATCAACTGCAACAGGGGGGAAACAGGGATGCAACAAGGAACTAGAGCCGGAAGTTAACTTTTTTGTCTTAAATTTGATGTAATTTGGCACTGATTTGTTAAAAAATTTTGGGGGGGGGGACCCCAATAAATATTGGCCCCAAAAAAGGAACTTCTGCCGGACAAATTGAGTCATCTTCAAGGAGAAGATCAACCACTGAATAACACAATATCTTCAGAACACTTTCTTTCCCTTCTGAACTTGTGTTTAGCAAAATAGTTGCTTTCCTCGCTTAAACAAGCCTCTGGGGCTAGCCTCAGGGGGGATCCAAACTCCCTTCTGCAACATAGAGTTTTGAGGAGGAAAATAGGCACTTGCCATCTGAAGCTATCGGAACAGGGTGGTGGGTTTTTTGGTGCTCATATGAGAAGATGCTGTAGAAGGGATTTCAACCCAGCTGGTTTTTGCTAGATGTTCCTCTTTTGCAGCAATTCACAGGCTGTGTAATGCTCCCACTGCTTCTCCTCATCTCCTGCAAAAGGGGGAGTCCAGTGGGGAGGGGTTAGGTACCCCTGAGAAGGTGGGCAGCCGCCACATGCCCCCATGGGAAACCTCCTGGGGACTTCTTGCCGACAGTGGGAGGGGCCAAGGCCCAAAGATTAGCAGCCATGGATGCAGCTCCCACTTCTGCCCTGTTGGCTACAGTCCAGCCAGGCCAAAAGTCACCCACCCCACCTCCTCTGCCCATGTGGCCTCTTATCAGGAAAGTGGTCCAGCCAGGCAAAGACCCTTAAGTGGAGTGTGGCGTCAATACAGGGACTTTGAGAGGTCTCTCAAAGACCCCTCCTCTGGCTCCCTCCTCCAGCTGCTTCTTGCTCCAGGGGCAGACGTTGCCCTCTGAGGCTTGGACCAGCTCCTTCTCCCTTGCCTGTGACTCCAGGTGAGCGCGGGGTGGTCGAGAACTGAGAAATAGTGGGGTGCGTGGCAAGGGCAGTTGAGGGGTATGGCAATGGAGCTCAAAGTGGAAACCTATTTTGTTTTCTTGGCCTGCGTGGACAAAGAGGGGCTGGCAAGGCTGGAGACCCTACCCCTACATGCCTGCTGTCTCTCATCCTTTTGACTTTGGTCCTCCCCTTCCAACTCACACAAACACACAAAGCTTACACTATTGCATCCTCTCAGGCTCTGGGTTTGGACACAAGATTCAACTCATTGCCCTGCCTCCCACAGCAGAGGCCATGTGCAGATGTTGGAAAGCGTTCAGAGGAGGAAATGGGACTGGAATAGCAAGGGTCTGCCCCCACCTTTGTGTCTTTGGCCTGCTAGGACACCCTCTCGCCCGACTCCTCACCTCCAGCCTCTCAAGCTTCCTTGGGATCTTCCTTGGGATTCTCTGGGTTCTTTATTCTTAGCCGCTCCACCTCTGCTGAGAGACAAGGAACCCTCAGTATAAAAAAGGTCAGTCTTTGAGATGCTTCCAGGCTCTTTGCAAACAGGGAGCCTGCTACCCAGGAAGTTACCTACTCTTGCCTCCTACGGGGCCCAGGAGTTCCCTGGGTGGCCAAGCAATCCCAATGAGCGAGGAACTGATGCCCACCACCCAGCCCTGTTCTCCATGCCCAAATGCCCATTGCACACCTGCTTAAATTCTACCCCAGGCCAGGAAACCTCAGGGAGATGGCACCTGGTGGGGCTGCCTGCAGGGCAGAATAATGGTTTGCCTGCTGGTTTTCGCACCCTCTCCAGATGGTGCAGCCACCTGCCAGGAAAAGCAGGAGGAGGGGAGACAGAGCGATTCTCTTAAAGCCCCAGAGGAGGGGCTTTGATTCGCCAGTTGGAAAGGCAGGCAACCAAAGTGTGACCCCACATTTATTTCATATACGTTTCATATATAATCTATCTATCTATCTATCTATCTATCTATCTATCTATCTATCTATAAGACACACATTCCTCTACCCTACTTTTTGACACTTAAGGTATGTCCCTCCCAAAATAGACCTCACTTCTGTGTTTATAACTTGTTTTAAACTGCTTGAATGGTTGTAATTCACCCCGGGAGAAGGGGAGGGGGGAGAATAAGAGGCAAACATCTTACGCTTATATGATCCTTTGGTTAGGGCTGGACATCACCATCAGAGAGACCATCAGTGTGCTGGATGGTGTTATTCAGCAGCAGAGAGTAGCTGGTCAGGTGCTTCATCTAGGACTCAAGGAAATCCTTTAGTTGGCAGTGGTGGCATTCAGGGCAGCTCTCGATTTTCTGGGAGAGGCAGAGAAGGAAGCAGACAGACAACATGTTTCTGGACAGCAGAGAGTCGGCCACCTCCAGGATCACAAGCCGCAAAGCAAGTGGGGTGAGTCTTGCTGCTCAGCTCCTGCTTGCTATGGGGCTTCTCCTTCGGGGCAGCTGGACGGCTGCTGTCAGAACAGGAGGCTCCCCTCATTCCAAGGAAACCAAACCTAGGGAAAGCCCCTGAATCCCTTTGGAATCTTGCGCCACCTGGAGATTGTGGTGGCGTCCAACAATAGTTTAGCACCCAAGAGCCACAGAAAAGGGTCACCGACCGTTCAAAGTGAATTTGAGTCATTTTGTACCTTGGTAGGTTCAACAAGCCATAGCACGCAAACCACAACTAACGCACGTATCATACTTTTTTGTAGAATGGGCTAACCATGAACTTGTTATATTTTAAAAATAAGAAGGGTGTATTTGTGGTTATAAAATATTTAAAAAGTAAGCTTTATTAATTATTTAATAAAACACGTCTCAAAACCCTTTACTGTGGCACTTAATACCATTTTTATGCCTTATTTTGATAGAGACCAAAATTAGCTTTATTTTGATACCAAAATAAGCCCAATTGCTTGACAAGAAAACAACAGGAGGTTTTTTTCTAAACTGACCCAGAAATTGCATTAGCCTAAATCATGTGAAAATAGAATTATTAAAAAATTTCTCCTGTGCCCAATTTTGGACAAAAAAAATCTATAAAAAATTAATTTAAGGCTACCTCATAGGCATCTACACACTAAATTTTTTTTGAAGTAAATCTGAGTTGTGAGAGCACGGTCGAGTATTAAAATCAGGTGATCTGGCGTGGAATGATCCCTAACTAACATCATCTGGCTGGTTCTTCTGCACTCTGGCATTTGCCCGAGGAGTGAAGAGCAGGGAGAAGCGGACAGGCCTCCTGCCCCCTCCCCCAGAATGGGAAAATAGCCCCCCAGGAGAGTGCCAAACCAGCAGAGAAGGCCCCTTCCGTGAGCTCAAACTCCTCTTCTCACGCAGCTTACCTGGATGAAGTGTTGCAAGTGAGCATCCTTCTGCTGCTTGGTCCGCAGGAACTGCAGGGCCCTGGCCTGCTGCAAGCTGAATTTGATGATGGACTGCTGGACCTCTTTGCTTGCACCCACGTCAAACTGGGGGTTAGGAAGGAAAGAAAGAAGGGGGCAGGGGAGAGGAAACAAGCCTGGTGAGCATCAGGAAATCAAGGCGCCCAACTCAACTGGAGACCCACAGGCAGCCCCCTCCCAGTTGCCACCAGCCTCTCCGCCCTGCTCTGGGATCCTTACCTGGGAAAGCAGGAGGTCCCAGATCTCCTCAATGAGGGGCTCTTTCTCCTGGAGATCCTTCATTTTCCCCAACAGAGAGCCTGGGAGGGGAGGGAAGATACATGGGAGGGGAGGTTGAGCAAGGCAGGGACAGAAGGGGGACAGAAATGGCCTGCTCTGTTTTGAGTGCCACTTGAGTGCTCAGTGGTGGAGAGACACTGTGTCTCATTTATTTATGTCATTTACATCCCGCTTAATGCTCTGGGATCATTACCTGGGAAAGCAGCTTAGGCATTGGTTCAAATTGAAGCTGACCCAGAAACTCCAGCGGGTGCAGAATGCTGCAGCGAGGCTCCTCCCGGGGTCTCTGCCATGGGAGCATATTCACCCAGTGCTTTTCAAACTGCTCTGGCTCCCGGTAGAGTACAGGGTCAGATTTAAGGTGCTGCTTTTGACCTTTAAAGCCCTTCACGGCCTAGGACCCTCGTACCTACGGGACCGCCTCTCCCGGTAAGCCCCACGGAGAGCTTCAAGGTCCATAAATAGCAACACCTTAGAGGTCCTGGGCCCTAAGGAAGTTAGATTGGCTTCAACCAGAGCCAGGGCCTTTTCAACTCTGGCTCCGGCCTGGTGGAACGCTCTGCCTCATGAGACCAGGGCCCTGCAGGATCTGCTGATAATATCCTGCTCATTGACATTTTAATAACTACACCTGAAATAGGAAAATATTGATAATCAAAATGTTTTTCCCCCAACCCACAATAAAACACAATAGAATGACAATGACTCAAATTCCACAGTATTGAGTTAGCAATACGAGCATATAAACACTGCCTTGCACAGACTCAGACCAATAGGCCACCTAATCTAATATAATCTACCTTGTTCCACAATGGCAGCTTTCCAGGGGTTTTAGTCTGTTGGTTGCTTCAAGATTCATAGGCAGAAGCCCTGGCCACCTGACACCCATCTGGCATCTTTGATATGTGAGCAGAGAGAATACAGGGGATGGCAAAAGAGAAAATACTGAACACAATCCTATGCACATCAACAGAAACAAAGTGCTGAATTACACTGATACTGAGAGCCAAGTCCCACAGTTCAAAGAGTCCCAACAGAGCATAGACTGGCAGAGTGAATGCTATGTCATACACTGATTAGAAATGGGCTTGGACAATTCGCACAGACCCCCATCACATTTTATGAGCCACAAATAAAACTGCAGGAATGGGGAACCTGTGGCCTTCCAGGTGCTGTCAGACTCCCAACTCCTATCAGACCCAGTTAGCATGGCTAATGTCAAGAGAGGGGATGGGGATGGTGGGAGTTAGAGTCCACAGCATCTGGAGAGGAATAAGATCCCCATCCCTGCAGAGAAAGGACAGTGACCCAGGAATACATTAAACTCTCCTGGTATGCCCCACGGAGGACCTCAAGGTCCATAAATAGCAACACCTTAGAGGTCCCAGGCCCTAAGGAAGTTAGATTAGCCTCAACCAGAGCCAGGGCTTTTTCAACACTGGCTCCAGCCTGGTGGAACGCTCTGCCTCATGAGACCAGGGCCCTACAGGATCTGATTTCTTTTGGCAGGGCCTGTAAGACAGAGTTGTTCCACCTGGCCTTTGGCTTGGAGTCAAATTGATTCCCTCCCTCTCTTTCTTTTTTCCTTTCCTTCTCCTCCTGCGATGAGGCTACATTTTAATATTTTAATGTCTCAATATTTTAATGTTGTATTTTAATTTTGTTTTTAAGTTGTAATCATTCAACTTGTTTTTATTATTGCTTGTAAGCCGCTCTGAGCCCAGCCTTGGCTGGGGAGGGCGGGGTATAAATAACAATTATTATTATTATTAAATTGGTTGGTGGAGGGGTAAGTATCTACCCCTCCAAGGGAATTCCGTTAAAGGAATCCAGGGGCTTGCCATTCTTTTCATCCTTCTCCCTGGCATCGGACTTGGGCCGGGCAAGCCACCACGAGCATGAGGGTGAGAAGGGAGGGACTGAGGCCCAGCTTCATTTTCTCCCCAAAATTGTTTCCCTCACTGGCTTCCGCTGGAATCCGGAAGTCAGTTCTGTCCCTGGACAAGGACAGATAGTCGGAACCAATGCCTAAGCAACCATTCACATGTGTGTATTTAAATAAAGTTGTGGCCAAATTCATGCCAAAAACCTTAAACAAAAATTGATGTGTGAAGTGTGAGTTATTTGGGGTGGCCTGGGGGACCTCGACATGCAAAGCAGCTTGGGTGGGAACGCAGCATTTCCCCTGTGTTGTTCACACAGTAAAATCTTTCTAAGACCTGAGGTAAGAGGCACAGAAAGACCCTCCCAGTCACCACCAGCCTCTCCGCCCTGCTCTGTGCCTCCTCCTTCTCCATCCTCCTTGCAGATTACCATATTTTTCACTCTATAAGACGCACTTTTCCCCTCCTAAAAAGTAAGCTTTGCTGGAGAGGCGCTGCGCAGAGAGGGAGAGAATTTTTTTTTCTTGTTCTCCTCCAAAACTAGGTGCATCTTATGGTTGGGTGCGTCTTATAGAGCGAAAAATACAGTAAGTGCCTGTCAGCCACACACACATTTTGAGGGCATTTTGCCTCTCCTCAAGGAAAAACTCACTGAACTAACTCTGTGCCAAGTCACTACAGTGGTACCTCGGGTTAAGTACTTTATTCGTTCCGGAGGTCCATTCTTAACCTGAAACTGTTCTTAACCTGAAGCACTACTTGGGGTGCCTCCTGCTGCCGCCGTGCCGCAGGAGCACGATTTCTGTTCTCATCCTGAAGCAAAGTTCTTAACCTGAAGCACTATTTCTGGGTTGGTGGAGTCTGTAACCTGAAGCGTATGTAACCCGAGGTACCACTGTACAACGTTTTAAATAAACAAAAGGCACCACAAGTTACGTCTCATTTTCCAAAGAGTGCAGAGCGGATCCCCAGGGCTGCTCTCCTACAGATGACTAACAAAGTCCTTTCCTCCACTTTTCACATTGGACAGCGAGTGACTAATTCTGGCTACTCATCAGGGCCAGGATAAAGTCCTGACCATTCACCCAGGGCCATGATGCCAAATTACCCTGATGTTTTCTACATCAAGCCTCCCCCAAATGGTGGTGCCTTCCAGATGTTGCTATGGGACTCCAACTCCCTCCCCCTGCCCCCCTGGCCTGTTATCTGGGGCTGGTGGGAGTTGGGAAACTGATTCAAGATGCCGGAAATGTACCTGAGGCAGAGAGTCATTCTGCTCCAGTTTTGATGGTAAACGAATGTTAGCAGGCATCCCCAGTTCCCAGTGACAGTCCCCGGATTTACAAACCAGTCCCCATACAAAATCCATTGAGGTTGAAAAGTGTCCTCGGATTCATTGGAAAAAAATCTGGTAACCTTATGGTAAACCAAAAAGGGAAACTCAGATAATTCACCAGAAAAACTCCCTGGGGAAATTGCTGGCTCACGTAACACCCAGCGTGAGATTTAGAAAGGTCGAAGGACCAAAGAGCATCTTTAAAAACTGGTCATGTGCTTGGGGCATGAATCTTCAGGCTGCCTCCCCTCTTGCCCATGACTTTGCCTTCTGTGCAACCAGCGCCACATTGTGCCATGGGGGTAGAAGACAGAAGATGTCCACAAAGTCAGCTAATCCGAAGGGCTTTCAACTGTTCCAACTGACTTTCAACTGACTAAGGAGCCTTTCAAAAAATTCAAGTGGTCTCCTAGGAAACGGAATTCCGCAGCAGGATTCCGCCGCCGGTTGTGATGTCAGAGCCTGGCATGGGCTCTGGGCTCCAGGAACACTGCCTCCGCCAAGCCCATGTCACCACTGGGCGACTTCAGACAACTGCCAAACCCCTGGCCCACCCCTGCCTTTACCCCCAAGCAGAAAGCTCAGGCAGCCTTGCACTTTAGCAAATGGAAGGTGCCTGAAGGCCTCCCACCACTGGTATCCCTCCCCCTCCCCTTTTATGAAGATGTATTCACAGTGTGTGCACTTTTAATTCTTCTGCTGTGGAGTATAGGGTCAGGTTCAAGATGTTGGCCTTGACCTTTAAAGCCCTTTGTGGCTTAGGGCCCTCGTATTTACAGGACCGCCTCTCCTGGTCTGCCCCGCAGAGGACCTTAAAGTCCATGAGCAACCATAGTTTAGAGGTCCCGGGCCCTAAGTCAGACTATCCTCCACCAGGGCCAGGGCCTTTTCAGTGATGGCTCCGATCTGGTGGAATGCTCTGTCCCATGAGACCAGGGCCCTGCAGGATTTAACCTCCTTCCGTTGGGCCTGTAAGACAGAGCTATTCCGCCTGGCCTTTAATTTGAATTTAGCCTGATCTTTTATTTCCCTTCTCTTCCCTCCCCCTCCCCTTTTATGAAGATTACCTGCTCTGAGACCCCACAGCTAATTCTCCCCTGGCCTCCTCGCTGGCCCAAGTAGGACCAATTCAGCCAACTAGCCCTGGTGATTATCTAATCCTTATTATTATTTTTTATAAAAGTTTTTATTAATTTTCAATACAATATACATATAATACCATATCAAAGGTTTATCACAAATTATATATTATGGAGTTCCTTCAGCTTATCTGCCAATCATCCGTAATTAAATTTTAGTTACGCATTTCCTAAATTTAATATTGCCTTTTTATATGCCTTCCTAATCTTATTTTCTTTTTTACAATACTCCTCAACCTTTCACAGAGCTTCTTGAAATCCCACGAGCGTTGTTTGTTCATCACATATATTTTTCAGATATTCTACAAATTTTCCTCAGTCCTTGATGAACTTATGGTCTCGTTGATATCTAATCTTCCCAGTTAATTTGTCCAGTTCTGCATAGTCCATCATTTTCATTCTCCATTCTTCCAGGGTCGGTAATTCCTCCTGTTTCCATCTTTGGGCCATTAATATTCTCGCCGCTGTAACTGCATATTGGAAAAGTTTACAGTCCTTTCTATTTATTTCATTTCCTACTATTCCTAACAGAAGAGCTTCTGGTTTCTTTACAAATGTATATTTCAACATCTTTTTCAGTTCATTATATATCATCTCCCAGAAACCCTTCACCTTCTTACATTCCCTATCTAATGCTTATTAGATGGATTTCCCCTAAATTGGTTTCTGAACTTTGAATTTTATTGTTATTCATGTTTTTATACCGTATTTTATGCTGCTTTTACAATTAAGTGTTTTAAATTTGTTGTTAGCCGCCCTGAGCCCAGTTTTAGAACCGGGAAGGGTGGGGTATACCCTGTTTTCCCAAAAATAAGACAGTGTCTTATATTACTTTTTGCTCCCAAAAATGCTCTAGGTCTTATTCTCAGGGGATGTCTTATTTTTCCATGAAGAAGAATACGGTACACATTTATTGTTGAACAAAAAAAAAGGAAATTTATTACCTGTATACGGTACAACGTCTTACGGTAGCTTCGGGGGGCTTATATTCCGGGGTGGCCTTATTATCGGGGAGGCCTTATATTTGGAGGAGGCCTTATATTACAACAAGAGGCAAAACTGGAAGTAGGTCTTATTTTGGGGGGATGTCTTACTTTCGAGGAAACAGGGTAAATAAATTTTTATTTTTATTTTTTTTAATTATTATTATTATTACAGGGCCAACAGGAACATTACAATAAGTCTGACAAATTGTTAGCCTGCCTGGTTGAGGGCTGGCACCAGGAGGCACCAGGGCCAGCCCAGCCCAAGACATTTTGGCACGTGAGGCAAATCCACCAAGGAAGAAAGGGGGAATGAAGATCTACATCAGGAACACAGAGGGATATAAAGATGCACATCAGGATATGCTGCACCGGTGGATCCTGCCGCCTGAGGCGGTTGCCTCACCTTGCCTCATGGGTGGGCTGGCTCTGGGTCAGTGGGAAGGGTTCAATTCAATCCCATGGGTGCAGTTGCACATGCTGGGAAGTAGGGATCATGCCATATTCTTCATTAGGAAAACTGGGATTTGTTTTTATTTATTTATTTATTTATTTAATAATTTTTATTGAATGATTTTATATTACAAAAAAACATTACAACCATACTACCACAAAATACAATTGAGAAATAAAAATTACATACATCAATATTTTGTTTGTTATTTGTTATTTACCGTCTTGTTTCCTCCCAAACATCCCATACAAAACACACACAAAATAATAATAAGAAGAAGAATGAAAATAAATATTTTTCCCCTTTTATTTTACAAAATCTTTTCTTCGATTTTGACTTCCAGGAAAATTGGGATTTGTTTTAAAGCAATGCCATTTCCTGGAATTACATTTGGTCTACAAAATGCATTCCAATAACGCAATAAAAGGAAACTAGTTTCTTGTGAAGAGTCGTCGTCTTTTCATCTCCCTTCTCAAGGATGACTCCATGACATAGCTACAGTTTCCTCACAATTTAAGACAGCCACTCTTGTGTGCTGGGGTTTCCAGCAGTGAATATTTCAAAACTCTGAGCTTCAACGCCAGTAATATTTTGGAAGGTTCTAGAACTTGGAGACCACAGGGCCAGCAATTCACCCAAAAAAGCACATATGAAGCCTCTGCCTCAGTGACTTACGCTGTTTCATTACCTGAATGAAAGAACACAGGGATTGCCTTGTTACGTCTAAACAAATGGTCCTCTAGTCCAGCACTCTGTCTTCAGCTTTGGCTAGACAAATGCGTCTTGAAGTTCAACTGCAGGATGCAGTGACGGAGACTTCCTCCTCCTACTCTTTGCCCTCAGCATCTGGATATCAGTATGTAGATTCTACTTTAGCTATCATAGGCAACAGCTATTGATGAATCTAGTGTCAGGATGCTGTCAGCAACTCCCAGCTGATTGCCAGGAAAGTATAAAGACAAGGGAGATTTCTTACCATTCTTTTTTATTCAGTATTTACATAGGCTATAGAACCCAGCCTCTTGGATAATATAATATAATGTAATTTATTAATTTAATTTATATACCCGAGGGTCTCAGAGCAGTTCACAGAATAAAATCAAGATAAAAGGTAAAGAGACCCCTGACCATTAGGTCCAGTCGTGACTGACTCTGGGGTTGCGGCGCTCATCTCACTTTATTAGCCGGTGTACAGCTTCCGAGTCATGTGCCCAGCATGACTAAGCCACTTCTGGCGAACCAGAGCAGCACACGGAAACGCCGTTTACCTTCCCGCTGGAACGGTACATATTTATCTACTTGCACTTTGACGTGTTTTTGAACTTCGAGGTTGGCAGGAGCAGGGACCGAGCAACGGGAGCTCACCCCGTCGCGGGGATTCGAACCGCCAACCTTCTGATCAGCAAGTTCTAGGCTCTGTGGTTTAACTCACAGCACCACCCGCGTCCCTAAAATCAAGATATAAAACCACAAAATACATAATAAAAATAAAAACAACCCAATAGCCCCCCAACCCAATGGCATTGTCCCGAGCAAATCTCTACCCCCCGTCTCTCCCACTTCCTCATTCATCACTTCTACAGGTGCTGCTACATGCTCCCTGTCTTTGAGCTCTTTGCTCTCCTACTTTCAAAGCTTGCCAGGTTCTGGGCGGGGTGGGGTCTGGAACGCTTTCTAAAGACACCATGTCCATCAGCTGTCGCCCCTCTGCTGCTGCTTCCTCCTCCTCTCCTATTATTTCCCAACTCCCCCCCCCATCTGCCTCTGAGCTGTGACCTCCCGCAAAGCCCGGTTATAAATCTAAACTGCCTTCCTCTTCCTCCTCCCTGGAAGGGTCAGGCTGGGGAGGCAGTCTCCACCATTCCTTCTCTGCCCAGTCCCTGACAGCTAGTCACTCCTTCCAGTAGCAAAGTCATGTGATGAGTGCCAACAGGACTTGTAGGGAAAACAGGGCTACTGAGTAAACAAGGGAGAGCTATCAGCATGCTTGTGGAACCCAAAGGTTTGCAGAAGTGAAAAAAAGAGCTTTTAAAAATAAAACACCTAAGGGGCCGTCTTTCCTGGCCCCAAATAGCCCACACAGGACTGAACACACACAGCTGCGCCCGCCACAGACTGCACAAAAGTCTTCCCCAACATGGTGCCCTCCAGATCTTTTCAACAACTCCCATCAGAGTCAGCCAAAACATGTCAAGAGCATCAGGTTGGAGAGAGATGCTGTAGAGTGACAGGAAAGAAAACAACAACAACAACTGTGGGATGGGGAAAGCACTCAGACAGGAGAAACACTGCAACGTTTTGTTGCAGATTTGTTTCTTCTACTTTCCAGCGCTTTGCTCTGATGGGTAAGGATTTACATGCAGCAGCTTTGGTTGTCCATATTTGTTGTGCCCACACAACCCTATTTTAAAGTGTGTACAGGCATGTGAACATGCGTGTACATGCATCCAGGTTTGTACAGGTTAGGTCATGCGAGTCGAACGCAATAGCGTTCTTGTGCAGTCATATGTGAATATTGTGGCACCGTCCGTCCACATGATCTTCACTTCATCGTGCAAGCCCACATTTGTGCACCTACTTGTGCATGTGAGTGTGTGATCCCTGTTCCATTTATGCCCCTCCTGGATCCCAGCCGTTGGTTAGGAAAGCTTCCAGTCCCTTCTCTGGGGCTATATTTTCGTCTCACTTTTATTATATTTATCTTTGTTTTTCCTAGCGGCCGCAGAAGTTATTTTAAATTTTTTCAGGATATTAAATAAACGCTGTGGCTGGGGGGGCCGGGGCCCAGAAAACCTAAAATTCCTGCCCCATCAGAAAGAGAGAGAGCGAGAAAGAGAGCGCGCACAGGAAGGGCTCGATAGGAGCTGTGTCTATTTAGATGGAGCCTTAGCCTTGAAGAGATCAGAAGCACCACAAGCCTGGCTAGAGTTCTCTGGTGTCTGGACACAAACATAGGCAAAAGGCAGGCGGGAAGAGCGGGGAGTCAAAGGGAACACACAGTATGTGCCTGGCTGAGAGATGATGATGAATCAGAGGCGTGACACTTTCCCCTAGTCAGATAACACCATTAGGAAGCTAGTACCGAAAACTGCTAATTATTTAGCACCCAGTGTGTGCCAGGTGGTATACTGTATATTGTATATGCAATATACAGAAATGATGCGCTCCCATTCCAGAGGGTTATATAGTCTGTGTTGGAAGAACTGGGAAGGAGGTCAAGGGGTAGTCAGTGGGGAGGAGTGGGGCAGGAAGTGGTGCAGACTCCCTTCCCCAGGGAGGCAAAGTTTTCAGAAGCTTGGAGGATTAGTGGCTGGTCAGAAGCAACACCAGGCTGGGGTCAAATGAGATGCACGGCTGCTGCCTAAAATAGCAGCTGCTTGACTCGCTCCACCACCACCCAAACTGCAACATCTAGTAAATCTTACCTGTCTCCTGGTCTCCCTGGGTTCCACATTTTTCCACCCGAAAGCAGGAGCAGCCAGATATGTGGGGAGGAATGCTAGGTCGTCACAGGCAAAGGGAAACTTCTTGTTATTGTTATGGGAGTGGAAGCAGGAGACAGACTGCCATACAGATAGGTGTGCAAGGTAACAAAAGGACGTCTCTAAAAGTTATGAGTCCATCTTGCCCAAGGCCATCCCCTACGGTGGTCTGGAAAGGGCTTCCAAGCCTGCCTCCCTCCCTTTTTCAACCTAGATCCATCTGTCTCCGTCTGTTTCAGACCATCTGGAGACATTTGACAACTGGGGTTTCCACTTTTTGCTTTCCAAATTGTTATAGGAATTCTAAGGTCCCAAATATAAAATAAACACTCATAAATGTACAAGGCAAACATATACATAAGTATGTGGACTGCGCGTCTGAAATAGTGCAGGAGAGCAGTCCTGAAGCCATTTTGACTCTCAAATTGACCTCAAATATTTCTCTGCAAGGAGGAAGGAAATGGGAAAGCCTCTCATCTTTTGCTTACCTGTCTTAAGGCTATATTTGTGTATAAATAGGGTGAGCCTGTGACCTGGATTCGGGAATTAAAGTATTTACCATCACAAAAGAATGGCCAGGCTGCCCAGGTAAAGCAATCAGTGACCATTATCAGGTATCCTGGCAGACGGGTTTTCTGCTGTAGCCCGCCTCCTGTCATGTTTTTCTGCTGTAGACAGCTTCCTTCTGTGATGTATGTATGATGTTTTAGGGGGGTGGTCTTGGGCTGCTACAGGGTGGGCAATTTCAAAAGTCTATATAAAGGCTTGCACACCATTGTTCTGGGTTCCTCCTCCCTCCTGCATGTGATGAGTGAGGACCCTGTTGCAACAGTTAAATAAAGATCAGGCTTACTAGCCGCTTTGCTTCTCAATATTCTCTGGTTGGCCTCTGTTATTTTCTCCTACCGATAAGGAACCCACTTAAGGACTCTATACGGGCTCTTGGATACCCCATAAGGGAAAAGGAGTAGTTTTTTCTTATAACAAAATGGATTCTGGTATCTCATGTTGAGTGTTTTCCCCATGGATGGGGAACCAACATTGTTTGTTTTAAAAATTAGCAACCAACAACTTAATTTGACAGAGTGTTTCTGAGCACGCACACCCAAATTGTTCTGTGTCTAAAATATGTATCATTTAAAAAAACAGAACTATTTGCAATATTCCACAACAGCTTTCAATAACAGAAACATCCCAAGGCTGTGAACACGCCACCAGCTTAAAACATAGATGATGCTTTTTCTCAATCTTTGATTGAACCTGGTTTTGGGGGTAGAGGGAAGCATCAAAACACAGCATTCTATGAGAAACTGTGGAATGGATACATATGATTGATATGGATTGTGACTAATGTCATTTGTACACTGCTTCCCAAGGGAGCAATGGGCGCAAACGGGATGCAGAGTAAACAGAAGGATGTACACACCTCAAGTTGCCTGCAAGCATTTCAAAATTGGAGTTATAGCTATTTAGAGAAGCTGTCATCTGGAAGAAGGAGAAGCTATAATCTGGAAGGAGAAATCTTTTCTTTCTTTTTAAGACAGACCACCTTGCAACACTAAGTTTTCAAAGGCTGCACCGCAAAAATCAGAAAAGTGCAAAATCAAAAGGATTGCTACATTCCAATCCACACATTAGTTTGGGAGGTGCAAGAGCTGGTCAACGCACTTTGAAATACGGACCGACCAACTTCCTCAAGTATGCCTCATTTTAATATGTTTAAACTGCCAATAACTTTCTTGCCACATTCGGAGAAGTATAAATAAAACCAGTATATAACTTAAGTTCCCATCTGCACCTTGGTCTGCGAGGTGCGGACCAGGTCTGTTCATATCGGAATTCACAAAGATTTAATTTCACAAGCATCCTTGGCTAGCAACTCATGGTTAAAAGTGATCCCCTTTCAAAAGCTATTGGAACATTGGTGGCAAGATGATACCCTCTTTCTCTTACCAACTCTCACGCCTCTTTCCTCCTGAGAATTCTTTTTGCTAGGTGAACTTATTCTTATAAATTCCAATCAGTTGCCGGATTTACATATAAGCTAAACAAGCTATAGCTTAGGGCCCCACTCTCTTGGGGCCCCCCCAAAAAATTAAAGAAACAAAATTGGATGTACATTTCCAAAATATAAGATAAAAACCAAGTAAAAAAACCTACATACAGCAACAGTGTTTTGTGTTGAGTAGGCTCCTATGATGTAAATAATGAACCCTGCCTGCTAGCCTGCTCCCTAAAATATCACTGGTTCGCTCATTTCTATATATAGGGTACCTACATTCTGCATGGACTGGTTGCATAGCAACACGTGCAAATGGCTTTAGATACCTATTAGGTCCATAAAGTGCCACATAGCATATATTCAAAACAAAAAACAGCGACAATTTGTTGTTGACAAAGGACAGCTGGACATATAAAGGGCCCCATTACCTTCAGTAGCTTAGGGCCTCATCAAACCTAAATCCGGCCCTGGTTCCGATGTAATTGCACATTAACTGAACATATCATTCCTTATCGCCAACGGAATTTTGGATAATGAACCTCCTTTTATTTCATGGAGTAAAATGTGTGAAATCTGGGGGGAAAGAAAAGCCATATTCTTTTCGCCGTCATTCCAGTGACACATCAGAATGAAATTATTCCTACAGGCAATGGCAGAGACTGAACACTCACGCATTTCTCAAAGATAGATAGCACTGCTGCTTTCTCCCTCCCAACCCCCTTTTTTCTGCCAAGCTACCACAAAAAGCCAAGGAATGAACTGCAAAGCATTTGAGAAAGGGAACCACTTCATAGGCAGCTGCCTTGGACCTTGGGCGAAGACCTCCCCTCTCCCCCAGCTGCCACCCACAACAGCCACTCAGGCGAGTGTGGTTAGTGGAAGAGTCTACACACCATCAAAACACACCGAATGGTCCGATTAAAGGACGACCTCCCAGAAAGTCAATCACGAATCATCATCCACATAAATTGGGCAGGGAGCCACGAGTTTCTCCCTCCTTCACTCCCAACCCCTCTTGCACAGGCCTGTTCTTTGGAAGAGCCAAGGTTCTAGGAAAAAAACAAAACAAAGGGAAGGGTGAACGGGAGATTTAGAGAAAAGCTTTGGAGACTTTGCCTGAGTTTTGATTCCCCTCAGCTCACCAGCTTCACAAATTACCAAGAGTAAAAGAAGAAGAAGAAGAATGTGGATGTTCTTTATTAACCTTGAGGTAAGATTTCTAAAAGAAATGAACTGCCCTGGAAAATGTAAGGAGCCTCAAGCAGGCGAGGACTGGCCAAATTAAGTATTGTGAGTTTGATCCAGATTGAGGCTACAATCCTAAAACTTGGAGTAAAGGTGAAGGTACCCCTGACCATTGGGTCCAGTTGTGGACAACTCTGGGGTTGCAGCGCTCATCTTGCTTTACTGGCCGAGGGAGCCGCCGTTTGTCCGCAGACAGTTTTTCCGGGTCATGTGGCCAGCATGACTACACTGCTTCTGGCGAAACTAGAGCAGCGCACGGAAACGCTGTTTACCTTCCCGCCAGAGTGGTACCTATTTATCTACTTGCACTTTGACGTGCTTTCGAACTGCTAGGTTGGCAGGAGCAGGGACCGAGCAACGGGAGCTCACCCCATCGCGGGGATTCGAACCGCCGACCTTCTGATCAGCAAGTCCTAGGCTCTGTGGTTTAGACCACAGCGCTACCTGCATCCCACATAAACCTTGGAGTAAGCCTCACCAACTCTAATAGGACTTACTTCTGATGATTGCAGGTAGTCCTAAGACTGTAGTAAGCTGCCATGAGTCTGCAGAAATAATTCTGGGGGAACGGGTCACAGTCTATGACTTGCAATTTACGGGTTGTTGACCTATGACTGAACCCCACACACCATCACACGATGCTGAAGAGACGCATCAAACAACAGTGGTGATTTACTGCATTGTGTGGTTTTGTACATTTCAGAACTAACTTCTGCCAAAGTGATTTACTTGCCCCTGTAACAATAACAGAGTACAGCACTAGAAAGACATACAGCTTTAATTTGTCCACTGAACAACAATACAGTGGTACCTTGGGTTAAGTACTTAATTCGTTCCAGAGGTCTGTTCTTAACCTGAAACTGTTCTTAACCTGAAGCACCACTTTAGCTAATGGGGCCTCCTGCTGCCACCGCACCACCGGAGCACGATTTCTGTTCTCATCCTGAAGCAAAGTTCTTAACCTGAAGCACTATTTCTGGGTTAGCGGAGTCTGTAACTTGAAGCGTATGTAACCTGAAGCGTGTGTAACCCGAGGTACCACTGTACTGTAGGACTCTAGTCTAAATTAAACCCCCCTAAGGCTGAATTCCAGATATTTTACACCAAACCTGCCTTGGTTATGGTGAGTGCCAGAAACAGGGTCTGAAACCAGTCAGATTCTTGTTAATCTTTGCCTATCTGCAACAAAAAGGAAAATATAACACAAAACGGACCACTCTTTAAACAAAAACGGGAGTCTTTGAGGGCGTTGGTCAAAATGGTCAATAACTTACACTATATACATTTCTCCTTGGAATAGTTCTTCAACTTTTCTCTACAAACACAAGCAAGACAATTGATTCTCACTTCTTCACCCTGTAGTGGCTTTTAAAATTAATAATAATACTTTTATTTTTTCTACCCCACTCATTTGGCTGGGTTTCCCCAGCCACTCTTGCTACCCTAAGAGTTTTAACTGACGGGTGCCATAGAAACATTCTAAAAAGTTACATAAATGAATTTTACAAAATATAATTTATTAAGCCCATATGTTTTGCCCACTGCAGCTGTGGATGGAGAGGTGATTTTGCACGTGTCCATCCTAGTGCCGCGCTCTCAGAAATAAAAAATAGGGGCTCCAGCCATGAAAACCCCCACTCACAGCTTCACTAAAACAGACCTTAAGGTGAGGTCTCTCACCTGTAGTAGTTAAGGACAAAACTGTGTGTCTTCTGGAAATCTGTGAGTGGATCTCTTGTCTCTTTTAAAATTTATTTTAAAAGTAGTAACAGAGCATTAAGAATTATGATGGGTAGGTTTTCCTGATCTGAATCCTTTCCCTACCCACCCCAGCTGCTCTTTGCCCCATTACAGTAAACATACAGGTATATTATTGCTATATCTGTATTATCCTGTTGGTGTTGCTCCACTCTCACTGCACTTAAACAGGGACAGAATAAAGCAGGGATGGAAGGACACTGAGGAGCTTGGGTTTTTTTTAGACAAACCAGTTTTAACACCAAAAAGTTAACACGACAGAGCCTTTCTCAACTCGCTTTTCGCTGCACTCAAACTTTTTTAACTGCCAGTTTCACACCCTGCTCATTCGACTCAAACCTCTGCCATTGTTTAAAATCTACACTTTTTAATACTTTGACCTCATTAATTATCATACACAAACACACACCTCCTGATACAATATGCATTTTTTAAAAAACCCTTAAATGCTGAGTTAAGCAGAAACGCACTTAACATCATCAGGTCAAGTGTTGTTTGGCTCTTAGCCAGAATTTAAAGATATATGAATATTATTATTCAGGGAAGTTTTTGATGTGTGACATTCTAATGTATTTTTAATCTTTGTTGGAAGCCGCCCAGAGTGGCTGGGGAAACCCAGCCAGATGGGTGGGGTACAAATAAATTATTATTATTATTATTATTATTATTATTAGTCAACTGAAGGTATGGGTGAGAGTAGATATCATGTTCAAAAGGGGTTTGCTGTGGAAACCAGTGTCCTGTGTTCAATCATAGCTCAGATTGTAATCTCAAATAGCTCAAGACAAATCCCAAACAGCCACAATTTGTTAACAAAAAACATGAGCGCTCCCTCTGTCATTGTAACATGCAGTATTATTCAGCCTGTGTCATTACTGTGACATCATCACACCGAGTGTTTTCCTGTCTGACATCATAAACAACTGCTGGGCAGTGCTGAAGGCACTTCTAGACTAGCTGTTTGTTGAGCATTCAGACGGATAATGTTTTGGGTGGGGGGATTGCACAAAGGTTATGTGACGTCACCTATTCACAGAGCATTCGTCCTGAAATGGGCATTAATAAAAAGCGCATAACTCCCTAGCATCTTTGAGATTTGGTCACTCATCTCCAGTGCAATTTTCTGTCACTTTTCCTTATCAACGTTTTTTGCAGCTAGCAAAGGGACGGGATGATTGCACCAGAAATTGTGGAACGGGAATGTCATGTACTGAGTTGAATAGGATCCAAAAAGCAGCAGTCTGAATGGTCCTAGAACAATAGGGTCCAGAATGCAGCAGTCTGATTGGTCCTAGAACAATGCAGCAGTATGATTGGTCTGCAGGAGCCGCCCAATCCAGCTCCAGGTGGAAGTGAATCCGCAACCTGATTGGCCTACGGGAG